TACCTTGGCGAGTTTGAAAACGCGGAAAATAACAAAACAAACAAATGCCAGCGCAAGTGCCAAAAATACCAGCTTTACTTTCATCCCGATTTCAAGCTCCCAAATTAAAAAGAATTTTTTTCTCCTTTTCCGAAGTCTGATATCAAGTCCGAGCCACGATTGATCATCAAACATTGGATAAAACAAATGGCCAGCACAGAGGCCAGAACAATAGAGTCTACATTAGATACTCCACGACTGGTTAAAATAAACTATACAGGCACTAGATGGGCTTGCTTTCGCTTACATCAGGTTGAAGAACGACATCACTTGGTACTTATTTCTAAAATAGCTGGTTACTTACCGATTACTGTGTTTTATCAAGAACGGAACTTCTTTATCTTTAATTACTTCGCTCGCCTCGATCTGCCGAATGAATTGTTATCAGACAACCGTTTGTTTTATAGCTGCAGGATTAATTTATGTCAGTTCTTGACAAGAAGAGCACCATCTGCTGGGAAATAGATCTTTGTAAAGTGTCGCCACAATTATTTATGGAGTATTTTACCGCAGTTAATGGCAGCTTTTGGAAAAACACTTAACTACGCTTTGTCATGTAATTATGCTTGAATGCGTACGTACGTGCAATTTATTTTGTGCCATTTGATTAACTCGCATATGTTAACTTAATGTCCTTAATGCCTCTTTTCCTCTGAATTAAGTAGCAATTTCACTCAACCCCTAACATGGCCAATTTGCCCACCTCACGGCAGGTCGCTCCCGAGAGAAATTACGACGATCTTAATTCCGTTCGTCAAAACAAACCCAATTTATAAAATCGGTTTGGTTAAATGTATGAAGAAAAAGAAAGAAAGCAGATCGTTCTAATAATCACATGTAGAAGTACTGTGTTCATTTAGTCATTCAGCTGCCCAAAAAACCTTGTCATTTATTTCGTAATTAACTGAAACCTATTTTTACTCGTTCGTATATTAGCATAAAAGTTCACGGCAATGCTATGTCTACAAAAATACGTTCCAAAATACTTCCTGACATGAACGGTTCAGCGGCGACCGCCTTAAAAATAAACATTAAACCGTTACAAAAACTTAGAAAATGTGTGTTATTTAAAGGTTTTATCCCACCTATCGTGAACTTTAGTCTAATACAGCTGCCTCGATTCATTCAAAGAGGGCGGGGGTGTTGATGACCGAAGCATCTCTTCCTCCGCCAATTGTGCGTGACAGCAAGAAAGATCAGGCGTGGTAATTGCTTAACCACTTGTAATCTGGATTAGTTGGCATCAAGAACAGTTTCAAACTACAAAATATTTCAAGTTTGACTTTAACTTGTCTAGAAATAACGATCATTGACGCGCACAACACGTTTGTCCTATTCCCGATTGGTTTCTGCGCCACAGAATGATAAAAAATGTCATGAGACTAGTTTGGTTGTTCACAACCTTCACCGACCATTTTGCCGACTCATTTCTGCTTTTTACTCAGGAAAATCAAATCGTCTTCCGCACAACTTCACTTTCCAAGCCATTTGTGGGGGAAAAGGTCAAATTTCAAGGTTATGGACTCTTACGTTGCTCAGTCTGTAAATTGCCCTTTATCAAATCCCACGTAGTCGTCTCCCATTTCATTACAAAAAAAAGAACAAAAACAGAAAAAAACAAGACAAAACAAAATAATAGAACGAACTAAGGTTAAAATCGGCGCCCCAGTTGGTGCAGTTTTAGAACTCTTCACTCAGGGTCATTGAATATCAGTTTTAGGGGCTACGTTAAAAGGTTTTTGCCTGTCAATTACTTCAAAATGATTCTAATGTCTCGAGAGGTGAAATTGAGTATGTTTTTGATGGAAACAATCTGGCAACCATATTAGCGATAATTTTCTAAGCCTGGTGCGTTGTGTTTTCTTTTTTACTTTTAATTTGAGGTATACGAGTCTCATCTGAGTAAAATAATAACCTCGCGAGACAGATGAATTAAGTCAGAAATGTAAGCAGGAAGTCTACAAGTTCACTAGACTCACGCCCACGCATGTACTAACGGGAAAAGAAAACTATATCCTTCCGCTGGAACCTATCTAAGAAAACACCGACAATTAAAAAAATAAGAAAAGGGAAATTGAGACGTGTTATATCTTCTCGTTTTCCTAAGGCCCATTTTTTTCCCGCCGCTTGAAAGGAAACCATTTGGCTGGGTAAAAAAAGAGAAACAAACAAACAAAAAATCAAAGCGAAAAAAGAAATGATAAGAAAAGGAAAGTGAAAACCGACCAAGGTGGTTGATCGCTTGAAGGTAGAGCGGGGAAGTTTGGTGGGTAGCAAATTTTTTTGAGCCTATCGTCGCTTATGTTCCTTAAGTTTGTGGCGTTGATAAGGTCTTCTTAAATACCTTCACACAAGCTCTTTTTCCAGTTCAAAGGCTTTTTTGTAGGATTTTGTTTTGTTTTCACCCACAATGAAACTTTGCTTATCAGACAGTCCATCTGCGACTTTTTCACATATTATTATTAATTAATACCGGCCGACGGTAAACGAATTATGACGAAAAGCAAGACGACAATGCATATATCTTTTAAGCATCAATTCCCTGCATTAGGAACATAAAATGAAACACACTACGCGCAAGGGAAGTTTGCGGTCAATAGGCGCTATAAATCAAAATCACGTCAAAGCAAGTCGTGACATTTGCCTTGGTAGAATTTTGAATCCTTATTATTTTTTAAAGTACTGTAAAGGATGCAATTGGCTTACACTGGCATTTTACATAGACACAACAAAACAGGTTCAGTTTAAGGTCCTGAAAAAACGTTTCCTATGGCCCCCTTTTTTTTCGAAGACAGTTAGTTTCGCAAAATATAAGAATTGGCACGCGTCTAAAGATTTTATTTTGGCGATTTTGAAGGAAACTTACAGTTTCCAGTTAAGGGAATTTAATTCGCAAATAAATTTTTTTTTTCACTACAGCGTTTTATTTAACAATGGGAACAATTCTAGATATCGGTCTCAGGTACTGGCCAGATGGCTTTATTTGGCCCCATAAAATATTGTTTTATATGCAGTATTAACTGTACTTCTGGGGTATCAGAACATCTGAAACGCTTTTGAAAAGTGAAAAGGTTTTTATTTTACAGTATCGTTTGCATGGAATTTAAGTGGTTAACAACCAAATTAACGACATGGCCGATTTTTTTTACCAAAGTTCAATGTATTTGAATTGTAGATTTAAGTTCATGTTAAAATTAAACGTAAGGATATGAAATGAAGTGCAAATTTGTCGTTAATTTTCGCGAATTTTATTCTTTTTTTGCAGGACTTTAATTTCGCGATATCATAAAAATTCTCGCAAAATCGCATAATGATAAAATATGGATATCTGGCTTCGTGTTTTTCTCTTTTCGATTACCACCGCGATTGGAATTTTCCTTTCAAAAGATATTTGTAATATGCTTTTGAACACGACTTCTCAGTCAGAAAACTGTTATCATCGCAGCTTGTGTTTATCCTTAGACCACATGTGTACCAATTGCTTAGTTTGTAAATGGTAGATATCTAGTAAGCTTATCTGAATGTTAAATATTTGTTCTTTGAAAAGTACAAACGCATAAAAGGAGTTTGAGGCAATTCTACATTTGAGACATTTCTACATATTGTCGTTCCTAATGATCGGTAGGTCGTTAGAAGTCGGTGAGTGTTTCGTCGAATGTAATCGTCATCGTTGTTTTTCTTGACAAAGACACACCTTGTTATTTCCTTTCGTCGCATGGGTTGTTTTGCGTTTTAGTAAACAACTTGCGATCATGTTGATTGGGTTATAGTGGTGGCAGTTTTTCTTTTTTTGCGATGTCGGATTGTAGGACGACTCGTCTAATTGCTTTTGTTTTCCTGTAATCTTCCGTATACAATGCTTACTTACTCTACTACTTGTCAAGTAATTTAGTAGAGGAAGCTTTCCGTCCTCTTTTGGTTCTCTGATAAACCAAATTTTGGAGATATGTTCGATTAAGAGGTCGTTAAATGCATGTATTTTGTCTTTGGATATGGCGGTAAATGTAGCGTGAACGAAACTTAAACATAGCGGTATAGTTTGTCGGCAAGATGTAATCGCGCGTTCCTCGATGACACTTGGTTCAAGTCCACCACTTCGGCTTTACGAAAGCTATCGGACAATCTGCAGAAGACGTTATGCCATTTCCTTTCCTTTGCCTAACCTTTACATCCTTAAGCATATCGATAAACATTACAAATACTTAAAAGGAACACTTACCTTTACGTGCACAATTTTCTTTTTTGTCAGATACTGCGAAGTTTAATGAACCAGAAGTTTGAGCCACCAGACTGACAACCGACTTCTGAATTGAAAATAATGACAATTACGCTTAAACTGTCCGCGCCCAGCTGTAACCGACAAAAGTCGTTTCCAGGACTTCTCCATGCGGACGATCGGACTCAAAATGATAAACAGTCACACTAATATATCCTTTACTGAACACTCTGTTGCGAAAAAACCTTCCGAGTCAGCACGCCCCTTGCTGGTGGTCCAGGTCACTTTTCTAAGCAAATGCTTTGAGAACTTACTGCTATTCTGACTGCGGCTGTTGGTTCCAAGGTTCCAAGATTTCAAAGTTAGCCTCCATGATAACCGTGGAATGTTTGGTTGAGATGTGCCTGCTTTATATCCCTCTAAATACCGCAGAACGCAGCACATATCACATACGAAACTAGCTATAGCCTAATGACATAAAGTTCTTTAAGTAAATAGAGCATTGGAGCGCGGAATCCCAAGATCTGGGTCACGATTTTTCGTGGGGTACACAATTCTGTCATCGTCTTACTCTCAGTATTATGTCCTACAAAGGGGGGAGGGGGAAGAGGTCCTACTCCTCGTCGCTTCACGCAAAGAAATTGCGATTAGCTCCAGCTGGGTGGGCCATTTAACTTAATTACAGCCTTCACTCCAGGTGATGGAAAGAATGGTGTTAGAATAACAAAACAGTAAACGATCGTACGTAAAATATTGCTTTCTCCTTTATTAACCTATGTCGTTTTCTAGAGAAACGAACGATTTTATATACCAAACAACACGACCTAAGCTGGTCATTTAACTATGAGGGTACTCCACAGAATATAATGCCTTATATATTAAAATATTATTCTTCAAAAATGGAATATATAAGTGTATGAAGGTAATAAATAAGTATATACAGCCCATGTATGAACAAATTTTGGTATACAATTATTTTTTTCAAGAAATTACCGGGTCGGGATCTATCTGTATATGATTTTATGGCGTCACATTAATTATTTTTTAGTTTCCTTTAGTTATTTTGTTAATATGTCTTAGTTTTGGGTTGCATAATATTGAGAGCTTCTCTGTGAAAAGATATATTGTCAGTGATCTTGACTTAAAACCTTTTTAACCACGACATTCTGCATCAGCGACATGGAACCTTCACCGCCTCAGCACAGCTCTTACCAAGAAAAAGGTAAAAGATCCTACCAGTTTGACATTCGAAAATATTCCCCTTTTTTTTTTCGAAAATTAAGTATTTAGGCCAATGGAATCGAAAGGGTTTAGCCCTTGACGGAGTTATTCTCAGCCTCATCATCAGGGCGAGGCCACAGCAGGGTCGTTCATTCGAAAAAGAGCTAATAGACATAGGTAGCAAGACTCGTTTTGACAACGAGGCCAGAGCTTAACCAGAAAAGGCTTTCGGCTGACGCAATATTACAAACATATAGTACAAAGCTAACTCTGCGGTCAAGTTAAAAAAAGACGTTTGAATATTATATTACAAATTGATAGAAAACGCGCGTTGCAACTGGAGGTAGCAAAGTTATAAAAATACGAACTTTAACCTAACCCTTTACCCCCTGACATCAGTAGGCATATTCTCCTTACTGTTCTTCATACTTTTCCAAAGAGGCTGACAAGGAGAATTTGTGTAACAATCAAGAGCTGCTTTAGTTGGTGATCATCTCCTCTGTTCTCATAACTTTCATGTTTGATTCAGGGATGATATTGTAAGGAGAAATTAGATGCTGGTCACTCTTAGGGGCTAAAAGATTAAGGTTTCTTCTATTAGAGAGTTTTCCTCTTTCACAGCAACAGGTATAATTTAAGCTACTTTTTGAAAGTTCTTGGTCAGTTTATACAAAAATCGTTAGTTTTAATACTAACAAAAAGAACTACCTAGAAGATTTGCAACTAATCACCAGCTGAAATGGTCGTCGATGTGTGCCAGGATGTGTTCCAGAGCTGTTTTAGTCTTGTTTTTGTTCGCCTTTGCATACTTTTGTCGAATTCTTTGGAAGGTACCACTTTCATTTGGTTCTCCTGTCGTTTGCTGCACGTCAATTTCATTCAAATAACTCCAATGAAGATAAATTCAATATTTCTGAAGCTTGAATGTTTCTTCTTTCCTCATTGCAATGAACGCTTTACACCCAATGAGTGTCATTAGCGTTTGAATTCCCGGGCGACTTAGCTTGCTTATTATGCAAAGGGCTGAATCTGTCTCTACAAAAAAAATTCAACAACAACAAACTAATGAGTAACAATCACAGTTTGAACCCAGTGGTAAAGGTAAACATCAGAGCTTGACAGAGTGACATTTCTGAGGATTTCAAGGTCCCATACCCCAGATCTCAAGGCCACTACAAACTAAACTATGTTTTGCCTCTGGACATGAAAATTTTAAGATATTCTTTCTTGTTGAACAATAGTCTTGAGACAAATTTTCAAAGACCTTAAAGTTCTTTGTGCAGTTTTGAAAACGAGTTGGATAAGAAACCCCAGAGATTTGAGCTTGATTCTGATTGGCTAAAACGTACTGCACTCGCGTCGTACCAAGAAAACCTCTTACCTAAAGGCCTTGTGGCTTCTTCTCGAGTAAGGACTTCTACCTCGATGTCCAGGCATGGTGAGGCTTCTGAAGGCCTGCAAACAACGGAGACAAGGTCAAAACGAGTGTTTTGGTGTTTCAGATCCTGCTTGACGCGACTATCGTCCGAGTGTGAAATTGAAAAGTTACCTAATGATTTCGGTGACACCAAACGATGAGAACTTCCAAGTGGCGCGCTCTTAAGAATTTGTTTAAGTCTGTTCAAAATACATCGTGGTTTACAAAGTGAAGACGGCGGATCGAAATTCTGTGGAGTCACGCTGTGTAATAGAACTCGTTTTTTGTGCTTTTGTTTACGGTTTTTCCAAGGTAAACGTTTTCAAAGGAATAAATGTGAGTCAGTCTGTGTAAAAACTAGGTGATTCTATCGACTCACCTCTACATCTCTGAGGAGAGCCTGAAATTCTTCGCTCTCCTCCATTGATTTTGGAATTTCGGTGCATCCTCCGTCAATTGCCTCCTCGATTCGTTTCTTCAGCTGCGACAACCTTCGAATATCATCGTTTACCTGCAGCTAAACACACGTAATTAAGCCACGTTAGTCTCTCCGATGTGAGACACAATAATCTCCTCACACTCCTAAGGTCGTGCAAACCGCTGCGAAATTTGCAAATCGAGTCCCTAGATAACTCGTTCCTATGCTTCGCATATCTACGAGTAAAAAGTGCTTGTCATGCATGTAATCAGAAAGTTTTAAAAACGAATTTGAAATACACCAACCTGTTTGGCTTTAGAGGCTTCTAGCTGGAATTCAAGGTCCACAGCCGCCCGAGCATCAAGATGATTTAACTGTTGATACTGTTGTATTCCTTGCCATGACATTGGGCGCTGCTGGTGGAAAAAAAATTCTAAGTTATAACTCACGGCAAATGGCAACCCCCTTGAGGGCTTAGTTAAGCAAGGTGTAAGTCTGCTATAGCCACAAGCCTGTTGCAGAGCCTATCAAGTTCAGCACCAATACTGGTAGATGCACCACGCCTTGCGCCTTTCACCACCTTAATCACCACTTATTACATCCTTTCGTTAGCTTTCGTTGATATTAACCTATAATCACCTTTTTCCTTCTCATGCTGGTCCTTTCCACAGACATTCTCACAAATGGGCTGGCCTCCGTTTTCCGCGTGGTACAGTCCGAGTTACTGCGATTAAGAGTTATGTCACCAACCAGCCGACTCAAAGGCATCATGTGAAGCTCATCGAATTCTCCCTAAAAAAAGGTAATATAATGTCGGTTTTAAATTGAGTATTAGAAGAAGGAACCAAAGACCAGTTAGATGCAAAGACAATCGCAATCGCCTCCTATGCACTGTACAACAACTATGCGCTGTTTTCTTTGACCATCACGCAAGCTTTCCCGTCTTAAATGGCGTTCTTTTTTTACGCAGCCTTCAGCTCTGGTAAATGGGTGACACGACTTGCCTGCGCTGGCATGTTGGCATTCTTTGTTTTCGTGAGTTTTATAGACGAATAGCCCACGCCAAGTAAGCTCAGCAGTTCGCAGTTTCAACTAGCCGCTGTAAAGGCCTAGGTTTAGTTTAACCACAGTGCAGCTCCAGACTCGTCTTGTGTAACATGTTTGATTTTAACAATAACCACAATATTTGAACTTACGTGGCCTTGGAACGACAGCGGTTGAGGATCAGAAAACTTTCTCGAATACTTCGACTTCAGCATGTTGGGTCTGGGCCGAGCTACAGGTGATCTATCGAAGTCACTGTCTCTGTCCTGTAGAGAGCCTCCACTGATGACACTATCACCTTGAGACTGCGCTCTTTCTACCGGCCTTCCAGCGGTGCGCTTTCGAACGGGTAGACTTTCCACACCCTCGTTAAGTACTTCTTGACTCACTGATCTACAAGGGATACGCTCGAATCCAACCACTGACTCCAGGCTTAATGTTGAGCCTTCGCACTGAAAAATAGAAAGAAAGGAAGATGCATTAGCAATACATGTCTGACTTGAAGAAACGTGTCACCATTATTGGATGTACAAATTATTTTCTACAGTTTTTGCCTGATTGGCTCTACAGATGGTTTTACGACTAAGGCCTTGACATCAAGCCGTAAAAATGATCAAAAGAGATCTGGCTATCTCTGAAAAAGTGTTTCATCTCTAAATTCCGCATCGAAAGTGTAGTATGTTAACGACTTGCTTCTGCACAGAAATATTTTCAAAAACATATTCTCCACAAAGCCACAATTCACTCAGGTTAATTAATGGTTAATTAATCAGATTAACCAACTTTTTCAGTTTTTGTCTGGACTTCGTCTATGCACACAAAATCATTCAGATTTATTCGTCTATACTCACCCATGAGTTGGGTCGTAAGTTGCCTCTCTTTGGCTCACAAACGCAGTCCATCGAGAGCGAACCAATCGCAGGCGTCATGGTATTTATCTTGCCATGTTGATACTTCGCAGCTGCCGACTGGAAAAACTGTTGACAAAGAATTAAAGTATTACCCTTATGACTACGAGCGTGGCTAGTGTTGGATGCTATTTTGTCGTATTCATCCTCTTTAAAAGTAGAGAAATTGGTTTTATCAACTGAGGTGATAAAACCAACTAATTAGTCTAACTCATGACGATCATTTGACTTATGTGTCAACTTACCGCAAAACTCAATAAGTTATACCATCGAAATTTGACAGGAGTTTGGCTATTGAAATCCGCAAGGCTGATCTGCGTCCCACCCTGAAATTCAATAAGAAGAAGTTGTTAGAAAAACCTTTCAGTGAGAGAATGTTCCCATGGTATCACAGTCAGACCAATTTCTCAAAACTAATTAACAAGGAACTGACGAGCAGCAAGGAAGAAGAGTTACTAACTAAATCAGATCCTGGGAGTTAAAGTTTACAGCGTTGACATATTTTTATGTACAAATACTGAGTTTTTTTTGCATTTTTTGACCAAGAAAGTTAAACTCACCAGAAGCTCTTCCGTTTGAAAGCTGGATCTAACGAGGAGGTTCACCTGGAGAGTCTTACTTGTCAGTTTGCTCTGCTCAAGGAAAAAAAACAGTGATATGTTGAATTAATTTCCTTCTAGAGCACAACTCTACCATCACAAATGCAGGATACAACAGGCTAGGGCAGGAAATGAGAACACCTCTATGACATAAAAAAACCCAGGAAATACAGAGAGAGCAGGAAAAGAAATGTTACTCGCTATTCAATTAATCAATAACGGAGTCAGTAAGTCCGTGAGTCATTCTGCCAGGCGAGCGATAAGTCAGGGATTTCTACAGTCTGTCAATCCGCTAGTCAGAAAGTCAATCAGAAATTCAGAAAGTCAGTCAGAAAGTCAGTGAGTGAAACAGTCAGTTAGTCAGTCAGGGGTCAGTCAGTCAAGAAGCGGTCATTCAAATCATCAGTCAGCCAGTTAATCAATCAGTGATCAGTCGGTCAGATCTGTCCTCTTACCTCGGGAACCGGAATATGAAACTGTTCCTCAAACACAGGATTGTCTTGGTAATCACAACGCTTCGTTTCCAAAACGCAGCTTTCACTAGGCGAACTCGGCAACAAGACGGCTTTTGCGAACACTTCTTTATTCTGTGTGGTGTTGCCAAGAGCCTTCAAACCCTTTGCTTGATCGATACACACGATCAGAGCTTCGCGATCAACATCGTACGAGAGTCCTAGTTTCATCTGCGCCGTGTCCACACTGTCTTCGTCGAAGTCTCCTCTCTGAGCGGCTTTCAGGTTTTCTTGGGATGCGTCAAAGACTCCGCTATCAGCCGCCACGGATTCGTCCGAAGGCGCTGCAGTTACGGGCCTTGTCCCAGTTGGTGGAAGATGGACCTCGCATCGTCTCAGCGGAAGCGACGGAATGCCTTCCGTGATTGGAGACATAGGTGTAAAAGGAAAATTGTTAATCGATTCGTTAGACTTAGAGTCTGCGGTCAACAGACGAAGTCGCTGCTGAACTGGGATTCCGTCGGCCTGAAATGAAAGAAGATAAGAAAGTCAGTGATAAATACTAAGAGCACTAGTGCGCTACAAATTTTTCCTTGTCAAGTTTTGACTTAAAAAGGGTTTATTTCCATTGTCACGTTGACCGAAAAAAAAAATCATAACCAGTAAACATTTAGGATTCTCTTTGGCTATAAACTGATATACGAGGTTCCGAACTCTTGCCAAAGGAAAACGTGTTTGTAACAAAATTTGACTGAATTTAATCTGCCGAGGTAAGCACCAAAAGGGCGAAAATTTACTTTGGCAAGTTTTTCTTATAAATGGTCGTACACAAGTTTTCTTTGCTGATGAATTTAAGAAAAAAGTTTTCATTCCCAAGTTTATTTAGTGGGCAAAATTGCATGCGTCAAAGTGTGGCTTCACCTATTTCAAAGGGGCTTGCAGGAGTAGGGAAAGGTTAGGATATTTTTGCAACTTACACATTCACTTGGAATGAAGTTGGGCGTTTTCTCCGCGGACTTATGAACTGAGTACTACGAGATGACTCCGCTTGAAAAATGAACGAATAAAACAAACCTGAGGTAAACAGCTCCTGTCGAGCTCTGTTCCATCCAGACATGTACTCTCTCCCTCCGTGGCTATGACACGAACGGTGGCCGGCGAATGCGTCGGAGAAAGATCGCTCGTACTCGGAGAAATCGGCGGCGATTGCGTAGACGAAATCGAGTCACGAGACGATAGCGAGACCTGCGACGAGTTGCTTGCGCTGGGGTGATTTGCTCTCCCGGATGTCGGCGTGTAACTTGTGGCTGCACCTGTTGTCCGTACTTCGTAGATCGGTTGACATGAGGGGTAAGTAGAAATTCCTTGAAGTAAATCCGTCACACGTTGGTGGAGCTCTCGGAGGTTGGGCATGTCACCGCTATGACTCAGATCGGGATAGTTGAGCGAGTTCAAGGAGCCTCGGCTGGAAGCAGATAAGGATCCTCTGCTTCCGGACAAGGAGAGGGAGCCACGGCTTGAACACGAAGAAACAGATGGGGTGCTTCCAGAGATACTGCAAAACAAACCGCAATATTCAACATACCTGTGTTAGATCTAGGTGGAAATCATAAACTTAATGTGATTTATCTACAGTAGAAACCTAACACAAATCTCACTTTTTAAGCCGCATGTTCAGAAGGTTTGTTATCTTGGATTGCTCATCAAGCCGTCGAACTAACAGAGATTTCTCTGCTTGAAGTTGAATTCTATCAGCTGTGGCTCGATTAGAGACCTCTCTTGCGTGGCTGAGGTCAGCAGCCAGTCTGTCTTTCTCGTCCTCCAGCTTTTTCTGAAATAAAAAGCAGCACATCAATGTGAGCACTCTCAAATATGAACGCAAAGAAAAGTGCTCACAAAACCTGAAAAACTTATCGTAAGGAAAACGGTCTAAACCTCAATGGGATTGCAAGTAGGAGTGCTTGATTGCTTTCGCACATTTCCGTCAAAACACTTCTGTGTAAAAGATACGTGAACAATTTTCTATGAAGCCTTCATGGTCAACTTACTTTTTCTCCTTCGCTTTTGACAAGAGAGTTTAGGCGACGAATTTCGTCAAGGAGAGTTTCCTTTTCTTGCAGAAGCATTGGCCTCGAATTATTATCGTCCGTCATTACTTGTGTAATTCGTTCGTCCAGACAAGTGATTTCACTTTGCAATTTTGATTCATTTTTCAATGCCTCTTTATATTCTGCCTTCAATTCTTGTTTATCTCGCACAGGGAGATGTCCAATGGCCGCATCTGAGCCAAGGTCCAAATGGGATCCAACTCTCATTTCCACTTCAGCTGAATCATCTTTGCCCTACACAGACGAAGGGTTTCCAAAATTAGAACGGCTATTTCACTATTTTCAACCTATCACCCACACGCAACCTGATCACCGCGTCTTAACCTTTTACACTCTTACACTGATTGGTATTCACATTCTCCAAACTTTTTCCTTTACATTTCCTCTGGTACTGACTAGGAGAATTTTTTAACAATCAAGATCGTCTTTTGTTGGAGCCGGGGATCAATTCCATAACGCTTGTGACCTAGATGAGTGATTCAGTGATATTGTAGGAAAAAATTCGACGCTTGTCACTCTCAAGGATCAAAGAGGTAAGCATTTTCCAAATCTTTTCGTTAGGTTCCCAACTGCTTTTCATGATACCTTCCCCTTCTCTGATTGGCCAAAATGTTCGTTTTGATTTCTTTGTTTCTGGTCTTACACTTCAAAACTCTATCAAAATAAGCCCTTGTCCTAGAGCAAAGCTTGCAACTAACTTAGTTACGCACAAAGTTGCTGATTAATACATGAAATAATTGATTTCACTCTCCCTTGGCTCAATTCTCACGAAGTAAAGGCATTTAACAACCTTACCACGGTTTCATTAAGCTTAATGTATCCCAAGATGGCGGTATGATCTTACCGTGTTCACAGATTCAGACTGTGAAAGTTTATCCTTGAGTCTCAATAATGCCTCAATTAGCTCACTTTTCTCTTGTTCCTTGGAAAACAATATTCGTTCTGCACTTGTTATCTCCTCCACTAAACCCTGAACGTCCTCTTTCTTGCAGCCTTGACGGGAAGACAACTTCCTGTCAATTTTCTTTAACGTTTCGTATCCCTCTTCCCGCGCCTGGACTTCTCCAGAAACTGCCTCCATCTCGGCTTTGAGGACTTCAACCTGGGTTTACATAAGTCTTACAATTAACCCTTTTAGTTTTAGATCAACTTATAACCCCCTTAATAATATTAACCCTTATTCCAGTCATTTGTCTGCTTGATATTGTATTAATATTGTGAGGAGAAATTCTCTCCTGGTCACCCATAGGAGTAAAAGGGCTTTGTGTGAAAGAATTATTAACGATATTTGCATGTAAAACGGAATACTACAGCCTAACCAGTTATAAGTACGACAATAACTACTATGCCCAGTGTTTAAAACTTGGAGTTTTTTTTTAAGGGTGGAAGAGTACTCATAAGAAACTTTGAGCTCTAGAAGGGAGATGGGGGCGGAAGTTATCGGACAGGAATGGTATTTAACACAATGGACTTATTGGGTAAGCTTGATTACCAACCGCTGTTCAGGAAATGAACCCGCGGTCCTCCGTGCAGCGAAGACCGGAAAAGACGGCAGCCTACTTATTGCGTTGTTTACGATTTTGCTCCTTTTCGTTGTTTGTCATCTCTGCGTAAGTACCATTTCTGAGTCTCTTACGTCTCAAAACAACTTCTTTTCAAGTTGATAATAAAAGTCCCTGTACAGAAAAAAACATACCCTCGATCTGGCTTGGGAAATCTCTTTCTTCAGCTGATTCACGTCGTATTTGCTTGCTATCGAGCTGACGGTTGAATTTGATGACGAAGAACTAAAGCTTCCTTGCTTGGCATGTTGGCTGGTTTGTCCTTCTTTATCATTTCGTCTCTGCATCTTTTCAAGCTCTGACGTCCAAAATTGAACCTGTTGAAAAATGAAAGATGATTTTATTCGATGAATGACAAAGGCATACTCAGAAAAAATACTCGAGAGCACTCAGGAAATTGCTTCAGAAAAAAATTCACATATCTAAACGGAACTTTTGCCTATTTTTCGCAACAACTTTATAATTCAAGCTGTCTGTGTTGTAAATTGTGCGATAAAATTGCTCTCCCATAACTGTGCTGCTGTTAAGTGTCATTAAAAAAAACGAAACAAACTTTAAAAACTCTTAAATCATCTGGAAACAAGTAGCACTAAGGCAATAAAAAACGAATAAGAAATATTATGGAGTGAAAAAAAAAATTTAATTTATTCCAGAAACTTTAGATTTATCACAATATTTGATGTTTTATACATAATACGCATTCTCTCTCAAACAAAGAATCTTTTTGTACCTCTTCGCAAGCCAAATCTAGTCTCTTTTGCTTGACGTCTTTCATGTGTTGCTTTGCCTACAAATTGGAATTCACAAAATGTTTGTTAATGTCTCTTTACACATACCAAGAATTCTTGCTTTCTCTAAAAAGCAAAACAGCCTTTATGTGAAATTTAAATAAGTCCTTCACCCTAGCCTTGAAACAAATAAATTTGTCTATTTTTCATCAATTATCCCTTTTCATAAGGAAAAAACGAAGCATCTTATCATTTAACAATGGGAGCCTGTTCTTACTAAGGGTTTGAGAATTCTCATCATAAAATGGTAATGATAAGTGATAATCACCCAAACGACACTCAAGCAAATCATTACTTGACTTAAGGGTAGAAAAAGCTCAAAACGTTTTGTGTTAATGAAACTAAGAAAAACAAATTCTCTCTTTAGTTAATCCCTTTTATTGCATGTAATTACTTTGTGTGCTCATGTGTTGGGTCATGTTCAGTTTTGTGAACAAACACGTAAATAGCTTTCATACCAGTAATTTTTACCCTTGAAAAACAGATTTTTTTCCTTACCGTCAAGTCTGATTGTACCATTACTAAATAATCACAGAGCATGGTTTCTCTCCTCTTCCTCCACTGTACTCTTGGATCTTCATGCTGTTGCGATCCTACTCAAGCAAACAAAGAATAAAAGAAAATTTAACATCGTGGACACACACTTTGTAAACAACTTGAATGAAATTGATTCAAAACATTCTTGTGTGTCCTAAATGCATCCTGCAATAAGCCCAGTTTGTAAACACTCTTGAATCTGTAAGGGCAGAACCTTAAAAGATTACATAACACTATAGGATGTAAAAACGTTATGTACCTAAAAAAATTGCCTCAGGCAAATTATGATGACCATTTCATTTTGCCTGAGGCTATTTCTGTGGTATGAATAAAACTTGAGAAATATATTGAGCACTTCATTAAAAGAGCTTGTTAATCAAATGGCATGCTTTGTTTGTTTGTTAAAACACTCCACTCTTCTCCACTTTGTTGAGTTTTTCATCAAAGTTTGACACAAACTCAACAAGAATATTAAGCAACAAGAATTAATTAGTAAAAAGGTTATCCTCTGTAAGAGACATCTAGGCTATATCAAAAGCATGATAAGTTCAAGGTATTGAAAGGAACTCATATTTAATGTCACAACCATTTTTTTAATAACAAAAAATGTTAAAAGCTGAAGGTGGAGGAGACATGAGATCCAAAGAATTGATAAACCAAGTACTCAACCAGAACAAATTTGCTAAAGAATGATCGAGATGCAGATGCTGGCAATTGATGACAAAAAACAAAATGATCAGGTTACATGATAAAAGGAGACAAAATATCTGCCAAACTGGAAATTATTGGTATGGCATATTTATGTATACATGTACTGGTATATGTTAGATCTGGCCTCGAATGTTCGAAGGGGGGATAATGCGATCCAATGGATAAATCTCTATCCGTTGGATAGTGCAGTATGTTTTGCTAACACTTATCCACTGGATAGCAATTTATTCTTTGGATAGAGTTATTCGCCCTTCAAGTAAGTAGGAACAAAAATACAAATCAGAACTTTACACAAATTTGTATCCATAAAAATGAAAAATAAAAACCATAATTCTAGAACAGTTGATCATATGATCACCTTAATAGGAAGCATGGTGCCTTCCCATGCTAATTTCTATATGCAGCACAGCACTCAGCAGGGGACACTCTCACATAAGATGTTGTGGAGAGGGAATCATCTTACTAAGTATAGCATTTTGCAATTCTTTTTAACATGAGTCATATTTGGCACTTTTTATTTTCCAGTGGAACATGATTTATGTCAAACTCTTTTGTAATAGTACTAAAAGCATATGAAATTGTTAATGCCAATACTTTTACTTAAATATCATGAATTATAGATATGATCCTTGTCAAGAGAATACACATAAAAAGGAGACCCCTCTCTTTAGGACCACGTTTATCAGAGATTTTAGTCTTGCATAAGGTGTTCCAGAAAAAATACCCAAGCTTCTTGGAGTCAACTTTCTCTGTGATTGCAAGTGAAGAAGGGATTGAAAAAAGCTCAAGCAACACTTGAATTTGGAATCTTAAGAGGCTAAATTTAAGTTTCCAGTGAATGTCCCCTTCGGTCTTCAGAATGACCCCAAAACCTTTCCCCTTGCCAAAATACAAAGTCCCCATTGAATTAATCAGTTCCTGAATAACTTGTGTGTATCCTGACATAATATGATCATTAAAAACTCTGTTAGGCATCATTATTAATATAAAAAAGAATATGTTAATGAAACTCTTACCTGTGTTGTGATCAATAAAGTAACTTCCAAGAACTTTATCATCAAGTTCTTCCCAGCCAAATGGTAGTTCTGCAATATGAAGAAGACCAATTAGCATAATAACTACCTTTTTTGGTGGCACCATGCTATATACAGGTATGCTAGAATCATGAATCAGTTTTTATGAAGTGATATTTATGCATATGAGAGAAGCTACAAAATGGTGTGTTCCAGAAGGTCAAAGTCTACTTAAAAACAAAACCTGAGTAATCACAACTATGCAATATTTATGACATCTGGGAAACTCTGAACAACTAGTTTGAAATTTGGCCTCTCTGGGACCAGGATTTTGACGATCCAGGGGAATGGGAGTGCATAAAAAAAAGTTCAAAAGCTTACCATTTCCTACACAATCAGCAAAAGTCAATGGCTTTGTTAACCTGAAACAAAGAAATGAGGATTGAGACAGTTACAAGAGTGCTGGGGTTCTTCCCTCCCAGTTAATTCCCAATGGCTAAATAATCATTTAACAACTGAAAGGGAAACAGGTTACCCATCACACTGAGTAAACAGCGGAAAGAGGGAGGGAAGGGGGGAACTGCCTGGACAATGAGCCACAATGCCACTCCTCACAACTCTGCAAGTTCATGCTCAAAGCACAGCCACAAATGCCTCAAATGAAGAGCACATGGAATTCAGACGCATGCGCATACGTGAAAAAACTGCTGATCCTCTTTGTTGTTAACTCTCATTATGTAATTGTAAATATCTTTCTTGGAGCTAGAATTTTGGTGTCTCCAAATTACTCACGAGTTTAAAAAGATCAAAAGCCACTGACCAGCTGACAGCAACAAAAACATATGAAGTTTTATGTATAGAAAAAAATATTGCTGTTAATGATCAATGATCTTACAGCTGCAGAGACTTGCAAATGGAACGATGCTTTAATTGAAAAATTAAATTAGTAAAAAAAAAAAATAGTGAGCTAAAATTAATTAGTAAAAAAATAGTAATCTTGTATAAATATCAAAAGCCCAACACTAAAAGAGTGCATCTGGAAGATACAACTAACAAAGAATTTTACATATGTCATTTTCCTTTCAATGCATAATAAGCAATTGATTTCTAAGGGCAAAGAACAAAACTAAGCAATCAGATTATGCTACATCCAAATCCGTGATCAGAAGTATTCAATAATTTCTTGCTCATTTGACTAGTACTCCTGCTGGTTGTGAGTAAAAGGAAAAAAAAAAAAATTATCGTTCTGAGGTTTGGGGTAAATGCCTATTTGAGAAATGAAGCTGACTTTGGGCAATTAAGACCACATTGAATGCCAGACATGTGCTAATTATTAGGAATATATTATAAACATCATGCTTTTCATCTTTCATGTGCTTCCACCTGTTGCAAAAAACAACACTCTTCTGCGAGATTATGAGCTTACAAAAATCCTCTCAACATTCTGTACACATTTAAGAACTCTGAAATATCTAAAAATACCATGATAATATAGCAGTACACACTTCATATCACAAATATTTTTTTAAAAGGTATTTGTGGTACTAAAGAACCTTCTAGAAGTTTAACTCAGTTAGCGCAAAATTAATGGGTTTCAATCAAACAATGCATGCCTGGGGTGCTTTCTCTGAGGATCAAGGTATACCATCTAATCACATGTTCACTGATAAAATCTTAACATCTTTCACTTCTGTCCAGATAAGAATTATAGAAATACATACAGGGAATACTTTGTCCAATATAGCCCAAATATTTCATCCTTGGGAAAAAAGGGCAATAACTTACAACAAACCCAAATGAACATTATTATTCTGAATAAATAACAGACACACAATCGCCGTGAGACATGGAAAAAACAAAGTTATATACAGAGTTATCTTCTTGGATTGTGTTTACATAAACTTCTGTTCCATTAGAGTCAGCTACAATATCTGCTTGCATTTACAGTGTAACGTGTGTACATTCACTAGGCTTTTAGTCTCAAACTAACAATGTTACAAAGTCCATTGAGTCATTAATTACCCTTTTTACTATCTCTAAGAAGTCAATCAATAATAATGAAATTGGACTAATGACATCAAACACAATTCTGCGCTTGTGGTATTGAACTGTCCATTCAACAGAGTAACTCCTTCTTCCACATATAACGTTTTGTGTCATATGGGGATTCGCACAAAATTGGGAAAAACAATGTCCTCAAAAATAAGTAAACAGGAATTTTAAATCCAATAAGAACCAAAATAAAATCCACATACCTTGAATACATTATGAGCATAATAAATTGCTTATACCACCTGGTGCCATGACCTAACTAGTGAACCACATCTCTTGTTCACCTCCATCATTGAAAGAGTGAATTGTAACATGTGACAAAAATATAGCCTAGTTTGTTCCTGTTTATTTCACACTTTACTCCTTGATGGAGCTTGGAAAACAATCTCCTAAACTCTCTTTTACATCCCATCAAATAAATGTCAATGATTTTAATTAATCTTATTTTGTTTAACAAAACAACAGCTTTACAGGCATTGGAAGTCATGGAATGGACCTCAAAAGCCACAGACATTGTCTGAGCGTTTTGAAATTTGGCAGAATTCTCACCATAACACTGTTGGCAAATGCATTAAAACATTATGCCCAATGCTCGACCAAGATATATCTTATATGGGAGAAACAGATTAAATAATTCAAATCTGTTGGCACGGTGCCCAAATTAAAGAGGCATGTCAAATTCCTCTGTTAAAAAATTATTCAGTAGCACATCTTGTATGATTTCCTTCAAAAAATTACAACAGAAGGAAAAAATAAATACTAATCACTGACGCAAACAAGGTCACAGTCAAACCGGAGTATAATTTGAGCTATAAGAAATGTCATGTTGAATAAAAAAGGAAACATAGTTTCTGAGTTTGGATTCATTTGTCATTAAAACAATACTAGTAAACAGTAGGTATAGTTTTCGAGTTTATAAAATAAGACACACTTTGCAGGTTCAATACTGATGCGAACTTGAATTTCTCTGTTTTCTTTTCAATGGCATGCAGCCGATATGCAATTTCGCCTCGCCATTATCGAAAATTATACAGACATACCCTCTCAAGCAATTGCTACGACAAGCAGAAACTCAGAAAAAAAAGTAAAATCTGGCGAGCTCCTCTAAAGTTGAAAACTAAAACCGAGAAGCGGTGGCAAAACTTCGCGTAAAACGTGGCCGATACGAAACAATTTGAGACACAATTTGTTATTTTTAGACGTGGGTAACGTGTTATGATAAGCCTTCATTAAAAATATATGTTGTTACGGCTTATGTCCCATGCGTACTTACATCAGGGGTCTCTTAGAGAATCAATGAAAACGTTAGAACATATCCAAAACAAAAAGGAACATTCCTTGCCTAGAGTTTGGTTCATAGGCTGAATCCCATTTATACCTTGAAAAAGACATAGCGAGCAATCCAGTGATATAGGGTGAGAACTCAAAGTCGCGAGAGATTTATTTCACTGGCTGTCGCTTCCCTAGAAACAGTTATAAATGCAGAAGTAGACACCAGTAAAGAGAGCTATCTTCTCACGCAAAAATCCTGAAACCTGACGTAAAATATGCGAAACTACCCGAAAAACGACGTTGAAAGTAACGAATAATAGTTTTCGTATTAAGCCATTTCGGGTATTAAATATAAGCTCACTTTGACGAACCAAGGTATTCTTCCAGCACTTTACTTTCGAAGACTAGTACGAACTTTACGTTGATAAGTTCACGCAAGGCTCACAACTTTTCCGAACCAGAGTCAAAATTCTTGGTCTCTAAACGAATGGAACCGATAAAACGGTCGATTTATCCATTTTACTCATAAAAAGGTTTCTACATAGCTTAAATATTTGGGATGAAGCTCAAACGGAAGAATGGAGCGAGTATGGTTGGAAACGATGCACGCTAGACAACCTTTACTTGAGCTTCAAAGCAATCGCGATAGTTTTGGCTTGAAGATAGAAAGTAGAAATCACATATAAAATATTGGAACGCACTTTAATGGGCAATCTACTCCGTTTAAATCGTGTACATCGCCAGTAATGAGTGAATTCCATAAAAAATAGCATTAATACTTGGGGATAACAGACATACACATAGTATTGCAGAACGCCGCGAGATCAGAAACCCTTTTCGCCGAAGAAGCGGCCATTTGCCTTAAAAAGAAACTGTAAGATGTTCGAATGATGATTCTGCAAGCCATATGGAGCAAATGACCGCTTGCACTTCGGGAAAATACAATCGAAAACTAGGTTCGACCTACATACTTGCTACGGTTCGCTAACCGCTGTATTTATTACTTACCTATCTCGCGGATCGACCCATGAAGTTCGTTTAGTGTTGTGATCAATGTAATAAATTCTTCCATCGAAGTCTTTCGCTTCTTCCCAACCTAGTGGAAGCGGTACTTCGCATGTTTTCTTCTTTGGCATGGCGTTTCAGCCACACTTTGCAACCCTACTCATCTACCAGCGTCCATGTTTAGCTCACTGTGGTCACACTACAGCGGTTTCTCGATGATTTGAATTCGTCAATTTCGCGGCCATGTCAGTTTCATTAGCATTGTCCCATAGTTGAAATTCCGTGTCGCACATTAAACCACAAATCCCGCTAAAACGAGGGCCAAATTCATAAAAACCCGTAAGATTTCGCCTCCATATGCATGCGAGCCCTCTAAATTATTTCGAGTCAGTCTAGTATTTAGACAATTTATTTTCCTGCAGATCGACGTGTTTGATATATGCATTGTTTGAGCAAATAAACCAATAAGAAGCTTGCTCTTATAATAGCGCTCGATATATTGTATGCGGTTAAAATCTTTGGAATACTTTGCCTATGTAATTCTCCGCCCCTGTTGTGTGGTAATTGTTACGAGACAAGCTTGATTGGTCTATTGGATTGCGCGCTATTATTGTCTTAGATTTTGACAGCTCTCTTGTGCCATCTGCAAAAAATTCCGCGCGTGCAGAAAATTTCGCGCTGACAAGTCATGCCGGAATGCACTCTAAGAGCTTTATCTCGCGTGTCATCAGCAATGAAAGACGTTTTACAACGCAATTTCTTCTGTCCTCGTAAACATTGAACTTTATTAAAAAAAGTAAGATTCTTTGTCTTTTTCATTCTTTTATCTAACTTTCCATCGTGGCACGAGCTTGCATCACTCACCCCCCAAGGGAAATAAGAAACTTCCCTGGAATTTTTCATGTGATTACTATTTTCTTAGAATTAGAAAGCACGAGATATATTGGTCCCACTGAAAAGTGCAGAACCTATCGAGTATCACTCACTTTAGCCTAGTACTCTAAAAAAGATAAAGAAACCTCTTGATGATAAACTTCAAAGTTTAACCGCACGTTCCGATCATGTTTTGAAACATTACACCAGTGAGAAAAGTCATGAAAGCATTTAATGATATCATTTGGAACTTTAGACCTTGAAAACAGTTCTGTTTCATGAACAGGAGGAATACTTGCAATGATTCTTGTGTCAAAAACAGTGTTAACGTCGCTCAGGAAATGATATAAATAGTTACATATCCTTCTTACAAAAATTCCTTCGTTTCTTTAATCATCAAGGGTCACTTGGGGTCAGGCCGGCCGGAACATTCGATCAAAACAATTCCTCAGTTCTCTCTCTTTGACCTCATCTCGCGCGAGTACTGGGGAAATTCAAGAATTCGTCCACCACTTCCGGTGCGAAATGCAGTACGTGATATCCAATGAAGCGTATGTGACGAAGATGGAGGCCTATGGGCGTGAACAGGCAGTAGCTGAGGAAATAATAGATCTCAAAGCCTGAATTCCTACATTTTTCCTTTTTCATCATCATTTAAAAAAAAAAAACGTTCCCCTTCTCCTTATTTGAAGACTGGACGGAATAGTGCTTTGATTTTTTTCACTGTGTACCTGTTCTCTATAAAAAAAGAGTTTACACATTGGAACATGGATAAGAGGTTGACATAACCTCCTAAAGTGGTAGTCCTACAATTTGAGGTTAACTTGAGAAAAGGCAGTTCAACTTAACCCTAGCCTACAACTCTTAAGATGTAATGATTGATTCTCTCCTTTGGCCAATACACATTTCTATGTAAATTAATTGTGAGAATTTGGTGCTAGATCAAGATAAAAATTTTACCAATAAGTTTGTGTATTCTCATTACCTTTTTATTGGATAATATATGGATATTAAAGGGAGAAGTTACATGTTAATCTCTTCTGGGAGTTAAAGAATTAACTGAGTCAAGAAAAACAATTGTGTGTAAACAAAATTTGTTAATTCTGTACTGATTTTACTCATTCACATAGTCTTCAGGCTTGTTTGAGAGTTCTGCAAGTTTTTCACCATAATATATTGTAATTAAGTCTTAAACCACTGTGTTAGTTTCGACTCAACTTCCCTGAATTTGATCTCCACCAATATAATAGCCTTGCTTGTCAGGTCATGTCCCTTTCTTCGAACATTTTTGTTTTTAGTCAACCCCTTCAAAATCATGAACAGTTTCACAGTGTTTCAATTTTATATTTCACTGAGAATAACATGCTAGTTAGCTCAGTTGGTAGAGCACTGCACCAGTATCACAGAGGTCATGGATTCAAATCCTGTACAGGCCTGAATTTTTTTCAGGCTTTTTTTTTAACTACTGCTTAAGTAGTGTTCATCACTACTAAGATAGCTTTCATATTAATTTCTTAATCCATACTTCATGTATATGATTTCATATATTCACAGTCGTTAAATTATATGTATGTGACATATTTTTAATACCAACATCAGAGCAAATCAATGTTTTTTAAAACATGGATAAGGGTAAGATTTTTCCTTTACAGCCACTCGTCCAGCTCGAAGTTCATGATGAATTCAAAATCTCTGTAACTCACTCTCCCATCTTGGTCCATATCTGCCTCACGAAACAGCTTCTCTATGGTAACAGAGTCTAAAAAGGGTGCAACATGCTGAAATATCCTCTTAGCAATATCTAATGTGATAAAACCATAGCACATGGCATCAAATGCAATAAACATCTGACGAATTTCATCATTGTTATCTTCTGCCAAAATCTTCTTTTTCGCTATCTCTGTGAAATGTTCCAAAGACATATGGTTGTGATCAGAGGTTTTTTCACCCCCAAAGGCCTTTGGTTTTGTAGCTAGGGGTTGATCACCAGGTGATAAAGTGTTGACTCTGGAAACCGCAGTTTGTGTTTTGCCCATGAGTTGTGCTACTTCATTTTTGGATGGCTTGTACCCAAAAAGGGACACAAATGCCACTTTGAGATCCTCACTAGACAAAAATCCTTTGCCCTCTTCATCTGCATCATGGAAAGTTTGTACAATTTGACTCAGTCTGTCTTCTGTGATATGCCTCAAGGATTTTCTAAGTGGCAACTTGGGAATGTAGTTTTCCATGTCACTATAGACGCTGACTTGCAGTTGTCAATATCTGAAAGAGTAGAAAATTATCTCAGATAACACTCTTAGCGTATGAGCAGAGCCAAGCTGTCTTTGGGGCTGCTTCACGAGCATCTTGCTTTTTTTCTTTTCCCAAATAGTAATGTATTTTTATGTGATTATGAATAATAGGGTAATACAGAAATCTTTCCTTTGATTTTCATAAACTGGCTCGCCAAGACTAGCAATAAATACCCGTGGGCTAGGAGAAAGCAACTGAAAGAATAGCATAGGTTACCTGAAAGTAGTTACATATACCCATACAACAATACACAGCCTTACCCGCCATTTTTGAATCACCATAAGCTTGAGTGGCCAAGCCTTATTCTCATTCTTACTTAGTCTCTCCGCTTCCTTTGAACACAACAGAGTCTAAGCGATGCCATCCGAAGGTGCCTACACTTTAACTCTGATATTTTGCCACAAGCGATTCTTGATCAGCAGCTATTTTGCTAGAGTACCAAAAGAAGCCCTAAAAAACAGTTTCTCTCTATTCTCCAGGTGTTGAAGTGTTTTCGAATCCCCTGGCTCCTCCGTCCTCTTCGGGCTCCTACACATCTCATCATGGCGGAGGGTACGTGGCGTGAACTAAGTTTTTTCTATGTGGCTTAACTATTATCATTATTTATCCATAGGCTGTTTTCTGTAACATATTAGCAGCAAAACCACAAAGTACAACGGTAGCTTATGAATTTTTGCCTCTTGATATCTATAAAATTATGGAAATCTTCGATCAAGAAAAGCTCAATGCATGGTTTGGATCACGGTCGCTAACACGAAACTTTTATAAATACCCAACAATTCTCAGATATTCACCACCCTTTTTGCTTCGATAGATTTAGGAAATTCTTGAATAGTTAATTCTACCTGATGAAGATCTGAATCAGTGAGTCGAGGAATTATACGAAGAACGATTTGTTTGTATATATTTAGGGTGTCTGCAGCTGCTTTGACGAATGAAGATTTTCGTAAACTTTTGATGACCCCTCGTTCTGGGGTGCCATCTGTAGCTCCACCGTCGACAAAGTCATCAAGTCACAGCAGTAAAAGTGTACCAAGCAGTATCTATTCACATCGTAGCAGTAGGTGAGCGGTCTATACTTGGTGTGTTAATATATATATATGTTAATATATATATATATAACAAATGAACTTGTGGTATTTAAATTTTGAGGGTTTTCAACTTTTTTCAGTTAACCTGTGGGAAGCTGTTCAAACGAAAACTTAGAAAATGCCAATCTGAAAAGTTAACTGACCAGCAAAATTTTAATGCCACATGTAGTGATGAGGAAGTAAAGTGTGATGTCACATGTAAATTAAGTCCAAGTCATAGGATTAATTAAAAGCCTGCAAGCAACAGCTGCTGTAAGTAGTTGGTTTTAGGATATTCCGAAGATATTTACACAGCAAAAACAATGCATTCTTAATTTGTCTTTAGGATCCCACCAGAACTTTTGTATTTGTTCAATTTTTTAGAGAATAATATAGAAACAACCCTTAAACTCCCAGGTCAAATTTGTAATTCTCCTTACTGTCAACTATACAGTTCTTATAATGTTACTTCAGAGAATTAAGTATTGGATCAACTTACTATCCCTAAATTGATATCCCCTGGTAACTCAAACAAGATCTGATTTCCGTTGATGCATTTTTCAGTCATTCAGTCTCAGTTAACATGAACACCTGCTTACTCAAACAATTTTTTGTTTCCCTTGGAAATTCAAGTTAAAGGGGTTCTACTGTATTTTGTCAAACAATACCAATGCATTTATAAGAAAATAGGAAAAGAAGTAAGGACAAAAATATTATATAAGTGAGGTTACAAACCTTGTTTTATTTTCACACCAAATCATCTTTCAAAACCATGTTAGGAAATACATGGTATCCAGAAAGAATAATTCCAATTTAGATCCTTGGAGTTAATTGGTAATAAAAGATTAAATTTCACACCTACCTTCTTAAACAGAGATGATGATGATGATGATGATGGTGACGTTGAAGGAGATGATGATGATCCTTGGTCAAGAAGGAGGAAAAAGAAGAAGTAAGTGGAGTCAATTAAATACAGTGTTCTCCTTGTACCTAGTAATAAACTAGGACAAAATTGCAAAAGGGGTAAGTTTCTATAGAAATTCTGGTGCTATGCAGTTTTCTTTTTGGTGGAGGAGGGGGTGTTATATAACAAGTTGGTTATAATGTGAATTGTGTTGGTCACCACAAAGAGATTCTAAAACTGACATTTAGAATGCTAACCCTTTGTCAGAGGAAATCCATTATTGTCTCAATTTGTGTTTTAACATCCTCCTTTTGTCTAGATATTATGCAAAACTCAAAAAGATGGAGGAGGAAAGAGAGCAGGAGCTTGCAAGTAAATACAGAGATAGAGTGAGTAACGGTGAATCTCATTGAGAAGGAGCATCTGTCTAATCTCATAATGTAAAAAAGTTGTGTTTTGCTTGATCTCCTGTTATAAATCTTATAATTTTCAATGGGAATTGTGATTGGTCAAGTAACAGGGTCCTTCTCTACTTCAGCATCTGTTGCCAAAAGCTGTAAGTTTTGATCTATTACCAGTATTTCTGAACTGTACCTGGTTTGTCTCACTATTCTTGTCACCCTAAGCCAATTTGTAAATTTAAAGTAGATCCTCATTTTTCCCCTTTGGTTAATGGTGACTTACCATGCTTTTTGGTCTTGTATCAATACAGATAAAAACTGGATCATTTTCATAATTGTAAGTTACTGAGCTAAGAAAAGGTAGTGAGACTGGATTTTGTTTTATCTTACTTTGCTTTTTTTTGTTGTTGTTTTTTTTAAGGCAAGGGAACGACGAGATGGTCTTAATCCTGACTACCAATCAACAGACACCCTAAGTGCAACAGCCAATTACAGAGCAGTAGGTCCCACAGCAGAGGCAACGTAAGACTGGAAAGCTTTTAATTCTGATATATGTTTTTCAGATAGTGTGTGTCCTACTCCATGAATCCTGTTTCATGAGTCCTGTTTTATAACATTTCAAAATAGCAGGTTTTGATAATTTTTATTGACTTATATTACAGCTTGATTTTTTCCTGGTAAATTTTTTGTAATTTATATTTGTACAGAGAAAAAAAAATCTGTTTGTGCAAACCTTATTATCATACATTGCTGTACTGTATATGTAGAACAAAGAAAAAAAAATTAAATCAAAGACAAAACATAATCAGATCATATGTAAAGTCAGAGCTGGTGCTCTGCCAGTAGGGATTATCGGACATAATGCTTGTTGTTCTCTGATGAGTCAGATTTTTAACTGTTCACATATCCCACTACAGGAACACTGCAGCAGAGCGCCGTCGCCAAGCTATCCAGGAGAGTAAGTTTCTTGGTGGTGACATGGAGCACACTCATCTTGTGAAAGGCCTTGACTTTGCCTTGTTACAGAAGGTGAGTTTATAGGGTCCACTATTTACTCCAAATTTTACAGTAAGAATAAAGGGGTTAAGTTTCTAAAGGGAAAGAGGGTATAACAAGATAATTTGGTTTAATCAACTAAGTTGAAAATGTAAGCTGGCCAATGCATAGAGTTTGTAAAGCTGAAATTTTGAGTGTTAGCACTTTGCTAGAGAAAAAGCCCTTTATCCCTTGCTTTGAGGAAGGGTTGATACTCAAAATGTCAGCTCTTATTTACCATATTTCTGGATAAGGAGCAAGTTTGCTTTATGTTGGGCATTAGCATTTTAAGGAGTTGTATGTACTGATTTACTGATAGTCTAGTCTGGAGTTATCCTGGTTTAGGATATTTGTTTACAAGCTTTGTCAGAGTTAGCAGGAGAATAGCCTTAGACTAAGTGTACAATAACAATACAATATTCTTCACACATGAGAAAATAAAGAAAACCTCAGACAATGAAAATTTTCCTCAACATTCTACATAGTAGCCTAAAATCCCTGCCAAATTTCAATACTTGTGGTTGTTCACTTGATCAGAAGGATTCCTAGGGAGGTTATTCAATCCCTATGCCTTTGCTTATTCTGCTTGGTCTTTGTAGCATTTAGCTGTTGGCACAGGGAACCCAAGTTCTAACTGCAAGATGGGTTTAAAATTTTTTCTTGCAATGACCATTGTTTCTTACTTTGTTTTTTTGGTTTATTTAGGTTCGTAGTGAAATTGCAGAGGAAGATGAGGAAAATGAGGAGCTGAGTGTTAAAAAACCAAAAAACAAACAAAGGGACAAGTATGTACACATGTACTAGTTTGTGGCCTTAGTCATTTCAGAATGACTAAAAAATTGTTATCTTTACTTATATTTGGGTAGAAAAGCTCAAATCTATTCAGAAATACTTGGGTCTGATTGTTTTTGTTTGTCTACAGGGAAGAAGAAGATGATGCAAATGAGATTGAGTTTACTACAAAACTGGGTAAACTATTGATTATTGCTTCATGTCATGGGGATGTTGATCCTTAGTCTGAATGTCCAGTGAGGGGAGTCCTGAATAGAAGTGTTGTCAGTGATGTTGATGGACACCTAAAAAACTTATCAGAAGTCATCATCAGAGTTGTAAGAAGTTCTTTTTAAGTCACACGTCAGGATTACTTGAGCTCAGGAAGTGATTTGGAAACACCAATCATATTGTAACCATCAACAGTCCTTTTTTTTTTAATGAAAGTATCCAAACAGCTTCTTGCAGAAATTAAAATATTTTTGTTGACAAAACTTCTTTCAATTATTTTTGGTCCACAGGTCAAAAGATCTACAAATCACTGTTCAGAAATCGCCCAGCAGATAGAAATGAACTATTTCAGCCAGGGCGAATGGTATTGATAACTTAACTACTGTTTCAGTCACTGTAGTTCATTGACTTTGTTTAAATTTTGTGGACAGCTTTTAGTAGAGCAATGAGAAGGTTTATTTTCAGTTATTACTTCACACTGACTGGCCATACAAATGCTATAAATGTACTTGACTAAAAGGCCCATTGGTGGGGGAGGGAAGGGGGCTAACTGATTAATTTATTGATCAATTGTTTTTGGGCCTCTAAGCTGGGTGATCATCAGGGAGGAATACTCTTTAGGGATGGGTTGAGGCCTAGTTTAAGCTCACTGATAACCACAAGGTCAGCCATTGTTATCTTCTCAACTTTCTCTGTACAGCTTGTCGTTTAGTGGTTGGAAAAACCTACTGCACAATATTTCAAATGGAACTACTGAAGACCTCTAATTACACTAATTGCCTTGAAGTGAAACCTACAGTAGCTTGTTAAATTAAATTAAAAAAAGTACAGTATAGCACTCTTATTTTGCCTGTTTTTTTTTTTGTAGTTTTTCTGTAGGGGATGGGGAAGGGGGAGGGAATGGCTCATTAGAGGACAGGTGTAATGGGATGTCATTGTAAACATAATTTTCCTTTTTTCAATTTAGGCATATGTGTTTGACATTGAAGATGAATATGCTGAAAGTGATATACCCACAACTCTTATTAGGAGTAAAGCAGATTGCCCTGGAATTGAAGTAAGTCATATCGTTGAAATCCTGTCCTCTCATTTTGTGATGTTAGGGTAAAGGAATTTAAGGAGTTTGGATACAGTGTTATACACCCATTTGAAATGATTTAAGGAAGCTTGAAAAAATCTCCTGAAAACTAAAATACAAGCTATTTTGATCCAATGTATTTAAAAAAACACATCATATGCCATACCAGGATGAAATATCTTGTGTCTTCACTGTTAAGCTTCCATTATTGTTTTTTCTAGACTCAAGCTACACTCACCACCAATGACATTGTCATCAACAAATTGACCCAGATTTTGTTGTACTTACGCCAAGGCACCAGAGGAGGGAAAAAGGTCAAGAAGAAAGATAAAGGTATCTTTCCCTCCACACACAACCCTTTAACTCCCAGACCAAATTTGAAATTCTCTTTACTGTTGACCATACAATTCTTATAATGTTAGTTTGGAGAATTTAGTATTGGATCAACTAACTATCCCCAAATTGATAGTTTTCTCTATTCTCATCACTTGTCTGGTTGATATTGTATTGATATTGTAAGGAGAAATTCTGTCTTGGTCACTCATGGGAGTTAAAGGGTTAAACATTGGAACTCATATTCTCCACACCGTTCTCTTTATGTTACCTCTCATCTCCTCTATTCCCATCACCTCAATGTTCGATACAGGGTCAATATTGTATGGGAAATTTTATGCCAATCACTCTCGGAGTTTTAAGGGCTACACTTGCACTGCAATATAAAGGCTTGCATGTCTTGTATTTTGGAAAGCACACAGGACTGTCAAACTCAGGAACTCAGGTAGCATTATAAGTTTCAGTGAATGATGATATCCTCTAAAATGCTGTCATGCTGAAGAGGTGACCCTTTAAAAAAGCAAAATATGGTAAACCTTTGCAGATTAATTTTCAACTTGTATCAACACTGCATTTTTTCTATTTAATATTTAAATTTTGTAAATACCAGTTACTTTGAATAGTCCATATACATTTTGAATCTTTTAAAGGATCTGAGTTACTTTTAGTAACAAGTTTCTAATATATTCCATGTGTAGCAAAGGAGAAGGACAAGAATGACAAACAAGGACAGAGGATACGTGCTCCTGAAGCTGATGATAGGTGAGAGCTGATAATGAGTGGATGTTTTAAGAATATTACATAATGTAGCTTAACAACTGTGTTGCTAAGTGGAGGTTAGGTGCCTGAAACATCCAGGAGCTTCCACTATTGGCAGCCAGCTCTTAGATGGCTGGCAAATCCTTGCAACCCAGCCATGACCCAAGAAAGTGAAACAGGCATTTGTGAATAAACAGTGGAAAGAGGGAGGGAAGGGGTAGGAAAAGCTGCCTGGACAATGAGCTATCACTCCTCATGACACTGCAAGTTCACGCTCAAAGCACCCCCAAGAACACCTCAAATAAAGAGCACATAGAATTATGACGCATGCACATTTGCAAAAAACCGCTGACTTCCAGAGAATGCTGATGCTCTTTGTTGTAACCTCTGTTAAATTGCATTTAACTGCATTTAAATTTTCCATATCATAGGAAAAATTTTGATCATGCCTTTTTTTTTTTGTGAAGGCTTTATGCTCAGTTGTTCACTCCCTTTTCTCTAACAAATCAGTGCCCATTGATTAACCCTTTACACCTTAACGGCAGTGTGCACATTCTGTGTACTAGTCTTTGTGCATTCCCTATAGAACTAGCATGCAGAATTCAAGAGCAACTTCTGTTAACAATCATTTTCTTTACTCCTGTGGCCTTAATTGGTGCAACAGTGATAGTCAGTTGTGGACAGAGTGTATTATCGATCTCATTATAATTTCTTAAAGTCAAGTTTTGACTGCTGTACCTAATAGCCATCTGCATGAAGTCAATGATAATATTATCATTTAACATGGTTGCATTGCTTAATTGAAGCATCTTTGGAGAAATTGGCGAGTATGATCCTACTTCAAGCACAAAAGAATATGAAAAGAAAGAAAAGGCAAAAGAAAAAGACAGAAAGAAATCCAGGAACTCTAGCAGCTACTTTGAGAAGTCTGCTGCAGGAGAGGATGAGGTATGAATGTGAAACTGATCTTTGAAGTAATTTTGCAGCAGGGAGTAATGATGTAGCAAGATGAGGTATATAAACATAAAACATGAGCTGGATATGTCACTGCTGGAAAGGAAGGGGGGGTTAGAAGTGGAGAATTAAAGGTGAATGGAGCCAGGAGAACAGTGTACTAGCTAGGAGATCTCAGAGGGCCACTCAAACTAGTTAGAGACTATTGAATAGAGGAAGTTTTAACACAGTATGTTACATTATTTTACTCTGAAAAAGTACCCTTCTTCTGTTTTGAATTACATGTAGTTTTCTGTTAGTGCTAGTGTTGTGATGAATTTTAATAATCATCATGGTGACCATAATCATCACTATTTTTATTGCTTCCTTCATATGATTGATTACAATTATTATGTTTTATCAATGCATTCTTTTTTCTTTTTTTTTACAGCAACAGTTTAGTAAAAAAGGTAGGAGCTTACCATGTGAATATTTTGTTGTTGTTGTTTTTCTTTCACAAATTTAGAATCTTGTTTTAAAAATTAATATATTATTATATATTATAAATGAAATTGTTTATGTCTTACACCTTTTGTTGAATTTCAGCAAACAGAAACCCAAAGCAGTTAATTTCTAGACTGAAATGATCTTCAAAGCATGTAACACTTGTCAGCTAGCGGCTGTTGTCTTGATATAAAATGATCAGAGGAGCTTAAAGGGAGAATTACAAAATCCATCAGTTTTTGGGGTTACATTGCTAATCAGAACTTTTATGATAAGAATTTTTCAAATCTGTTTTGATAGCAAGTCATTTCTCTCCTTCTATGTAGACGTTTCTGCTGAAGATTTTGCTAAGTCAGTCACACAGACGTTTGGCAAAAGGGTATGTTTAAGAGTTTTCTGTAACTTCTGTATTTTTCAAAAGGACAAAAAAACTTTTTCATTTTTCATCATTTTTGTAACTTGTCATGGTCTTGTTTTGGCAGGAAATGGAACAAAGAGCTGCTTGGGATTCAGTTGATCCAAAGTATCCTGTCAAACAAATAATTTATTTATTAACAAGACAGTTACTAACTCAATCCTTTAACTTCCTGCTGAGATTAACATGTAACTTCTTCCAATAATGTCCATACATTATTGAGCAAACAGGTAATGAGAATACTCAACCTTATCAGGTGTTAGTTATCTCGATCTAACACCAAATTCTCATAACTAAATTACAAGGAAATGTACAGCTAGAGGGGAGAAACAACAACCAGATCTTGGGAGTTCAGGGTTAAGTGTACACATCTTTATAATCAATTCATGAGGAAGTTGGAAGTTACAAATAAAATAATTGTGAGACAAGCGATAAGAATAAAGAAAAATTTCACTTAAGGATTATTAGTTGATCCAATACCAAATTCTCTGAACTAACATCATAAGAATTGTTTAATAGACAGGAAGGAGAATCAATTACTGAGATCTTGGGAGTGAAAGGGTTAACGAAACTAAGCCACATTCATTTGAAAGCTTGGACTTTTTACTTTAAAAGTGTTATTTTTGCGGATTTAGCAACATAGTACATTTTTCCAACACTTGGTGATAGTTGAACTTAACTCCTTCAAAGACGAAAGAAAAGAGACAAACATGCACGTAAAGTGAAAGATGCCAATTACATTCCAGATAGCTACTCAGAGTGTTACCCAGGGTAAGTCATTTATTTTTAAGGAGTTCACTGAGCCAGTCTTGTTCTTACCTTTATGTTGCATTCTGTTGACTGCTGCTATGAAAGTTGTGTTTGAAAGGTCTATGTTTGAGCTCAGGCCAGGTTCTTGATGTACAATAAAATCATGAAATTTTTTCATGATTTCTTTGTTTTGACTGTTCTCTGCCCCTTTGTGCAACTTCATGACAACATTGTCCAAAATTTATGAATTTTTAATTAGTGCAGGCAGTATCAAAACAGGCAATCCCAAGTGGACAAGATGAGGCCCGCTTGCCTAGCCAATCACAACACAGGATTTGGTTCATCTTGCCCACAGGCGCTGCCTGCTCTAATAATTCAAGTTTTTGACCATGCACAAGGTCATCAAGTAGTATCATGGGAAATTAGATGGAAAAAAAAATGTGTCTAAAAGCATGGACAACAGAAAAAATTTATTTTAGATGATCCCAGTGTTTACAACTATTTATTTGGTACATAATGTTCTTTTTCTTGTCTAGTGCCGTTGATGTGCCCTATGACAGTGATGAGGAGGCAGATTACAGTAAAATGGATTTGGTATGTGATAAGCTTAGTGCTAGTTCCAGTTTCTTCCTTTAACATAAGATGCAAATGGGAAAGAGGTTTGCCTTTGGAATGGATGCCTGTTTTGTCCCCAAATCAACTTGATTTATCAAAAGCAAGCACCTGACATCTATATTTATTTTAAGTAGGACTGGAATCACTATTCACACTTATGTTACCCTAGAAAAAAACTCTTTTGTTGAGTTTTTTTTCTTTTTTCATCTAACATTTAATTTGCATTGTATCAGTTTGGAAAATAGCATAACCTTGAATTTTATTTTGTGATTAAAATATGGAGTCAGAATGATTGAATATTTCCAAAAAAAATCAGAGCAAGGGAACAGAAAGTTTAAACTGATCCTTTAGAAACAGCTTTATATTGGGAGATTTATGATCATCATACATCTGGATTTGCTCATTTTCAAACCTTTATCTTTTTCTATCAGTTAGTTTGCGATAGCTTTGAGCTCTTCTGGTTCACTACTAATTAAAACAACCGTCACCGTATCAGAAATTACTCTAAACTTAACTTTCTAATTAAAGTTAATATACATACATTAGATAAAAATAAAAGAGAAATACTGAAATACTTTTGATCTGTTAATAATTCCAGAGTTTTTTTAACTAATGTAAAATTGAAGATGTAATTTTAAAAGTTGACAAAAATGGTTTTGAGAACTATTTGTAGTGGACAAATACGAATTGAAACCAAACTTCATGAACCCTTTAAATGGTAACAGGATTGTCTGGCTGGAACTTTGCATGGCCGAAAACACTTTGCACCATTTGTTAGTACTTTTCAGTTACATTCTTTGTTAGGTATTTTGTTGTTTGTTACAATAACTCTCTTTGTAATAATTTATGCACTTTTAAATTTACAGAAGTGATTTTACATTGATTGAAATTTATTTTGTATGATTATTTTTTGTTAAATTTGTTTATTTGTTTGTCTGTCTTTTTTTCCCTCAATGCTTGCACATGTTTACTTTCAGTTGTCCACTCTTAGCCCAGTGATGGGTGTTGCAATTTATTTTGACACAAGTTTGATACACTGAGCACATTGAACTTTCTGAGTACTCAAACAACTTTGAAATAAGATAATTTCTAATTGGTTTTATCAGCCGAGTTGACAATGTAAATTTGGACACTGCAGAGAGTTTTGAAAGCTGACATTTTGAGTGTTAGCCCCTTGTCAGAGTGAACATTGAAATAATTCACTGACTAAACTTGCAAAAAAACACAAATCATTGATTTAATGATAATTAATGATAAAAATGATGATGAAAAATTAAACTTAAGCAAAATAAAAAGAAATAACTAAAGGTTCTGGCCAAAAATTTCATGTTAAAGTGCATGACAACCTCCTGTTGTTGCCCTTTGTTCATAAGTATCATCCCTTGTCCTATCATAATAAAAAAATTAAAGATAAGTTAACTTCAGTTCAGACACCTTCTGTGAGCCAGCAATACATTTACTAGACTTTTCCTTGCATTATGCTGTACAAAACTCAATTGTTAATTGTTAAAATTAATTGTTGGCAGTGTTTAAATCACCTATATTATGAAGTAACTAAATTTATGTAATGAAACAAATAGTTAAAATGAAATAAAACGAGGTTAACAATCCCAACAAGCAAGAGAGAAACAAATACGTTGTTTTTAAAATGGTTTAGGACTTAAACTAGAGCCTCTAGATTGCAAATTTATTTTAATTGGTGTGACCATGTCATCTTTCAGGGTAACAAGAAAGGTCCTATTAAAAGATGGGACTTTGAGACAGAAGAGGATTATCACAGCTATATGGAAAGTAGGGAAGCTCTTCCAAAGTAAGTATCTTTTGTTGTACTTATTGTGCTTTAGTTGATGTCAAAGATGTATCTTTTTGTTGGTTGTTTTAATAGTAACCTAACAATGCTCTGAACTGAATTCCCCCTACTTCAATTGACCAATCAAAATTGACTTAAGTCTCTTTTGTTTGATGCTACTTGAGTAACAACAAGATGAACTGATGAATCAGTGCACACAAAACTGACTAACTGAACAGGTAATCAACTCCTCACTAGACCCTGATGATGACGTCTGCTCAGGTTGTGGAAATGTTAGTTGCTGTCATGTGTCAGAGTCCATGCTAAATCTACTCTCACTGAATGAACAGATGTCATTTCTTGCGAGCTTTTGATCATAGTGATAAATTAATTCCATCCAATTGTTGAGTAGACAATTACTTGTGACAAACTATAATCATAATAAAAATAAGAGGTGAAACTGTTCTTTATGGCTATAAATTTTCAATCCAGTACTTATTTTGGGTCTGCAAAATGTTCACTGATGAAAAGTATACTAATGGAGACAAAGGAGAGGGTATATATTAAGAGGTGCTGTGAAATTAGAGGCTGCATGCATGCTTCACCTTGCCAGACTAACTTTGCCGGACAAAACTTTTATCTTGCAGGGCTGCCTTTCAGTTTGGAATTAAGATGTCAGAAGGACGCAAAACACGGCGTGCTGGACCCAAAGATGAGAAGGCTAAATTAGACAGGGACTGGCAAAAAATCAGTCAGGTACAGCTCAACTCTCTCTACAGTTTCATTTGAATGCACATCAATAACAGAAATTAATCAACAATTTGTTTATTCCCCTATGATCAGTAATCACAAAGTAATTTTTAAAATTTTGTTGAGCAGTAGTAATTATTAGTGACTCATGGGTTACAGACAGCTGATACTTTTTCTTGATGTAGCAGAATAATAGGTATCATATTTTCTTTCTCATTTTTATTTTTCATCATTAGATGTTGAGTAAAAGGAAAGGAGAGGAAGGGTAAGTTGCCCAAAACTTGGAAAAAGACATGTATTTTCAAAAAATGAAACAACAACAAAATTTATAAATGAAATACGGTGAAGTCTGAACACAGCAAAACAAATCTTACTTTTATGTGGCTCACAAATTACATAAGTATAATAATTGAATGAAATGGAAATTTTATCATCATGACCTATCACAGTTCTATTAATAAAGGAAACCTGTAGAGCAGCTTTAGCATAAAAGAAGCCCAACTTTAATTGCAGTCATGGTGAATTTTTTACTTCTTTTTTAAATTATACAACAATAAAGCTGTGGCTGCATGATTAGTTCTTACTTATTATCAATTGGAAGACATGATCATAGAGGATGTCACCATGAACAACACTTTGCTGGCTGCTTCTTGTGTGCCATTTTTGTTTTTACTGCATTTTGACATCACCTGTAATCTGTTACCAAACAGACACATGGCAACATGGAATCTATTTGTTAATCCCTTAACTCCCTAGATTGCACTAGTAATTCTCCTTACTGTCTGCCAGACAATTCTCATGATGTTAGTTTTGAGAATTTGGTATTGGATCTACTAATAATCCCCCATTTTTCTTTATTCTCATCACTTGTCTGCTTGATATTGTATTGATATTGTAAGGAGAAAGTCTGCCTTGGTCACCCATGGGAGTCAAATGGTTAATGCTGAACTGGTGTCCAATCTAATAAAAATTATCCAGATTTTATAATTTAATGAATCAGCCATGCCACAGCGAATGTATTAATTGTAGCTAGTGGTTCAATGAAACATATAAGTATTTGTAACTATTCTTAACCAATTGTCTTTTAGGAAAGGAGACTCGGATGGCAAGAGAAGAAAGCACAGGGATTAAGCAAGTTATAAATTTGGAAGCATCAAGTGCTTAGATTTTTTATTGTGCTCTTCATGTAACACACTCGTGACTGCCCCTTCATTACAGTGTAGAAAGTCTATATTAATTAACTTCGTAAAATAGAACTTTTGGATTGTAAAAGTTTAAACTTTGATTAAAATTTCTATGTAAAGTTGTGATGAGAATCTGGTAGTGATCAACTTGAAGGTAATGCCAAAACAAAAACAACCCATCAGCAGATAAAGTTGTTGATTTTCATCATCTGTTTTCAATGCAACTTATTAAAATCCTAAGGAGAAGTTAAATGCTGTTCGGAAATAGGGAATAAGCTTGCTAGGAGATAGTTTGTGGGAGTTCACCATGTTATGTGGTGCAACTGAAAGTGTTGGTAAAGAGAAGAACTGTTCAGTTAAGATTCAGTGCTAGGCCATTCTTAGCTGATAGTTTACACTGAAGCAACTCCTTGTAGTCTTTGCAATGTCACAGCTCTCCAAGCTGTGTGATGGTTTAAGTCACCACGGAGAACATAAAAATTGTTGGTGGGTAGATTTTCTGCAATAGTTACCAATTTGAAGACCTGATTTCCCTACATTGTAGTGATTGTAGCTCTCAGTTAAAGTAAGATAAATCCATTTTAAACGTAATGTTTCAAAGAAAATTCCATTAAACTTTCTGTTTTCAAAGACAAGCAGTGTGGCTAGCAGTCCAGCATGTCAAGCACTATTTCACAATTTTTTTCTCAGGTGGCAAAAATTTTTTTGTCAAAAAATGGTGACTTTGAAAGGTGCTGAGCCTGGAGTTCTGCATCATTTTGTAATATTACAAACAGTGCATTATGTTGAGTACTGCAATATTATAATAAAGTTTGACTGAAATTAGTCTGTGTACCCTCAATTTTTTAGAAATAGTCTTCCAATGTTTTAGAGTTTGCTAAATCCCTATTTATCTCTGTATGTCGGTTGGAACTGACAGAAAATTGTACTTACACCTAAAATGCAAAAGGTTGACACCTGAAAAGCAGGATCCATGAACCACGAGGCCCATCAGCTTCATAGAAAAAGCTAATACTGCTATTACTGATACTTAATCAGTGATTCACTTTAATTTCTAGCTATGCATGCAAAACCTTTGGTGTTCAGATGATCCTTTTTTCCAGTTAAGTGTGGATAGATTTAATCACTCACCACATGCATGTCAATGACTTGAGTACACAGAGAGCCATAGGGTCTCACTGATCATTGCAAATGCTTTTTCAGGTGTCAATGATTTAGCTTGTCAACATGGAAAATCCTATAAAGCTAAGAATTTAGAGAGTTTGTCACAGAAAACCCCTAAAAGCCTATTGAGAAAGACATGCCGTTTGTTATTCCACATGGGATTATGTAAGTGTGGAATGTGTGTAGGAACAACTGTTCATAGTCTATTATGTTTCACTAAGACTTTACAAAGTAAAAATTTCAAGAAAATGTTTGAGTACAACTCAATGTTAACAAGAATCAAAAAAGTGTAAAAAAATTAAAGAGTTGAAAAACTTCTAATCTGAAATAAATACAACTGTAATTAGGGTGATGCAACAGACAAACTTTGCTTCGATGGAAAACCATCAATACTAGTAAAATCAATCACAATCTGGCATTTCCTTGGTTTGAATTGTCTGTGAAGAGAGCAAAAAGATGTTTTAAATTGTTAATGTATTCAGATTGAGAATACAGCTAAGAGACCTATCCAGCTAATTCCAGTTTCCTTGGCATGGAGCAACTAGTAATATTGCAACTGCCTCCCCTTCCCCTCCCCCCCCTTAATGGGATGCCAGTCCATCACAAGGTTACCCCTCTGATAAGCTTCCCTGACAATTCACCTGTACACATTTATACTCCTGTAGCCTACATGTAGCCATACCCTTTTCCCCAAGATGAAATGCCTCTGTTTCATACCCAGCTTTTCCCCAAGATGAAATGCCTCATTGACCAACCTTTTGGGGGACTTGAAGACCTTTCCTTCTATGCTCATACTCCTGGGGGGAGAGAGGCAGTACAAAAGTAAATTGCTTTGCCCAAGAACACAACACAATGATCCAGCCAGCAAGTGAATGTGAACCCCCTGACTCAAGAGTCCAGTGCACTGACCACTAGGCCACTGTGTTTCCCTTGATGTATTTAGAATTAAAACTGAAACAGGATGTGGTTTGAACCCAGGAGTGAAAGTTGATTTTGTCACTTGGTTGTCCAGATGAGAGTAATCCTGAGTGAGACTGTCGTCTGATATGTGTTTTTCACTCAAAAGGTATCTAATAATATTGATACATTCAGATCTAGCTTTTACTAAAGTTAATTCACTTCAGGTTTTGAAGATTGGTTCAGTCAAATTCTCAGGATCAAAACTGTGTCTAAATGCTCTACCCAAGTGCTAGATTTAACTGTAAAAATTTTTTGGAAAAGGTCCAGTCAGTGACTGTGACTTTCTACTCATTGACCAAGCTTTAAATCATAGACCTTGAAGACCTTTCCTTCTGAGTCACTTGCTTGCAAAAGTGAAACAATGTATTATGTTTAAACACCTCCATATTAAAATATAAAACACATGTAGTCTGCTAAAAAGACCCGATACTTTCCAGCTAGGCAAGGTCAAAATACCCCACCCCCAGGCATAGACAATGGTAAAAATACCTGGAGGTTGCCCAGGGAGGGATGTTGAAGCTTCCTATTTTTTGGCGCATAACAAATATTAATGAGTTTAACCATGATAGCAAGAGCTATCAGGGCTGAGATGTGGTTTTTGTTAAGTTTGTAGGTATGAAATAGTATCAATAAGAACAAGCTTTTTGCTTTAAGGCAACTTTTAATCAAGACAGTGACACCAATCAACAATAACAACATTCATGATGAATGTAAACTGTGGGTCACTTGCTATGGTTACCTGTAAGTTATCTTGGCCATATTGAGTAGCCTCCTCGATGCCTTGCAGTTTGGTTGATCATGGTACTTATCAGAATAATATATGACTTCCTTGATTCCAGCTTGAATGATCAACTTGGTGCACTCATTGCAGGGAAAAAGGGCAACATAGATGCTACAGCCCTTAATGTCTGCAGCATTCTTATTCAGAATGGCATTCAGTTCAGCATGGCAAACTAGAGAGATGACAAAACAAGATGTTAGACATATAAATGTCACTCATGTGAGGTATTAACCTTTTGCACCCTAATGTCAGTATCTATATTCTCCAAACTCTTCTCTATACATTTCCATTAGAACTGACCAGGAGAATTTGTTTAACGATCAATGCTTGGGTTGGTGATCATTTCCTTTATTCTCATGATCTTAATTAATGATTTTGCAGTATTATTGTAGGGAGAAATTAGAAGCTAGTCACTCTTAGCTAGGGTTTAAAGAGTGAAATATCTATAAGTAAGTCTAATGAGAGGAATTAGACCCAAGCCAGGTGCAATCTCTTATTAAAAGCATTAAGATTTCATTAAGAAATTGTATTTGCTGACAAAGAACAGCTAGGAGACAGACCAGGGTAATTTAGTATTATCAACTGAGTTGATAATGTAAATTTGCTACAGGAAAGAGTTTAAAAGCTGACGTTTCAAGCGTTAGCCCTTCATCAGAGTGATAGGGGGGGTAGGGGAAAGACCAGTTAGAAATTCACAAGTGATAAAGAGTGGTTGTGGTGGGGGGGGGGAGATGGATTAGAGATTTTCCAACCACTCTCCCACTAGTTAGTTGTTTTTCTCTGATTCTTCCAACTTCAAGGTCTTTAACTTTTTTTCACCTCCTTTTAGAAAATGAGTGTAGCTATTCTTTTTTGCCCAATTGCTGTAGTTTCTTGCTTTCTTTTTTTTAGCCCAATAGATGCACAATGTTTTCTTTTAAGCTCACCCACTTCAACTCCCAAATCAAATGGTTCATTCTCCTCTAAGTAGCTTCACATTTCCTTGTAAATCAGTCATAAGAATTTGGAGTTAAATCACGACTACAACTTCTACATGATAAGTTTGAGTGTTCTCATATCCCTTTTGTAGGATAATGTATGAATACTACAGGGAGAAGTTACATGTCAATCATTTCTGAGAGTCAAAAGGTTAAGCTTTCTTTTGGTCCGTCCCTTATGGGCATGTAATGTATTCGAATTTGATGTGTGCTCACCATAGGGATATTTTGTTTCTAGATTGCTCTCTGCTTGTCTCGCCCAAGGTAATTCATCGTCACTGCAGCCATTAGGCATCCCATTGTATCCAATACCAACAATCTTCCTTTCAGGATTCACCACACAGGCTCCTACTTGGGAGTTCGGATCTTTGCTTCTTTGAGCCGAAAGAAATGCGACCGCCATGAAGTATTCATCCCAACTAAGGTAATCCGTTCGCTTGCCAGTTTTTGCTGGAGTTCTAACAGCCATGTTGTTGTGTGCTGTGTTTTCGTCGTGGTCTGTGTCACCGATTTTGGCCACTTTTCCCTTATCTGTATCTTCTTCGGATGAAATTAACTGTCGCTTCGACATCGTTAGCTTTGGCAAAGGAGAGCGTGGAACCGATCGTACCGAAATCTTACCTATTCGATATTTATAACGATTGTTTTTTGTTGTTAGCTTCTTAGGTCGGTTTTTTCGTCCGTGAAGATTGCAAAATACTGAAGAGATTGCTGCGCCTTTAGGGGATTTACAGGCTTTGTGCATCAAAACAATCTATTTTTCCCGCGAAATTGTAAATATACCTGACATATAAAAAACTCTCTCATTGGGTATTAGTGATAATGCCTCTTTTTTAAGCCAATCAAATTTCTTGTTTTATAGCATTCTCGAACGCAGCATGGGACAGCGGTGTCCAGGCCTCACTTCCACGCAGGGTGTGTGGAAATAGGAAAGGCTACTCCGTCGAATTTGTATGCAGAATAATTTGCATATACATATTTTTTCCCTGTTTGGGAGCTCTATTTGGCAGAGGGAAATATGTACCTACTTCTACCACGTATTTCCTGGAATGCCATGGCTTCTCACGCAAGGAGCTTTTCTTTGATTCTTTAGCGCAAAATGTACAGGTTCAATCAACATTCGAAGGGTTCAGGAGAGATCTTTGACGTTGTTCTCTCTGGAGGTTCACCTTGGGGTTTTACATTGCAAGGGGGCAGTGAATTCAGAACGAAGCTTTGCGTCTTAAAGGTCAGTAATCTAACCAGTGCGTCCTTTCCCAGAATGTTTGGTTTGTTTAGTAACGATAGGAGTCGAGTAGGAAATTAGATCTCCGTTAATGAAATGGTGGTCGCGGGTCTCAACTGATTCTTTGTGTTTAGTGTTTTTTGTAGTCCGACTAAGGGTAGATTGTTGGGTATATTTCCATAGCCAAAATATAGGAACACCAATAGACAAAAATAAGCTCTGATTGAAAGATAACCGGTCAATTTTAACTTGGTGTAGTGTTACCTTCCTGGTTAGAGCGAAATCCAAGCCGTTTACCGTTTGTGTTTTACTTCTATCGAATACCGGTTGTTATAGCTTCCGTAGGTTGACGCGATGCCTGCGTTTTTAACATGCTTCGCACTTAATTACGTCCTCGAATGAGTATTCTGTATTGGAGGTGTTTCTTCGTAGACGTTTGAAACCTGAAGATCGAGTGTTCCAAACGAATCTTCGAGAAGCGTTGATCGGATATGCGACAAGTGCATCGCTAAAATGTATGAATGTCTGACTTGATGCCCAGCACCAGTTGATGTGATTGACACTCCGAGCTTACTTACACTTATCGCGGGACCTCTGGTGATTGTATTTTCGTGGGATGTTGCGCTCATGACAGACTGTAGAGTTTAAATATTGTGTTACGTCGAAGTTGTGCTAAAATCTTTCGCATTCCAGTGTAACGTCGCTGAAGGACGGGGGTCAGCTTTTCGCGTTTACGTCGATGTTTTGGGGATAAGCTTGAGCGAACGAAGGTTTGTCAGTGTGTGTTACATTAAGGGATATTTGTGCTCTCGCAATTTGATGAGATAATTTGTCTCTTTCGTTCAAACTGAACTGCTTCACAGCAGCCAGAGATTGTTTGAAGAGGGAAATGGAAATATGGGTAAAAATATTTTACGATCGATGCTTCTGTTGGATGGATGTTTGCAGAAATGCAGAGGGTTCGAATCACGGATTCATAATGGCATGTTTCAAATATGAAATGTATAGACATGGTTGACTGATTCTTAAGTACAGGTTGTTCGTTCTCACAAACTAAATCTCGCCTCACAGGAAAACGAATATTAATTTACCACGTAGTCGTATTTCATTGAATTAGTAAGAATGTTCGGAATCCTTCCCTTGATTGTTGTTGTTTATCTCGGTTTTCTCCCGTCGTAGTGTATATAATTTTGTCTAGATTATTTGTTTATGTCTGAGGAACTCTCAACATACACGTCGAATTTTTACCTTTTTGAAAGCTTTTGTTTTGTTTTATAAATGCGTTTCCCTCGACTTTCCTTCGTTTATCAACTAACCGTAACCCAGGGAAATCCGAGGCGTTGTTTAAACTTTACGCAGGTTAGGAATGTGTTTTAGTATGTCTTCGAGGGTACAACTGATTCTCAACGCGTAGCTTTAATGGCATAAAAATGTGCAAATGTTTTGGCCCACTCATTGTCTTTGATAAATTCGTCGATAAACGCTGATTTCATCCGTGTAGAAACTTTTTTTTTGTACATTATTATTCGATGGCATGAATTGACTGCCAGGGGCATGTTAGAAACGTTTTCTTTTGTTACAGTTTCGATTTAAGGTATAAAATTCTTAAGTTTTAATTTCGAGTTCGTTATTCATACCAGGCGATAATATAAAAGGAAGCGTAGGTCAGATCAGCTAACAATGAAATTTAAAATGCGTGATGATATGAAAGTAATTTTGTTTCTCCTCAATTTCTATTGATGGCAGAAGTAGACCTTAAAATTTTTCAATTTTTATAAAATGTTATTTAATGAAATATGCAGATTCATTAACGCCGTTGTTGACATTGCCTTTAATTGTACTATGTTATGTTTATTTTGCACTTGAGTTTTGTTACTGAATCTTCTGATCATTGCATTAGATTTCCATCTAAGCCTATTGCTCGGATATTGCTCTTGTAAAGTTGTTGAAAAGAGGAACCTCCTTTTACCACATGAGACTTAAAATTACTTCAAGAGTCGAAAGGGTTTCCCTTTGAAACTTACGTAAAGCTTATTGTTTCCAGTATGACTTAGCAAAGTATTAAATTTTAATGAGGTAAATTTATGTTTCAATAAATTCTTTGCAAAGATTGTTTTCAGGTTTTTTAAACTTCTGTGTTATGTTTTTATGTGGATTAATTTTATCTGAGCAGTTAATGAAAGCCAAAGATAGAGAACTAAATTCCTACCTTTTCAAGTTTTTTTCCCTCTTTTGTTTTTTTAGTTTTTGCCCCAAGGAGAATTAAATTTAACTTATAAAGAATGTAAGTCCTTAAGAAACAGTATTGCTGTTTTGGTGGGAGAGTATAACAAGATATTTTGTTATTATCCACTGAGTTGGCCCCTGTAAAGAGTTTTGATTGTTAGCCCTCTGTCAGAATGCTCTGATGAAGGGGTACTGCTCCCCTTGAAACTCTTTGTGGTGGCCAATTCATGTTATCAACTCAGTTGAGAATTACCAAATTACCTAAGTTAAACTTAGTTTCAGTTCTTAATCATATGTATGGGTTTCATAACTTGATAGAAACTAATTTCAATTTGTAAAGGGTAAACCAGTGAAAAATCAACATCTGTACCAGGCCAAAACATTAACTGTAGATAAAAATAATTTAAGAAATGTATATCTTTTTTTTCGCAATATGGGAACTTCTGATTGAATACTAATGATTACACAGCATTTTTAAAATATATATACTACTTATGGCTAACAAGGTACGATATTGAGATCTACTTCCTTTTTTTTTTTTTGGATTTTTTTTGTCTATTGTGGACCAACACAGAATTGATATGTAATGTTACTTGCAGAATGTTAAGTACATATAGATAGTGCAGCAAGTATACTGTTTATATAGCATTGATAAACCTAGGGAACCATAACAAGAGGGGGTTCCTTAAGATAGCCTGGTAGGCACAGAAACCCAATGGTTAGCTTGCTCTATTCTGGTTTTTGAGGCTTAGGCAGCTCATTTTGCTATGTTCTTTGGCAAGACACCTTTTTCTTAGTTGAGTACTTCTCTTTACCTGACAGTATTTATGAGTACTGGCTAACTGTCATAGAGGTTTGTTACTGGGGAGGAGGGGACTTGCAATGGACTTGCATCCCATCCAGGGAGGGCAGAAATACCCTTTGTCACTTAATGCTACAGTGATTGTGATTAGATCCAGTGCCTTGTTGGTCACTTGCCTTGAGTGCAGACTAGTGTCTCATCTTACAGACTCAATCCTAGCCACATAGTACTACACAAATGGAGTTGTGGGCCACTAGGCTGTAAAACCTTTGGGGCTGTGACCAGTGCATTTGATTCCTAGACCCTGTGTCACATGTGGGTTGAGTTTGTTGTTGGTTTTCATTCTTGCCCAATGGTTTTTCTTGGGACTCTCCAGTTTACATCCCTCCTCAAAAACCAATCTCCCAAATTCCAATTCAACCTGGAAGCAATGGAGAAGATAAAATCCACCTTATGGATTGTTCACTGTTAAATTCCCATCACTATTGTTAGTTATATTATTAGATATTATGACCTTATTCACCTTAAAATTGACATATGCCTTTCAGATAACTCCTGGTAGCAAAGCAGATCTTTCTCAGGCTATTTTAGTAGGGGATGAAATTGTGGCAATAAATGGAATTGAATGCACATCCAGAGCAGAAGCCATTGAATTAGTAAGGTGTTCAAGACAGAAGCTTAAAATAGCTTTAAGAAGGTTAGTGTCTCATCACTGTTCCAACAGAAATGCCAGAGTTGTGTATTAAATTTTTGAGTGTTGTGATTTAAAATAGAAGTTGTTGGAATTTGATATGCTGAGCTTTTAGAGAGGGGCCTATGATTTATGGAGACTTTGACCAGTAGAAACTGAGAAACAGCTCTCACTGTTACATTGTATAGTATATCACTTCTTCAATTTGAGTGGTTCCAGCCTGGAATGGAACAAGGCAACAAAAGAAATTGAAATTAAAAAAGTGTGGCATTTTAAGCAACTCCTGCAATTGGCAGTTATTTTTGTCACTACTTCTTTTCTTTCAAACATTCTTACAACTAATAATTTGGTGATGTACAAAGTTTGAGAAATTCTCCAAATTTCTGGCAAATATGCTTTTATTGCAGAGTAGGGAAGATGGTAAATTTTGAACTTGGATATTGTGAAAAGATAAATGTCATTTATTTGTCAAGAGCTTGAGACGGAGAAAAACCCTAATCTCCCACAAGGCTCTGAACTGGTGACCTTTGGATTTTGTGGTTTCAGAGCTTCAGAGAACTTGTTGATCAGCAAAGGCCATGTACAGAGTTCTGTCTTACAGTTTGCTGTCTCATACTTATCACGAAAGCAACACATTATATCAAGTCATAATTATAAAATTGATATTTTCATGCTGTCCACAGGGAGGGTGCTGGACCAAGCCCTGTTGCGCAGTCTAATGGTGGCAGTGTTAAGAAGAGTAGTGATGTGGTCCCAAATCTGTACAAAACGGCCAGTGATTTTTATTCCACCTTTAATGTAGATAGACAAAAATTTGCTGAGATAACTCAGAACAAGAAGTCTAGCAATATTTTTGATTCAACTGATAACCTTAGCGCTTCACATGAAAACTTGTTAGAAAGCTATCGCGGTGTGGACAATCAAAGGAATTTCGTCAATTCACCCACCATGGAGGAAACTGGTGACAGACTGTCAAGGTCATCAACAGAGATAGCCAATGGAAGAACAAGTCCAGAAGTGGATGGACTGAGGTGAGGAATTAGATAACAGTTAAATGAAGTGGTATGTAATTTAAAGCCATTTATAACTTGATGCAATATCGAAATCTCTGTTCTTTTACAAGGAAAGGTAGAGACACTTAGGAAGTTGAATCTATTCAGTCTATCAAATGTCCTGAACTTTTCTTCCACTCATCCTTTCATATTAACGGCTGATTTTTGGTATAGGGTGTGAATACCCTTAAAAGTTTCAGAATGCAAATCCATTGTTAAGTGGTGCGATTAAAATTATGCAGTGTCTGGAGTGTGCTTCTCCTTTTAACAGTCCTTTTGGACTTACTGCACCAAGTGTAATGAAAATTTAGGGAATTGGGGCAAATTGAACCATCTTGTTTAAAAAAGAAAGACAACTGACTGCTATCATTGCAACAAAAATTTCAGCTTCTGATATATTAAAAGCTTTTTGTGCACTAAGTGAAAAGGGTATAACTGTCATCTTAATAAATATTTAACTGTGTATCTGCTTAATAATATTTTAGCCCCAAACTCACTTCTTACAAATATCATTGTTTAATTGGAATGAAATACTAATCTTTAATTAGTTCATTAAATTGTCACAAGATATTCTAAAATTAATGCTGAAATTTTAGGAATTTGATAAAAAGCTATTAATATACATATCATGAATTCAAAATAATCAAAATAATCAAAATGAATTGTTATTTACCTCTATTTTTGGTCGAAAGAATTTGATGAACTGCCGGTATATCTACAGCATGATAACTAAAAAATTAAACAATTTCCTGCCAGACGAATCAACTCATTGAATAGTGTAACTGGCAAAAGATTCCCAAATAGCACAGCCCTTCTTGGAGCAGCACAATTCAACCGTCCCGGAATGGAGATTTATGGAAGAACATGGAGCTTAAGGCGGTAATTTATAACAATGTAAAATCTTTAAGTCATGTTATGCATGTGTCACAAACTTGGGACAAAAAAAGAGCTGAGTACCTTAGAAGGATTCAAACTGTTGACTTTGTCATCTGATCCTCTGCCACTTAACAAAAAGGTCTGAGGTTCCATTCCTAACTTAGAATTCCAATTCTTTTATTTTTGTGTCATTCTTGTGACAAATGAATGATAACTTTCTTTATTCAACCACTGAGCATAACATTTGAAATGTTGTTTGAAATAATAATTTTGTTTGCTAAATCACAATGAATTAACATACATGTATAATTCATTTTTATGAAAATTGTTGAACTTAGAGTGAGGTGTTCATGCATAATCACTTTAAAATCATAAACTCCCAAGATCTGATCATCAATTCTCCCCTCTAGCTGCTACATATTCCCTTGAAAATTAGTTACGAGAATTTGGTGTTAGATCAAGAAAAACAACTTCTACTTGATGAGTCTCTGTATTCTTGTTACCTGTTTGCTGGATAATGTGTAGATGTTATAGGGTGAAGATACATGTTGATCACTTCTGGGAATTCAAGCATTGCACTCATTTACCATCACGTTCACCCAGTGAGGGTATCTTTAACATCACTAATAAATGATATACAGCTGTAAAACATTTTGACCTGTGGATAATAGCAAAAAATGAAATGATCTTCATTGAATAACTGCAATTGATGAAAATGTGGAAAGAAAAGCCTGAAATCCTTTTACTGCTTCCAGCCAGATACTAGTGACTTACAAAAAGCAACTGAGTAAGAAAGTCACTTGTTGGGAGTTGGGCAGAAGTGGAAGCTATTGAATGTAAATAAGCACTTACTCTTCCAAAACATGCTTACCATGCTCACTAGCTGACTCAGTATTCTGTAAAATGCAAACAGGAAACCAACATTGTTAGTAGTTACATTCTCCAAGAGTAATTAGTTTGTTCATGTTGTTTTCCTTTCTAGTGGTATCAGCCTTCCTGAGGGTCAGTGGCCTGTGATGCATCATCATCAGCGCATGCACACCAGCCCTGGTCGCATACAGAAGGTGACAGTAAAAAGCACCAACATAAAGTCACCAGTGTCACCAAGAGATTCTCCCACAGATAAAGACACTGAAAAGTAAGATGAGATAATCATGCTGTAAATCTTAGTTGTTTTGTTTTGTTTTTTTTTTTTAAGCAGATTGTGCAAGGAGATTGGCAAATGAATGAGCTGATAAGAGAAAACTGGCTGGATTTCATTTGTTTTGCCTCTCTCCTTATCTTGCTTTTTGTGTCATACCCTTGAACTGAATGCCCAGAAGAGGCTGTCTTTTCAGTGATGAAGTAGCTTGTGGTTAGCTTGTTAGATTTTACACGAACTGGTCAATTTTTCTGCCCTGACCAGGTTATTTTATTCTTGGGCAGGAAACTTTATCCTATGTCCTTTAATTTCTGCTTACAATATCACTCCTGAATCATACAAGAAGGTCATGAGCATAAAGGAAAGGATCACCAAATAAAGAACCTCATGATTATTAAACAAATTCTCCTTGTCAGCACCCTAGGAAAGTATAGAGAACAGTAGGGAGAATATGCATACTGATGAGAGGCTTTTATTTCGTTTTGTAATAAAGTCAACACCCAACGCGAAAGAACCCCGACGATTGGGTTGGGCGGTGGCTGATGGATCATCCAGGCCCCTTACATCATCAATTTGGCGCGGGAAATAGTGGCTCAGTAACACTGGATTACAGGGACACACCGGACAGAAGGATAAGTTTACATGAAAGGACATCTGCTAACAAGAGGTACAGAAATTCATGGTTAAGATAAAATAGAATTGGGCTTTATTGCTTGGCTGGCCTTGCCTGCGGGCAAGATGAAGCAGATCTGTATGTTTTAATTGGTTTGTAGATCATCTTTGTTTGTCTGGAGTGGCTGTTTTGATCCTGCTAAATGAAAAAGGTCTTGTAGCCGCTTAAAATTCTTCGTAACTTCTAAGCAAATTAGGTGCAAACTAGTTTTCTGGTAGTTTTGGCGACAAAAGGCTATAAAAGATTTGTGATTTCTTCAATTTTATCCAGAGAATGTGACGATTAGTTCTGCAATTATGGTTTGCAGTTCCCTAGTGTTATCTGCTTTCCACATAATAAATCCTTTATTGGCTATGGCTGACTGTTGGACTAAATAATGGAGTGATCATATTTTCACCAGAGCCGCGTTCTGGTGAGGGACTGCGTTTCGGGGTATTGTTCTCAAGGTCTTTAAACTAAAATAGCTTTGGAGATAACATCAAACTTATTTATTTGATTAGAAAACCAGGAATTCTCGCGGGATTCACAAGGGAGATTTGACGCTATTTGTTTCCATGAGCCCTACAAGTGTTACTGGACATTTGATTTTCACTTTCACATCACAATTCCCCACCGTCCACATATAGCTGTATGGTGTACTGACTAATGGCGAGTGATTGAGTAATTGATAGAATGATTTGATGATGATGTGATTGATTAATTAATTTATATATGTATTCTCCGCAACTGCAGCCAATCTCTTCCACGAAGCAAAAGTTTCGGGGGCCCTACTTCTTACGGAGTCACAGTCACAGCTACGGCGGTGAAGCGAAACGAACCCAGTCACCAAGTGAATAACCAAAGAATCCCACACCGCTCTGGTTCATCGAACTTAATGCGAGAAAAGCAACAGCGGTTGGGGCATGTTAGTGACATGCATCCAAAGGAGATAACTGCACGCCAAGCAGAAATGTCTTGGAACTCTATGGTGTACGCACAGCCAGGCGACAGTGTAGAAGTACGCTTACCAAGGGATATGATAGGCCCCAAAATGACTACCAGTGAGAGCACTTCGAGCCTCGACTCAATTGGGACAATGGATTCCTCTGTGAGTGGTGCACGTAGGCAGGGACCTGCTCCTCCCCCGCGACGCAGCGTGTCAAAGCTGCTGAGCTCATTCAGGAGTAGCGGTCGACGTCGCGTCCCTGATGAGGTACAGATTCCTGATGAGGTACAGATTCCTCCGAGGTTCGGTGCAGTCTCACGAATGTCTGATGTTACCAGCGATCAGCCGAAGCATAGCGTGTCCAGGTCCTGGCCTACAGACCACGTGGATAGCAAGCCTACCGGAAACGAGGCGTCAAGGCAGTCGTGGCATGCTGAGCCAGCAGTCGCGTCCCACCATGACAGAAGGGAAGCGAATTCCTCCATTTTTTCTTCATCCAGTGATGCCACACCGGAAAGAAAAATATCCAAGACATCCAGCATGAGATATAGTACATCAGTCGTCATAAAAACCATGCGTTCGTCATCTTCTTCCTCTGTGGACGAGAAAGGCACTGAACCTACGGTGTACCGTTCCGTGCCGATTGCACCGGAAGTTGAAAAAACCCATTCGGACAATCGGGCCCAAACTCTCCCGGCTAGGCAACGATTTAGCGACGTGAACCCGCCAACGAAAATGGCCAGTGATTCAAGTCGATGGCCGCCTCCAAATGAGAGGGAAACGGCGGAAACGAATAGAATTGAAGACACACAAATATTGCAAAGACTTATGAAGGATAATGCCAAGAGTTTGGAAACTTCACCAAGCGTCAAATCAAGAATCGCAAATTTTGAAGGGGGGTTCAAGAAATCAGCTGCGGGGCCTCCATCCCAAGAGCGACCTCGCGTCCAGCACCGTTCATTCAGTCAAGGAAAACTCGATCTTTCTCAGCAACCATTGAAAGAATCGATCGAAAATCAGTAAGTTTTGGTATTGATTTCAATATTGTATGTTGGTCTGCACTGTTTCGGTCTTAAAGCGTTTAGTCTTAGCGGCTTTCATTTTTCGGCTTAACAAAACAGAAATACTCAAACAAAATATTTTGGTAATCCACTTGAAACTTTTTTTTTTGACTTAAGGGAGTTTGTTTAATAGTGGTCATAATCTTTTCAAGACTGTTAAGAAGATGTCGTGATCTCTCTCAGCCTAAAATGGCGATATCTTGTATTCTTTGTTTAGTTCCCAGCCCAATATCTTCATTGTTTAGATTATGGTGTTAAAATTCTTGATATGTTTGGTTCGTCACTTCCTTTTTAGAAGGATTGGAACAACCTTCAACGGGGAAAATTAAACGTTTTTCGCCCTCTCAGTTTAAATTCTGTTTTGTGAATTTTTAATGGAGTCATGGACCAAAATACCGGAAACAAAGGCATATCAATCAGTTTTCTATTCGACATTGCGGATATTGAATTGAGTTCGACAGCCCAGTGAATTACAGGAATGTGTGATAAGAATCTCAGACATTCGACAGAGCTGTTATTTGTGGTTTTATGCTCAGCTCAAAGACTGTGCTCTTTTAATTTTTGGTGGCAGTAATCAAAGGAAGATGACTCTCAAACCCAATATTGGTATCGAAACCACAGTATATTTACATTTTTGAAGTGCTGAGGAATGTTTTAGCACGTTTTCAAATTTTTTAAACTTTCGCCTATTGTGCCGAAAGCCTGCGCTACGCAAATTGCAGAGTTAAAACGAAAACCCCTTCGTCGTGACTTTAAGACTAGATTACGAGAAGTCTTTCGGTGATGTCTGTATTGCGAGTCAGAAAAAAAAAAAATAATTGAAAAAAAAAAACAGGGAAAAGAAATATTTTTGTTAGCACGCTGTGCAGACGTGAGAGTGAGGTGCTCTTAGAGTTCCGTGCGGCACGCTAACATCTATTTATTATTTTGATTCATACGAGTGACCTCGCCGTAAAGGAGAGACTGTTCTAAACCTACTTCTAGACTGCTTAGCCTTTCCTTTTCATCGAGCGCCCGGGAAAAAAAAAAGAAAAACAACCCTCAAGCCACGCAGACTATGGATCATTAACCGCTCATTATATTATTGAAATCACTCTTTGATTGTTGAATACCATTGAAAAAAAACCGTGAGAGGCTGGCAAGAAATTAGCTGGGAGGGTGGGGGAGTAGAAGTCGTTCCTTTCCCTCTCCCTTCTCACACCCCCCACCCCCACACCCTTATCGCACTCTTGCGCTCTTACAGCTTCGCGCGCGAGCTCTCTGTTAATGGGTGACCTTTGAGTTTTTATTTACGGATATATAATTTGTCGTCTGCAGTCATGCTGTGTTCGCCATATGTAGCCTTTCTAATTGAATTAGATAGTCCATTGTTGATTTAAAGAAACTATCCAGCTGTGTGGTGACCGTTCATTTTTTTCCTTCGACGCCCAGTATCGAAACGTGATCTAACTGCAGGCCTTTTCCTTCGCCAGATCTTCGTCCATGGAATCACTTCTCGATACCAGGTCTCCTAGCAGACGTGAGTCAGCTTCTAAATCACTAGACCAGGAAAAATCACCGATCCAAGGTGGCCGACATCGACCGAAACAATGGGAAACAGATCAGGGCAGATCGGAGCAGGAATTTAAGAGAGCGTCTTGGAGCTCTTCCAACGCTCAAAACAACCGCGGTCCAAGGGAACCAAGACCTTACCATGAAACCTCATCTTCGCGTCTGGGACGACAGCAAACTCTGGAAGAACCATCGAAACAAGTTGAAATCGCCACACGAAATGAAAACAGATTGAATTTAGCGACAGAGGGAGTTACTTCACAGAATGAAAAGCCTTCTTTTAACTCAAATATTCCCGACTTAGACTTCAGTCGAAAGTCGGCCAAAGTAGAACCTCTACCTCCTTCAAATGAAGACGAAAACAGCGTGTTCTGGGATGCAGATGATTCTCTGCCGCCTCCGCCCCCGTTGGAACTGTTCGACCCACTAGAAACGTCACAAGACAGCTTGCCTTTGCCCTCCCCGCCACGGGAAGTTCTGGTCGAGTTTCCGCCTTCGGTTGGTGACTATGAATCGCGACGGGATCGAATTGAACAGAAGGAGACGTTTGAGCGAAACGGTGTTGATAGTAGCGATGTGATAAAACCTGTTGAATCTGACGTGGTGGAATCAAGCGTGGAAATTAACCACGAAACTCAAGTGGAACTAAATGGACCGGGGAAGCTGGAATCTAGTGGATTGTCTAGTACAGCGCTGGAATTCTCCGGAAGTACTGATTTGTCATCAAAAGATGCATCTCTTACAGAGAACAGGAGTTACATCTCTCCAAGAGCTCCTCCACCGGCTCCACTTGTATTAACGTCAACCCCTACCAAATTAGAGGGGTCTAACGAAAAGGGCACCTGTTTAGATGTCTCTAACAGCCCTCACAGTTTAAGTTCTAGTACGTCCACTCCATCCGGAAGCCGCCCTAACAGCATGTTGAGCCCAAAACTGGTAGAATTAGACAAAGAGAAGGTAAGCTGTTAGTTACAAGTCGAATACGTTTTAGAGGCCTACATGGCTGGGCCTGGGTTAAATACTCAGACCATGGTCCTCTATGTTACCTGGACTAGATATAAAACTTTTGCCCCTCGCGTTTCCAAGTAACGCGACGTACACTAATGACCACACCTCAATACTGCGGTCAAACGTAGGGCATGCGCGAGAGGATCATTTCTTGCCGCTTGCGCGTCAATTTCCCGCGGAGAGTTTCGAAGAAACCCAGTTGTGTTCCTGGGTGGAGACCAGGCTAGGGCTCTAACCGAGGCGTTTCGAATGGGAGACTAGTGCCTAGCTTTTGCCCATCTGTCTTCCTTTTGTTAACCTGACGATGTTTTCTTTTTTCGGTTATGTAGGCTGATCTTGTGGAAAGCATGAAGCAGAAAATAGTGGACTTGAGATCACAGATGGACGAAATTAAAGATGAAATCGATGGCAATGAGGAGCTGGGACAAAGAGTCACAAAGGTCGTGGAAGGAAAGACGAGTGATAGCGAGTTTTCTAAGTATCAGCGTTTTACAGGCGAGCTGAACAAGATTATAGGACTGTTACTGATACTCACGCAGAGAATGCACAGATATGAAATGCTGCTCCATGATTTGGACATGTCTGAAGAAGCCGACCGACAACAAAGAGTAAGTGGGGTATCAGTGATTATAGTTATTAGGTTATTTTCCCAGCTATGACCGTTATTGATAGCCCGTCATGGGAGAAGTACAACATGCATTATTTCTGTTCAGAACGGTGTTAACCCTCGCACGTTCAAGTAATGCGTGCTAAAGGTTTATCGGCCGTACAGTACTACTTGCGTTCTTGCCTCTCCAAGACTCCTCTGTTGGCTGAGTTTCTTTTTTTCGTTTCACTTTCCTTTATTTCCTCATCGTTTCTAGTCACTCCTTTTCTATCTTTGTTCTCTCGCTTTTCCTCTTCTTTTCTTAAATCGCTTTCCTTGTCTTCTTTGTCTAGATATACAGTGATTTCGAATCAGGCTCTTTCCTTCCCAAATTGCCTCATAAAAGTATTAAAGAAGGATAACAAGGAGTGCCAGGCCTTTTCGCAGCGCTAATAACTTATTTTGAGAGCTTCTTTTCATGTTTCAGGATATCTTACTCGATAAAATCGACAAAGTCACTCTGCAACACGAGGAAGCGTGTAAAATCAAGGAAGTGAACGATAAGCGCGGAGAGGTAGTGTCGAAGATTTTAGAAAATTGCCTGGAAGAGGAGGAATATGCAGATTTTCAGTACTACATAGACATGAAAACGCAGCTCGCTCTTATGCACGCGGAAATTCGTGACAAGGTCAAAATGGGAGAGGAAAGGTTAAACACTTTGAATTCGACAAAGATTGACTGGAGCATTCTTAGTTTGACGTGAGTGTCGCCGAAGCTCCACCTACTGTTGTTGACCGAAGAGTTCCGAAGATTCATCGACAAATGTCGACCAAAAATTGACCAAACAGAGCCACCTGATGCAGCAGGAATTATCGTATGGGTTCTGAAAGCAGTGGTCGTAAGAACAAGTGTAAAAATAAGACTTTTTTGTTAAGTTTTATTTAAGGGAGGTGCCGTTATCACAGACATTTTGATGTACTTTTTTTTTCTTTTTGGCGTGATCCACCTTAAACTAAATTGAACCAAGTCCACGGTCTGAAGTTTAAATGTTTTTGGAACTAAAGGTAAAATGTTCTGAGCACTCTGACCAGAGACATTTTTAAGCTGTCGGAAAGAGCACGGAAAGCGTGCTAGGGGGTTCGAAAACCCATGGCGAAGTTCGTCGTATCATCTTGCAATAATTACATCACATATATTTTGGTTTCCAGTATGCAGTTTTCGTGGAAGGAGTATTTTTTCTTAAAAAGGGCAACAACGTACTTAGAGCTGAAGGCAGTTAGTTCGACACAGCACCGGAGCGGATTATCTAACACTTGTACTTGGTCGTCTGAATTTCCTTAATGTTCACAACTTTCGAGATAAATTTTCTAAAAAGAAATTATTTCTTTTGTGCCGAATGTAAAACCCAAAAATGACAGATAACACTTTTTTCAGCTTAATACACGTGATTGAGTATTTTTATCACTAAGAAATTACCGAATTATCGCAGACAAAAAAAAATTATTGAAATATTGTTACATACCTTTCAGGATTTCTAATGAAGGATATAATTTCTTTATTGAGAAGATCTCAATTTCCAATTTAAATTCGCCAAAATGTGGCAGCGAATGCTTTTAATTTTATCACTCAGATGGTGTTATTTCAAAGTATGCTGCCAATTTGTTGAGTATTTTCGTGCTTGGTGTGTTTGAAGATACAAACTAAAAAGTTAGGAGTTGTTAAATTGGTATTCGCTCTTTGTAGGAAATTTTTATCGAGGTACAGGTTTTGACCCACTCACTCCCAGGAGTGACCCAGACATGATTTCTCCTGACATTGTCAATGCAGTATTAACCAGACTAGTGATGAGAGTATTAAAATATCATCAAAGAGACTATTGACCCAGCACCAAATTCTCAGAACTGAAATCACAGTATACTAACGAGAATTACCACCTAGATCTGGGGAGTGAAGGGTGATGGTGATTTTGCAATGAAATTTCTGGGATAACGCAATAGGTCACGAGGAAATGATACAGATAGTAGTTTTGCAAAGTTTAAATAGACTACGATTCAAGAAATTATTCTGCATCTGGTAACTCACAATATTTGATATAAAAGAACGGGATTTGGATCACTTTTTCCATTATTTTGGTAACTTGAAATCGTCTCTTAGTTTTAAAAAAGAAGAGATTATGAAATCCTTGAAAACGAAGGAAGCCGGTAAGAAGAATGTAAAACTGACAAAAATAGTGCTCTTCCGCCAGAAGCTTTATCTACTACTGGACTATGTAATGAGGTTTATACAAAACATCAAAGCGGATTCATTGAGTGGTTGGATGTTTTCTTTCTTTTTAAACCACGATTTGTTTTCCTCTAACCCTCTCAACTTGAACTTAAACAGACAGAGAACATCACCTTTGAACTGTGATATCAACAGCAAGTTGGTGATTTAAAAAAAAAAACTGTCTCGAGTTAAAAGTTTCCCGATATTTAATTTCTCTCAACAACTGCATTGATATTAAGGTCAAATGAGGGGGGAGCGCATGTCTTCTAAGGCATGAATAACTCCGCTGTCCTCAGGGTTCGTTGTATAGATAATTATTTCTCAAATAAACAGGTCTGGGGAAGGGTGTCTTTCACTGTAGCTTTTTGAAACAAATTTCCGTCAAAGGGAGACTATTAGAAATGTAATTTTGTGGTATTTCTTAGTATTTGTTGCGATGCAAAAACGCGTGGAGAAGGAGGTTTCTTCAACGTGCAAAGGATATTCCAGTTTAAATAAATGGTTAGCTTATTTAGTGTTTGTGTGTCTGGTTTGTTCGTTTATATTATGGATTACGTTTGAGTGCTCTTTCATAATTGCTCTTTCGCAATTTCCCTTTCATAGTTGCTCAACAATATTATATTATTAGTCTATATTGTATTGTTATAATATCCATCTCTAGTCATTTACATGATCGAATGCAAACGACTTAAATCACGTGGTTTAGCCTCCTGGTAATGAGCCCATTCCGTTATCGCGTTGGCCACGCTTGTCAGGAGATTAGTCCAAATAGATGAAATGGTCTAACACGGCAGTTACGTTAAACTCTATCATAGACGATGTCAACGCCACAGACCACAATATTAAACTCGTTTTTAGGTGTAAATTATAGAATGTATGATACTTAAGATACAAAAAGTTGAACTTCATGGTAACTGTTCGTTTCGCGCACGTGTCGTTTCCCAAACGACCACCTCGCCAACGTCTTGGCTCGTTTCTCTGACTCTGGCGCGTTACAGAACGTTAAATTACATAAAGTTTAGCTCTACCAACGTTAGAACTTAATCGTTTTCATATCGACCGAAAAGTCGAGTTAGGTCGTTTCAATACAAATTGAGAGTCGATTCGATTGAAGTCAATGAAAGACAAGGCGTTAGCGAACTGTTCGTTAGCGAAACGACCGCACTTCACCTTCATCTTATCAGAAGAACTCAGACTTACACTCTGTATTCTCCGTTTTTTTTTTCTTTTTTTTCAAACTTTTTTGTGATCGTGTGTCAGTGTGCCTCATGAGTAACGTGTTATTCATGTTGTTACGGTTGCTTCCTTAGGAGAAAAACTTACTCTGTAACTTCGTACCGTCCCTCTTCTCACTTTTATGCAGAATTTTGGACAAGAAAACGGACACAATGTCTGTAAAGCTTGACGGAAATTAGTACTGAATAGAAACAAAATAAACGGGTTGACCGTTGAACTGAGCAACGGAAGCATGAAGTAGAAAATACCCAGCATCCACTTACACTCGTCTTTGAGAAAAAGCTTAGGGACGGTAGCTTTTATGATCAAGAACACGGTATAAAGTAAATAACAACCGACAAATACTGTCACGATTGACTTATATAACCTCATTATGTTTTGGCTGTGCATGTATCTCTTCTTTTGAAAACTATTTTGGTTTGCATCATCGCTTGGTATGGCTCTTTTCAGAGCGCGCACAATAACAGTGTAATGAACAGTGATCGATGTTAACGGTACAACAAAAAACACGATAAAGGTAGTAGCATAAAATAACATAATCGCTAAAGGATTCCATGAAAATCTACAGAAGGCTATCTGATCAACCTCTTCTACCTCGAAATAAAAGATGTGAGGCACGGAATACGTTATAGGTATCAACCACGCTGCAAATATTAAGGCTGCTCTTTTTTTTCGTGTTAGTAGGATCACTTTTAAGGGATGTACTATCGCGATGTACCTCTCCACTGCGATTAATACCATGCTTAGAATAGACACCAAGTATGACAGGAGTCTTATGAAGGCCCCCGTTTTGCACCCAGCTGAAGCCAGAGTACCGTAGAGTAGGCTCCCCTTGCTTGTTATGATTTCGTGAGTAAGATACACTGGCCAGGTGAATAGAGCGCCCAGAAAATCAGAAACGGCCATGTTGACATAATAGAAGTTAGTACTTGTCCTAAGAATTGGCGTCTTGAACACCACGATAATGACAAGAATGTTGCCAACGAAAGCTGCTAAGCTTACTACAACCAAAAGCGTTGTGAAGAATGTAGAAGAAAAGAGCCAGCACGATCCTTGGTCGACATCTGGAAGACTGGAGTTGTTCATGATGCGATGACTGCGTTTGGTTCCTTTTAATTATAAGCTGTATGGAGAATAAAAAAATTTTCAACTGAATTTAGGAAGTTTCATGGCTTCATCTTGCATCATATTTCTCAAAGTTCAACTCAGATCATCGACTGACAATTTTCCTTCACTTGACACCTTTAAAGAAATTACTATCAACAGTTACCGTTTCATAAAAAAGAGATGTTTTGACAATGATTTATGGACCTCAAAGTCAACAGGGCGTTTAGTCTACTACTTGGGTAATGAAATTCGCCTCTTAGTCGACAACTAATTAACAACTATCTAATATGCTTGTGATAATAATTTAATCACAAAGCTAATGGGAGCGGAAGAAAACATGACATTTAATTTCTTTACAGCTGCCTAAAAATGTCTCATAGTTTGAACAACTGCTTTGTTGGTTGAAATTGCGGCTCTATCCTGACATTAATCAGTACGTGATAACATTAATGCCTCAGGCCATAGGCAATGAAAGATCGCGGATAAAACAATATTGATCACGCAAAGAATTGATAAAAGATGACTTCAAAGGAAAATGGTGTCAAACGTTTTGTCCAAAAAATGGAGTCAGTGGAAACAAAGAGAATCGGAAAAAGGACGTTATAAATGCCTGTGTGAATCATGTACGTCTATCCTTCACTCCAATAATTCTAATTAAACTTCTCTCAAATTCTAAATACTTTCTCATTTTTATTTACAGATTCATCTCCTCTCCCTTTATTTATCCATTTTTTGATTTGCCATTTCTAAATGTACCCTAAAGACATTATCTGTCACTAAATCATGATAATTGTTCTTAAAGTTTATCGTTATATGGACCTCAACCTTACAGAGCCGAAGTAAAACTACTTTGAAAAAACTTTTTAAAATGCTGGAAAAGGCATTCGACAGGAATGTTCCCTTCAATAAGGGTCTCGATGGGATTAACCGTTAGCCGTAAAACAGCAAAAAAAAAAAAAGAAAAAGCAGTTAGGCGTAAAAATTGACAAATTCTAACCGTTATAGTTAGAAAAAGTTGACCGTAAATTATTTTTAAAATCACAACAGAGATGACCGTTAGCCCTAAAATGACCAAAATTCTAACCTGTAAGCCAAGAGAGCCATCACCCAATGATTAAATGACCCTCTTAAATGCTTATCGAATTTACTAGAACAAATTTTTTTTTTTACTATTTACCTCGCCTTTAGTGATAGCCTTAACCAATGTTTATCAAGAAGGTATACTTCGGTAGGTACACTGCGCAGGTTATTATGCCTTATATCGGTACCGCTCTCTGGATGGCTTTCACTCTTTCGGAAAATCCGTTTTTAAAAAAACAACGAAGGAGAAATCCACTTTACACAAGTAAAATGCATACGAAATCTTTTATGTCCTTAATGATATATTCATCATCTGTTGAATGATGAAAGTGAATTCTGATGTTGCGTGTTTTGAGCGCTTAAAAAAAAATATTTTTACATTTTTTGGTTTGAATTAAACTGTCCTTATCAATAAATGCCTCTTCCAGCTCGAAACCGTTCTGCGGAATGCGTAATAAATAACACAAAAAGAGCAGGATGAAAAAAAAAAAAAAAAAAAAAGGAAAATGTAATTAAAATGTCCTTTTAAATTCAGAACACTGGGAACAATATTTGCATATGCTAGGCAAAATAATTGATTTCCCTTCGCCCACTAAGAAAAACAAAAGAAAGTGGAGGAAGGTAGAAAGACGAAAAAAATATGAGTTCATATCTCATCTCATGAACTTAACCGGGGTAGTCCACAAATTCAAGATTCAGTGCCTTTAGTGTGCGTGTTAATTATGAATCCACTGTAGGTTTATTTGCTACACACATCTATTAAATATCGCATTAATTAAAATGACAGGAAAAAAGGTTTCCTACAATGGGATAAATGCATATTCAACAAACTGCTGAATGGCGCAATGGAGAAATAAATTTTTACAAAGAGATTGGATTTTTAAGAGTTTGTTGACACAGTAGAATCTTGGTAAACTGGAACCCCCGGTGACCTGAAGCAAGATCCGATTTCCCATGTCTCCATACTTCAATCATTTTCTCTCAGATAATTCGAACCATTTTTTGTTTCCCTTTAAAGTTCAACCTAGGGGGGTTCTACTGTGATTGAAAGCAATATTCTAGGGTCTTGTTCAAAGATTTCCCATTCGTTCATCTTCATAGAAGCATAGACGTCAATTATTTGCAGATTTATGTTTACATTTTGAGTACACTTTTTCTCAGCCTCTATTTCACAATACATAATCAATAAATACTTTTTTAATATTTCAAAAGGAAATAAGAGTACGTTTTTGTGTGATTACGGAGGCCAAGAAAACCGAAAAACAATTAAGACACCGCGAACACAGATATCTTAGATGGCAAAGGAAATAATACATCTGGAATTTGGAAAGCATTTCTTCCTTCATAATGCATGGATTTAGGCTCTTATAGATTGTGCTGGCATAACTGTTGACATTATTTGGAAAAATGGGCAGTAATTTTTCACACTTAGGAAAAATTGGGCAATGCTAGTTGTATTATACAAGAGAATATAAAAAGTTTATAATTTCTTGCATAACATGATACTTTTACAAGCACAATCCCTCATGTGCGTACAATTATTTACCTGGCTTTCAAGTCAGGTGTTTTTATTAACTTTGAACAATGTTAAAGGATTTTAGAAGGTAGACTTCTTAAAGGAGAAGAAGGTTATCACGCCGACTGCTATTTCAGATTCTTACTGCATAGTTTACGATGAGGTAGGAACTGTTTTAAGCTGTTATCAACATGGCAGCGTCCACATTAGAATTTTAAGCGAGAAAGGTAAAATTATATGTTTTTTAGAGCATGTGTAGAGAAAAAAGATTAGGCTGGACTAATACGCCGGCTCTCCGAACACACAGGATTTTTATTCACAATGTGACCAATCGCTTGTCAAGAATCTTCAAACCAGGTGATTTTGTGTAATGATCCATTTTGGCATGTTTGTTTAGTTCAGTAAGTCACTAACTTACCGTAAAACGGATCACTGTCTTCTTGATTGCCAGTAATTGCGCTTTTGTCTCGGGAACTAATTAAAAAAATTAACACGATCGTGCTGCGAATGCGGAAAATTACACGAGTACTTTTTTAGAGATAACATGATTTCGAGTGCAATTTGGTGATAAGCACGAGTAAACTTTTCAAAGACAACAAAATTTCAATTTGTAGTCTTTAAAAATTTATAAAAACACCAAATTGAAAGAGGAATCATGTTATTACTGGGTTAATAATTTACATGGAAAAACATTACAGAAAGGCAAGACAGACGAAATTTTGGAAGAATGCGCGCTATTTGTAATTTTGACTCGTGTTACAACTTTGCACTCGTGTTACATGAGAATGCACTGGTTTTCAGCGCGTATTTTTTCATTTTCAGTGTTATGTTTGTTTTTTTCATTTGCATTCGAATAATTTTTATGCTAAATAAATAAAGGGGGGTAAGTTTCTAAAGAAACTGTGGTGCTGTGTCGGTGGGAGAGTATAGCAGGTAATTTAGTGTTAACAACCGAGTTGAAAACGTAAATTGGCGATTGCAATCGCTCTGACGAAGGGCTAACGCTCGAAACGTCAGCTTTTTTACTCTTTACGGTGGCCAATTTACGTTTTCAACTCAGTTATTAACAATGAATTTTCATTCTTATGTTAATTTTTTGTACTATAGAACTCCAGCACCCAGTATTTGTTAATTGGCGTCATTAGAAGTCCTCTAACCCCAAAACGCCGTTTATTTGTTTTGTCTTCTAACTTTTTATTTCTCTCAAAACTTTTTTCCAGTTTACCTGTTCGAAATTCAGTCTTTTGGTATTGTTTTTATTTGCTTCTTTTACTCCTGGAACTTTACAATTCAATGCTGAAATTTGATTTAAAAAAAACCGGAGATTATTTCACTCGCGATACATCAACTTATTTAAAATTCATGGCTCTCTAAGAAACTGCATACGAATCAGCAACTAGACCAATAAGATTACGTAGGCCCATATCACATTTACAAATAACGTCCGATTAATCAGCGTTTCTTAAACAGCCATAACTAATAATGTTCAGCTTTACTAACATGGTGAGGATTTTGAACGCGATTGTATTTCTAAGTTTTAGTAATACAAAAGTCAGTGGCACAGAAGTTGACGGTTCGAAAACCTTGAAACGCGACAGGAAAGACGGCGTTAATTATGTCAACTTTGTTTCGCATAAATTTAGTTTTTTGGATCTGCCACCCTTGTTATCAGCTCTTGTGAGTACGGTTGGAGAGTGCGGTGTAACGTGTGTTGATAACCCATCATGTTTTTCCTTTAACTGTGCGGCGTTCTCAGATAACGTGCACAGAAAGATGTCTTGCCAACTTTTGCCCAGCGATAAGTACAATAAATCAACTAAGTTTTCTTCAAGTCCAACATTTCATCATTACAGCATAAAGGTATGTAGAGAGATATTCTTGAATTTTTTCTTCTTGCATAATTTTTTGGTGGGAATATATACAGTGTAGAAGAGTTAGCCTGCTATATTATTTATATTATTTAACCTTTTCAGTCTGTAATGTCAAAGTTCTCAAAATAGTACTAGTGAAACATTAAATTCCGAGCTTTTTAGGCACTGAAATAGCCATTTAAAGCATTCAGTGAAACACTCCGTTTCAATGTAACAAATTATTGCATGTGGCTGCAGTAGTTGATGTATTTATCGTTTATCAATTAGAGATGCTTGTCTTAACAGAGGTAAGTTAAGTCTTGGAAAATTTTTCATTATCTACTGACAGAGTCGTTGTTCCAGTAATCCTTGTATGAACAATGCAACTTGTGTGGCTAACTACGATGATTACAAGTATTCATGCGAATGTGCTCCAGGATATTTAGGAAAGGATTGCGAAGGTGACATCAAAATGTTTTTTCTTTAATTCCGTTTCTTTTAAGACTTAATTAACTAAGTGAAACGCTGTAAGGATCTCATTTACGTCACATGCTGAGTTCAAGCCTGAGAATTCTCAGCACTGCATTCCATTTTAGCTGTTTATTTGTTTCACACTTTTGAGTGATCAAAATGAAATTCCTCTCCAAAGTGCAGGGGTGTTAATGTAAGGTTGACAAGAAAGAAAAAATCAACTTATGAAATTGCTTCACGCAACATTAACTACTCTGAGCTACCGCAAATTATAGGATTACTGGATTATGGACGGTTCTGAAGAACTGCTATTATTTAGATCTTGGGGATGAAATAAGTAGCTTTGATGGCTACAAATCGAATAATTAACCATAAAAATGGAAAATAAGTTCACGAATTATCGGTGTGAATTCAATATTCGTATCCTTATAAAATTCTGCAATACAGATCACAGAAATGTACTAAATAAGATGATTTTTGGAATATTTGCATTGATGTTAAAATTTGACCACTCATTCCATGACCAATGTAAAAATGCATCCCTTTTAAGTCAATTCGTGATTCTGTGTCGTTTGCTTTGTCAAGGTAACTCAGCTATCGTATTGTTAACGCAAACTTAAAAGTCCTGTTTACATCAGAGCAATTTTCAATTGAGTGTTGAAAGTAAGCCCGTATTGCATTGGTTTTGCTTTAGTTGGCTCTGTGATTGGGCAAGAAAACTCCCCCTACTCTCTCAAACAGTCAGACGCAGAACTAAAACCAACCACAACTTAGTCTCTCACGTTTTCCCGCGCTTTGGGCAGTTTGGTTGGTTTTACTTTCATGTAAGTTCTTGTTGACTCTTAAAGGTCTCATCCTTTCTTCCGATCGGCCGTTGTGGTTACTGCTGTTTTGATTTTACAATACTCAAACGAAAAGTGTTCTAAGCTTCGAACCGAAACTACGCTGTCCTTCTACTTTGTACCTCGGTGGAATTTTACATCTGATCGTCGTTTAGAAAGAATAACAATAGTTTCAACAAAATTCCTGCTTTTCTATTTCTCTCATGCCGATATTAATGTCAGCTGTTTGGTTTATCTTTCCTAGATATCGACGAATGTTTCAGTAATCCATGTTTGAATGGAGGACGCTGTGTTGATGGCATAAACAAATATCACTGCAACTGCCCGTCATACTTCACCGGACCAAGATGTGAAACAATAGGTTAGGTTCACTTCATCTCACACTCTAGAAGCTTTTACTCAAAGAGCAGTAACGCCAATAATAAAGTCTAATAGCATGGAATAAATCATCAGCAGGATGTTAAAGTTAACAAAGCTAGGTGACCTATGCACTAGAAATACGTGTAACCGTGACAAAAATGTTTTTTTTCTCAATTCTTTCTATCTATCTATATGTCAATACTTTAGCACTTGCGGCGTGAGTTGCCGATCGGAAGTGAATCAGGAATTAAAGAAGAGTAGCAAAACCAAATCAATTCCGTCATAGCATGTACATTAATAAAATCAAAACCATGTTTAATGTTCCTTGCATTCGAAAGCTTTTCAATCAAGTCTAACTTTATGGTTTATTGCTGACATCTTAATTCTGCTCCTTTTTTACACCTTGTCCTTGTAACTGCGGTTTGTTTCTCTGTTGCTCCTAATACAGGGCACAGGGTTGTTGAAAAAGACGTGCGAAAATCACTCCTTTTCACTTTTCTTAAAAATACACTGGTATGTAAGTTGTCATTTGGGTGAACACAGGCAGCCACGACTCGGACTCGAAGGGGAAAATCTTTGATTTTTTGTTTAAATCCCAAGATAATCACAAGAATTGAAAGGAGAGAAACTAGTGGTATAGAACGTTTACCTTGTATTGTATCTCCATTAGATGTGGATGGTCTTGTCGCGCTCTACCCGTTCAACTCAGCATACACTACAAAAGACATGCTGGGTAGTCAGCTTGACGGAATTGCTTCCAACGTGCAGCTTGCAACTGGACCTAAGGGAAACGCTGGCGGTTCGTATCGGTTCATGGGTACATCTAACAGCTACATTGAACTACCAAACAGCGGAGGGTTAGATACGATGTACTCTTTGACAGTTGTGATGTGGATTTATCCCGAGGGACCAACGGATGGACCTTTATTCAACTATGGGACTTCGACTTCAAATCTTTGGAGAGTTCATTTTTGGATAGGAACTGGTGGAAACTTTTTTTTCCGTCCGGCTGATAGACAGGGTAATATGTATTCATCTGTAACAAGCCCTGCAACCTCAGGTCAGTGGCATTACGTCGCTGTTTCTTACGACTACAACATTGGAGTGGCTAGACTCTGGATCGACGGAGTGGAAAAAGGGAAAGAAACTGTTGGAGTGTTTCAATTAGCTACCGACTTAAATGTCAGAATTGGTGTGAAAACTGGTGATGCCAGATATTTTAAGGGAAGAGTCACAGGAATACAAGTGTATAACGTAGCACTTAATCGAGACCAGATAATGGCTGTGAAAACGAGAGGGGAAGGCTGAATTCATACAAAGTATCAATAAATGAATGCAGTAGTCTGCTTTGCAACCAACTCACTCGCTGTCAGAGAATGCGTTTGGTACCACAGCTTTGAGAAACTTAAACCATATAGTGTTTTAAGATTTTTAAGTGAAAAATGAAATTTTAATGGACAAAAAATAACACAAAGTGTTTCAGCCGCCTCTATTCCTTTACCACAGCCCATGCGTGAATTCTTTGAACCCTGAGAGACAGTTTTGAAACTGTACTGGTCTCCTAGGAATCAGTTCCAGACTATCATGTAATGTTATTATCTATGAACGTATTCATTTAATAATTTTCCCTATCCAAACAATTAATTTTCATCATTATCACTAGTATTAGTATAAAGTATGGGCCCTTTAAGTTACTTTGAAAACGTATTACTAAATTGTCTTCTTATTTCGATAAATGGTAATAACATGATATCAAGGCTTAAAACTTAAGACTTAAACGAGGCACGAACTCGTGCCAATCAAAACGCCATTCGGTCCCGGCTATCAACTGTGCCACGAACTCCAAAAATTGTTTCTATCCGTCGACGCCAACACAGTAAAACGGTGTCTTTAAACGTCTCTATAAAACATTTGTTTTAAGCGACCGTTTTAATCTGATATGTGTGGATAGAAGGCCAAACCCGGAGAAAATCTCAAACGCTAAGTAAAATCAGATGAGTGTGACAGTTTTATTATAACTGATTAGTCGTAACTATGGAATCCTTCGGTCGGCAGGAGACCTAAACTTGTAAAAAAAATCAAAAAAAAATCTGCACCGTCATAGCTTATTCATCACCCTTGCCCAGCTGATTATTTCATATCTCCTTTATTCACGAAAACTTTTTTCTTAACCACATTGGATCATCCGGAATTAAGAATTAATGTTTAAAGATCGGTTTACTGAAAAGATAAACGCCGAGGTTACTGTATCATTAAACGCTTACTGCTCCATCCTCTGCCATCCTCTTTCCGTTGTTTTTATCTCTCATGTTCTAGTGCTTTTTTTCTGACAGCCAAAGAGTTTATGGTTTAGAGCCTGTTTTTCGTCATTTTGCACATTCTAGAAAACGATTCAAATTCTGATGTCGTGGTTCTTTTCACTGCAACGGTTCAATTGGGAGCTGAGGTATAAAATTATGTTCACGGTAAATCACGGAATTTCCATCACACTAATGAACCGTCTGCGCGATTTCCGAAACTCCAAAACTGGTCGAATTGAAATTTTTCTTTCCTAACGAATTATGTTCCATTCCATCCTGAATTTGGATTTCTTCTGGGTGCACTTGTGACTCTCGTGCAAGGTTTGTGATCTGTCAGGAAAAGACGTAAAAATGAAAAAGGTTAAAGATATTAGAAAAAAGAGGAAGAAAGGGGCAGAATGGAAGAAAGGGACAGAATGGAAGAAAGGGACAGAATGGAAGAAAGGGACAGAATGGAAGAAAGGGACAGAATGGAAGAAAGGGACAGAATGGAAGAAAGGGACAGGATGGAAGAAAGATAAGGAAAGATATTAACGGTATAGATTCAAATGGATAACATACAGGGCTTATAAAAGAGTAGGACAGAAAAGGAAATAATCCGTGGGAAGGGGAGAGATTGACGCGACTCTTGCCTCGGAGAAATTAACGAAAGGACCGAACAGGATACAGCAGAACAGGGTGCGAACATAATGTTATAGAGAGAAGAGGAAAGAGAAAGAAAGACATTCGCCCTTACACGAGATTGTAAAGTAGTTTGAGTAACAGTTAAGTAGTGGCACATGAACAGAGTAGTTCCTTGTCCTTTGGTTCCGGGGGTCGCACAGGAATTTGAATTTTTGGCTTTTGCAGAGAGAGAACTTGGGAGAAACTCACCGAGCAACGAGAACCAAGAAAAATTCAAACCACATGTGATTCCAGGCTCGGGAATCAAACCTAGGTCTCCTCAGGGAAGAGGGGTGTACTTTCACACTCCGACATCCACGAAAGCGATATAAACTTATTTTCTGGCCACATACCTTTGGGAGAAACACTAAACCAAGCACCATGGTGGTACACAGGTGTATCAAGGAATTGTTGAAGATCCTCTTGGCATTATAACTACTCAGCACAAACTCCGCTGTGATGGAAAGCCCCGAGAATAGTAAAATATTGTAGACAGCTACCCCGATGTTCTTGGAATCGTTGAGTTCAGCGTAGTGAACATTTCTCGTTTCCCAGGCCAAGAAGACGCCAAACAGAAGCAGTATGCCCTTGTATATCAGTATCCCAAGAAACCATTTAGAGTAGTGAGTTGAATCGCATTGGTGAATTGTTATGTGAATGTGTATGTCTTCGTCGTCGGGGTGCATCTGAAAATGAAATTGAAGATAAGTGTTGATTAGTTAACACTGGAAGACGCAGCTGGCCTGATGGTTAGCGGGTTCTACTTTGGGTCGAAAGATCTGAGTTCAAGAACCGGCTGGGTCATTGTGTTGTGTTCTTGAGTAAAATACTTAAATTGAGTGCCTCTCTCCACCCAGGAGGATAAATTGTCAGGGAAGCCCGATGAAGTGGTGGGGGTAACCTTGCAGTGGACTCGCATCCCATGGGGGGTGGGGGAGGGGGGAGTAATAACATTCTTGGTCTCTGCGTACCAAGGAAACCGCGAAAACCACGATGAGTTTCGGCTTCAACTTGGCTAAAACACAGACTTTATCTTTTCAAATGCCAACTGAGCGATTATTGCTACTTTTGTGACACAAATTAAAACTGAATGTATTTCAGTGGTCAATTTGGACAGGGGAAAAACAAGAAGCGACGATACGATAATCTGAATTTCGCTTGGATCGTTTGAAATTTCTGCTCATCAGGAAATATCCTTTAAAAAGTTGCCTGCCATGGCAAATGGGTGTGTGGTACGGGATTCCTTGATTCTATATGCAAAACCAAAATATGCGTTTAAAAATTCCCATCGAGACAAGCTTGTCAAAATATCCGTTCTTAAACTTTCTTCAACCCTTTTCTTCCATTTAGACATGAATAGAATGATGTATCCTTGGAACTTGTTGTGATAGTGAATCAAGCAATACATTTGTTCGGGGTTGACTGACCAACAATCAAAACATAAAAAGGTCTCAAGACTGTGGGGTTTCTTGATCAAAAGACAACTTCCATGAACTCTATACCTTATCGGACATTTGTATGGTTTTTGCTTGTAAAGGATCCACTAGTTCCCAGCTCACAAGCACCAGTATATCCAGCAGTAGACCATGGAGTATTTTAAGCAATAGGTGAGACGTACTCAGACCACTTATCTGTTGGAAAAGATGAATATGATAACGAGAATGGTGGCATGATTGTCGATGAATAGATAAAAAGTAGAAGGTGATTGTTTTCGTATTTTAGACAAATGTAAATAAAATAAAATCAGTCGCTTTCGAAAATTGTAACACAAGCACTTGAATGGGAAATAAAATAGTCTCTCTATTCTTCCAGTGACGTTTCTAAGATCGCTGAATCCTGAAATCCTTTCAACCGTGTTCATTTAACTGTGTCCTTTCAAATCGCGTTAAATTCAGCTGCGTCATTTTCACTTGCATCTTTTTAACTACGTCCTTCTCAACAGCATACGTTTTCGACTGCTTCCTTCTTAAAAGCGTCTTCCTGACCTTTTCAGCTTCTTTCCTATTCACGACTTTGACACCCGAAGGACCACAATAAAAGATTTTCTTATTGCCCTTTCAAAATTTTCAGTCATTTAACAAGTGAACTAGAAAATGAAATACTGAAACGCTGGGAATGTACCTGTCGTTTGAGACGCCTGTTAGTAAATATCTTGTACACACGCCAAGTCTTCGATAACATTCCTCCAAACACCAATGTAAATCCGACAACAATAAGGTAAGCGCGCACCTAGTGTAGAAAAATCGATTTTCAAAGAGCTGGTATAGATACAAATTTTGTTTCGTCAAACAAGCGGTGGCTGATTTCTTTACAGCTGGGTTTATAGATCGAGTTACACTCATAGTCGAGTTGAACAAGCAAACAGGAAAAAGGAACCCGGTTTTGTTTTCGCCAACAATACAACAAAGAGAGAACTCAGGAATTAAGCAATAATCAATGACTTGCAATATATGTAATTAAGAGACCAAGCTAGCTTCAGGTTGTAGTAAAATATCAAATTAAAGAGATGATTTCTGGTGGCAGAATTGAACTTAGAAACCCTAAGGGAAGGTAGATGCTCCTGTAGGTAAAACATGGGAACCATTCAGTCTCTTTTAATTTTTTTGTTACGCCGCTTACCTTAATTCACAGACGTCCAGTACATAGGTTCGTAGAGGCATGACATATGCGATATGGAGTATCAATTGAATACCAGAACTACTTACCACGCAAACAGATCTGCTTCCTTTTCCATAAACGAATGAATTTCCCAAAACTGCCAGGAAAACGTGGATATAGCATAACAGACAGCCAATGGCCGTTATGCTATTAAAATGCGGTGACGACATCTTGATTATCCTGATGTTCAAAGAAAAAGAAAACAATCAATAAAAATTAGCTATCGGATGTTGATCCGCGAGTGCAAAAAAGTCTACTGGTCCTCACTCTCCGGACTAAAACATATGATATTTATCAGAAGTTAAGAACGTTGAAATGACTTTTAAGCAGATGATAGTACCATAACACTTTCTTCTATAAGTCAAATGTAACTTGCTTCTTCTACCAGGTTCTACTAAGGAGGTACGACCGACGAATACTTCCCAATCCGCATTACCCAATGCCATCAGCAATTAGAAATTGTTGTTAATCTTATTATATTCTACCAGCATACGTTTTGGTTAAACTTTCTTCGCCTTCTCATGCCCGGTTCTGCAGCCGCATTCAAGTCAGCGACCTTTCAAATGTACAGCCAAAGACTGAAATTTGGGTGAAGTTACTAACTTTTATTACCTATGTTTTCTGTATAATATGTTTAAAGTCAGGCATCCCAAAGAGAACAGCACGCCAAGAGAGGATGTAACAAGAGTCATGATGGTCTGTATCCTTGGTGCTTCATAAGGTTCAGTTGTGTTGGTTACTCCGTCAGCCGGAATCTTGCCTTGAAACGCGATAAATATTACAGTGAATAGAGTAGAAAATAAAGGTAAAAATGACAGTAACAATAACAGCAAAACAACATCTTCCAAAATTATCGACAAACAACGATATCATCAACAATAAAGAATGAGAATCGGTTATCTGGGACATTTTTTCTCAAAGTTTAGATGGCTTAAATCGGCAAAAAACAAAGAGAACGTTTTAAACTACAATATGTTGCTTCATATTTGGAAAGATTGTAACCAGTACATTTTCAGCTTTGCTAATCTAATTTGAAAGCTTCTTGCATTTTCGAGGAGTTTTCTAACAATTACAAAAATGTCGCGAGTTTGAAAGATTACAGCGTAAAAAGATTGACTTTTAGAAAGCCAAGACCAAAGTAGTGACCGCGGCAAATCAAGAGAAAGGTAACTGTCTTTAGGAGCCAATGAGAATTAAATGTAAAACAAGTTAAGTGACTAAAGCGCGGGAAAACGCGAGTTGTCGACTCGTTATTGGTTTTAGTTTTGCATTTGATTAGTTGAGAGGATGACGCAAGTTTTCAACACTAGCCGCGATGCAAAGCTCAGTAAAACCAAAGCAATCCTGGATTAATTTTGTCATACAAGCGGAAATCATTCGGTTCGATTTTTAACTGATAAAGCGAAGTGTAGTTCAGTTTCAAGGCTAACAAAAGGCTTTGCTATATTTGCGATATTGTACTAATTACCTTCCCAAATGAACAAAGAGTCATTCAACATGGTGGAAGATTTGTCACACAATCCGATCACTGTCCTGGAATCACCTGAAATGAAATGTAGGAATGTGTGACAGTTCTTTGAACATAACTTTTACTTTAAGTATTTGGCTGCAATTCTGAATCAATAAAGATTTCGGAAATGTTATAAAGAGCACACCTTGTTGTTGCAAAATCTCGATCGTATTTTCTCTATCACCCACTCTGTCAAACTTAACAATGCCCTGTAAGAAATTAAATGAACAGTGTATCATTTTAGACAGTATCTCAATCTTTGGAAACAAACTAATTGGCTGTTTACAAAGGGGAGCGGAAAATCGATCCAAATACAAGCGAAAAAAAGATTCAATTGAGAGGAAAAGTGAGGGGATCAAGCTTCGAACTACCGGCTTTGCATTTAAGTTTAAGAGCTAAAGCATTCGGTGACGCTCCCTCCGAAGGCAATATGGCAACAAAGACGTAGCATCTATTGAAATTTCATTTTAGAAGTTATTTACAACTGGCGATGTTTAGGTTTCAAGACATGTTTTGGTGGACTAGAAAGTAAATTTTCGTCCGTTAAGGTAGGGTGCAAGAGAAACAAATTCCTTTCCTTATGAAACTTTCAATTGTTCCGACAGTGATTAATGCGCGTGCTCACCGACATGCCGATGTAGGTCAAATTCCGAAGTATTCGTCGGAAGAGTTCGGCGGCCTCGCGATCACCATACGTTATGTTTGTTAAACTCTTGTTGCGTGCTTGAAGAGCGAAGGAGGACTGGTGCAACGTTAGTGCGATGCTCCAAATAGCGTCATACGCAAAAGAGGAAAATCCATTTGCTGGGTAATTTATCTTCCTGCTCCGTTTTAAGAGTTCATCGTTAAGTTCAACAGCAGTCTGTAATGTGAAAATCCGAAAAATGAATCGCTGGCGACTAACTACGGTCATTGATAATATAGATCACAAAATAAAAGGAGTTAATCAGTATTCGCCTATATAAGATCAATCTCTAATATGAATCAGGTAAAAAAAATAGCTTATAGTGCCTTCCTTAATTTGTGGCTGAACGCACGAGCGGGAAATATGACCGAGGGACATCTCGTGTTCTGACTGGCTACCCGAAAGTCAAAAAGTGGGCCAGTCATAACCAGTATGAAGAAGTCCATTCAAATTGGTGACTAACCTTCCCTGAAATCGTAGGGGTCTTGGAATCCCCAAGAGGTAGAGGTCTGGTGGCGAGATAGTTGCCCGCTGCTAAAAGTATGTCGTCTCCACTACACGAAGTGTCTCCAATCTTCGATTCCCACCACTTTTCACTGTACCATCCTGGAAGAATCCAAACGTATTTCCTGCCTGTTACTCCTTCATGGCATGCCTAAAAGAGAACAGTCACGGGTATATCTCAAATCGAAAAAAAACAAGACTTTTTTCCAAACAATGTAGAGAGCTGCTCTGTTATTCAGTCTTCGACTACCTTAAAAATAAATGTAACAAATTTCTCACCTGACATGCGATTTTTCGGAATTGATCTTCGTACATCAGGCCAATGATGATTCTGACATCTCTCCTCTGAAATAAATCGCGATGGTGTTAAAACTACCCTTAGTGTTGGTTAAGTTTTTAAGACGTTAACAAAATCGATTTTGGAAACAATGAATTATCCTCTGGATATAGTTAGCCGATAAATAACTGTCAATTAAGCCTTGCGGCCCTTACTTACGATCTCACCTGGAAAAGTATGAATATTAAGAATTGAAAGTGATTTGAGTTAGTTTATCAGCAGTAATTACTTGAAGGCTTACCTTAATGTGACGAACTGGATGCCTGTGTTCCTCTTCAAAACTCTCCATGAAGACGATTGAGATGTTGTTTTTGGTAAGTAACGCCACCAAGTTCTCTTTGGTCTGCAAAAATAACAAGTGCTTAATTTCGACCCTTCAGATGTCTCTAAAAGTCATTTTATAGTGATATATAGTTTAAGCTGATGTTAATCAGGTTCACGAAAGGTTATTCGAGATTTCTCGTCTCTCTCTCAAGTCATGATTAAAAATATAATTAACTTCACTGGATAAATTATTCTCCATTTAAATATATCACGATTATAATCTCTGTTCATGTAGGCCGGCAAACAGCTGGAATTACCTTTGTGAAAATGTGGTCCTGTTGCACGAGAATTGCGACTCTGTTCCACTTGAAGTGCTTTAGTAAGTTCACAATGGCAAAGTTGTTCAAGGCCTCAGAAGAACAAATGCGGGAGTAGAGTGGAAACCTTGAGTCATCTGAGAGCTTAGGAGAGGTATTGCTGAAACCAACCTTGGGGAAAAAAAGTAGTATTTAGGGAGACAATCTCAACAATAACAACAACAAAAGTAGCTTTTTTTTTTTAAATTAAATTTAAATGGAATCGTTATGCGTTAGACGCATTGAGATGCTACTGGGGGAAAGCTTCCTAATCTAAATGCATGATATTACATGCTTTCCAGACCTTGAAGCTTATTCTTATACCTCATGATTGCAAAATCTGAATTTCATAATTGACCGAAAAAATGAGGTCAGTGGTTCAAGACGTGATGTGTACCTGCACTGCTCCCCAAAATGGGGCAGCTTCTGCGATGGGTTCTGCAGCTGGAGAGCAACCTGGTGCCGTGAACATGATCTTATTAGGAGGCTTGGACACTAAATCCAACATAGCTTTTATGGCGGCAGCACTGTCACACTGATGATTCAAAATTCAAAGGAATGGTTAAAGATACCATCAAAACTCAATTAACTCAACCTACTCCTCTCTAAAAACGGCTGTTTCTTTTTGTCCCGGTGAAGGTTCCTAGTAACAGAAGCTTAAGATAAAAGAAAAGGATATTAGAACCTGAAAACCTTGCGTTCTTCTTACTCTTTACCGTTTGCTTATGTAGCTGTCATTTCCAGTGAGGAAATACCTTACATTCATTCGGAAAAAAAACGCCTTTGTTTAAAACTTAACCTCCCCATATGAAAAAACTACCCTTATTCTTTGAATTAATGAACAATCGATGGACATTATGTGGCTAAAATGGAACCGAAATCGGGCTTTACTTAGGCTTAAATCGGTGCCTTTCAGATACTATACGTTGGAAGAGAAACAACCTTAAGAGATCTTTCTTCAAGAATTTTCATTTTCAAATCTGACTTTCTGATTGTGATGATACGTCACGATTTTTTTCTCTCAGATGGACTGCCATTAAAACAGTTGATCTACCTGCCTTGGTCCAAGGTCCTGAAGTCCAAGACCAATTCAAATTGTCTCTTTAAGCCTCAGCTGATGCTGATAACAGCTCATGATCCCCTGAACACACCAGTCCTCATTTTACGGCTATCTATCTTTTTTATGCCATCTTTTCTATGAGTGTGTCCTAGGGCTAAGAAGGCGTTTAATATACCTTAGAATCTCTCCACTCCTCCTGTAAAATGTACCCTGCCAAAATGGACCGGTCCCTATTCACGTGGTCCAGCGCCATCCGAACTGCCGGCATAACACCCTTGGAGCTCCAACCTTTTGAAGACACGTTTACGCCGTAGAAAGTACCAATGTACAAGTTCTTCAAACTGTGAGCCCACTTTCCCATTAACAGAATGGAAAGCAGCAACCATGCAGAGAGCGTGATAGTTTTCATCATTTTGGGGGGACCTGTAAAAGATGCTATCATTTAAGTTATGAACTCTGTTTCAGTCCACAACACAAGTCTATTTCTGCTTTTCTTTCAGTTAAACCCGGTTTAACTAAACATGTTTTGCTGGTGTGAATAGGGTAATATTCTCGAATCAGCAAGATACCAACAAATCATTAGAATTTTGAACAAGCCTTCACCCTCAGTGAAAGTGATTGAACTATGCCCATCCTCCTTGAGCCGTTTATGTGTGTGTACATCAAATGAGAATGTATGCGTTTTCTGTGAGCAAGTTAATATTTTCTCGTTCTGTTGAATCGATCAAGGATAGTATCTGGTGTAACAAAATTGGTTATTGCAAATGAAAATTTAAGTTGTCACCAGTAATTGGTTATATTATATGAAGGTTTTCCAAAAGAACACCGAAAAAGAAAGGAATTTTTCAAAAACCAATCCTGAAGTATAAGTTTCTAGAGAAGCTTTGGTGTTGCATCGTTGGGGGTATCATAAGATAATCTGCCATTATTAACTGAGTTGATGATGTAAATTGAAACCGTAGGTAGTTCCCAAGGCTGACGTTTCGAGCGTTAGCCTTTCGTCGGAGCGAAAGTTTGTTAATAACCTGCATCGCCTCTCCCACTTTGCCTCACGTGTCATTCGGAAATCATATTACTCTAGCGACTCAAAATGCTTCCTGGTTGCAGGATTAGGCGGCTCTAAAAGGGAAGCAAGCTATTTCTGTTGTCTGCCTTCAAAGCAAGCATTATGAAACGGTTGTTATCTAATACGGCGCATGAATACCAGCTATGAATTATTCACTGATGTATACATGACCTATCGTTAACATTCGAACATATTGTGCTTCAGGATGCTATAGTTGTTCACAACCAAGCGAGCATTGAATCAGTATTGTATTGAGCTCATATATTTCCTGGCGCATTACATCAATAAATGTGGAGTCATTTGTTTCTGTGAGCCTAATCGCGTTGCTTTGTAAAACGATCACAAAATGTAAATTTTATAACATCTAGAGTGCATGCAAGGTGCTAATTGACTTCCATAGTTTTTTCTTATTAGTAATTTGATCTGGTTTCTCTTAAAAGGCCTTAAGCTTGCCAAGTAAATTTAACTTGATTCATCTAATTTCAATATCTCTGGTGTCTTCACAACCTTGATCCCAACACTCTAAAATCGAAAAGGCGCACACTTGTGAAAAAAGATAGATGACAATTAGCGTGGAACAAGAACAGGCCATAAAATAAACACTCGCCAAGCTTTTTTCCGAAATGTGAGCTAGCAATACGAATAACCGAACTTGAAAAGACCTGTTCTTGTTCCCTGTTTTCAAAAACATTTTAATCACTTTGAGGCGTTTTCTGCCATATTTCCCTTTTCTGCAACCAATTTTCCCTCTGCTTAAAAATATATTACGGGTATTTCTCACTCCTCACGAAGTAATTAACTCTTGAATCGATGACTAATAACGTATGTTTCAGTTTTAAGCGGGAATTGCTGAAGTGTGTTAATGAAAAATCCTATGTTTTGACATACTATGACTATTCGGATGATCAGTTGGCCAATCCAACTTAACGGTAATATTGGATTCTGGATACGTTTTCTCATTTTCATCGTTTATCGTCTATTTGTTGCTGATTATTTCCCAGCCGCGAGGAACATCTTTTTCCCTGCGTTTTGAAAACTAGATCAACGATACGCTTTTAAATCTTATGGAAAAAATCTAGTAAACCACTTTTCTGTTAATATTTATCGACGGCTAATAAAGGATATTTAAAATAATCAAGCTATTTGTTCACATAGCACATCATAAGCTCTACCTTCTTTGAAAAGATTCTGTTTTCTAGATGAAAGTGAAGGTATCAGAGATCCTGAATGGTATTACTTACCTCTTCGATAATTCTCCACGCCTGATCAATTTCCTCTTTTCCTTCGAGCAATGGCAGCTAGTAGCAGAAAAAATAATTAAGAGAAAAACTATGCAGTTTGAACACCTTGAATGCAGCTGCTGATGTCAATTTGCTCTCACTGCAACACTAACGTAAATCTCTCTCGTGGTTGGTTGATGTTTTGAGTTTAATTGAAGTTAGTGGGGTGTCATTGAATGTCTCCGTCATACATATTTATTGAAAAATTCGATGATTTTTCATCATGCGCTTGAATCAATGAACAGATCGTGCAGAGTTTTAATTCAAACGAAATGAAAAGGATACATCTTATTTTTAAAAGTTTGCCTGTAAAAGACTTCTTACCATCCAGATCTTATTGCCCCAAGGTATATGACAATCTGAGAATCTGGGAATCTGGGAAACAAGCGGCCGCCAGACGCCGTTTGGGAGAGGGGTCTCAATGGGGTCAAGGCTCTTACGGCTAACGGTTAAAATGTTGGCCCTTATAAGGCTGACGGTCAATTTCTCTCCGTTAGGGTAATCGGAAATGTCCAAAATTAATTTCAATTACTTTCAAAAGTCGGTAATTCATTTTCATTGTTCTTAAACACATTTAGGACTATAGTTTACCTTTTATTGATGCTGGAATTGGAATAAAGAAAACAATATATAAACAAAGTACCTTTACATATGCATGGTATTACAAAAATTGTTAAATATATCTTAGTAGACTTTTGGGTGTGTAGTATCGTTGAGTATTTTTAACAGTTGTGTCGTATTTCGACGAGCCAGCAGGGCGAGTAAAAATACAAACAATGAGTTAAAATACTCGGCGATACGTTTAATACGGTTATTTATTATCTAACTGCTTTAATTCATGCGCCTTTCTTTAAAAGTGGGAAAAGCAGAGCAGAAAGAGAAGCGCAGCGCGCGCAGTCGACTGGTTGAACAGTTTTTTTTAAAATACAAAATAACCAACTGTCCAATATCGCAGGATATTCGTACTCGATTCGCGCGTTATTTACACTCTACCGGCTTAGTGTAGTTGGATAATAAGAACACATGTAGCATACTTCTTCAAAAAAATAATGCTTTATGTATCGAAATATAATGTATCTGAAACAGTCTAAGATTTTGATCGTGGATGAGAAAAAAATTCACGGTTAACTTTATTACGATCTACAGTTGAAATCTGTCAATTTTTACGTCCAACGGCTTAGCTTTTTGGCTGTTTTAAGGCCAACAGTTACCTAGGATCGAACGATCGATCTTTTAGAGATGGAAAAAAACTCACTCTCTCTCAACACAAAAAAACTGTAATACGAAAACTCGGTGGGTTAAGCCTTTAGGAAATTTCGGTATAATGTCATATTTTTAAAATATCCTTTTTTCGCAGCAGATTCTCTACGGTTATTAAAACACAAAATATTACTCTTTGAAACATAAGAGCGATACTCCGCTACCTTTTTTTCCCCAGTTTTCCAGGGAAGAAACTTTCGAGTTGACATCGTGAAATAATTAAGCTTTCTTTTGTTTTTTTTCTTTGTTTAACCCAAATTGGTGGGACACATTGGTGAATACGTTTGTGTGACCATGTTTTAAGTTTTCTTACCACTCTACTTCGTCTCTACTCAGTCTCTACTTTTATGCAGAATAATGAGCAGTTTTTTCCTTGTTTTAAACGGATAGGATGATTTTCACATATGATTGTAGCGCTAATTTTTTTTAAAGCTATTTTATAAATCATATGATTTAAGCATGCTGTTTCTTCAAAATTGGAATTGTTAACACTTTTAATTTTCATCACAATCACATGCGCGCCAGGTCATTTGAAACAAAGTGACTGAGTGATAAAACCACAGCCCCTTGTAACTACATGAACAGTATAAATTTTTCATGTAACGCGGGAGTTTACCGCTGAATTAACATTTTAATTCGAAGTTACCTGCCAGGAAAGACACCAAGAACATATGATATAACAAAATAAGGCGTGAATATAAAAGCGATCTACGCAGTAATGACTTTCATATATTCATTACCTAAATTACCTCACCGATGGCTTAGATGCCCTACCACTTTAAGAAGATAAAATCACATATCTGCCCTGTGAAAAAAAGGTGTACATTTTCGGCAAGAATAACTGCTAAGCGATTTTGATAAAACGGTGTACATAAACGTTAGAGGAATGATTAAAGTTTCGTTTCTGTAGTATCAATTTAAATTATCTAAAAGAAACATTGTCATCTTCCAAAGAAATAGGAAACATCTTTTATGTTCATCTTTTTAAAGTGCAGTTCCGACTCAATAATTTTAAAGCTCAGTTTTGGAAAGATATGAACTATTAATTCAATATGTAATCGTGCCGGTTGTGATGAGCGCAATGAATTAAAAAATTTTACCTTGCGAGAAAATCCTTTTGCCTGCAGATCGGGAAAATCCATAGCTTGTTTGCATTGACACTCGTTCTTCAATAATACCAGTGATGTTTGTTTTACGACGGTACAAGATTCGCCTCTTGATTTCTCATTTGCAAGATTTCTTGCCTTCTTAAAAACGATATCACAAATGATCAAAACTCACCTTTCCTAGTATCTGCAAAATGACTCTTAAGAGAGCACTTCCAAAAAATCTCTCTTGTTAGGTCGTATTTAGACCCCTCAATGTGGTCTTTTTAATTTCTTCTTTCAAAAAAGTTTGTCATATGTCTTCTTTTCGAATGATTTTCCCTTCTCTTCGCTAGTAAAGATAATTTCAATTTAGTTCTCAATGGCAACAATCGTGAAAAACATGCAGCCGTAACGGGTTTTCACTAAAGGAAAATTAATACACCTCGCAATGTGGTGCTTCTCTGTCAATAAATGAAATTGGACTGTTGCTGTCACAACTTGACAAGATGCCAATTGACTTAGAGGAACGCTTTGTTTCCTCTCACTTTGTTGGCAGAGAGTGCGGAAACTCAGTGAAACAAACAAAATTAGGAAAACCTTCCTCAATAACCATAGCAATTTTTAGAACATCCTTGGTCGAATAACAAGCGCAATATACACTTAGAAATTGTCGCAATCTCCGGCGGTTTTTGGGCTTTTAGTCTCCTGAAAAAATGTACTGGTTTGATATAGATCGAAAATAGTTATATAATTAATTAATTAAGAAAAAAAAGTGCACACAACAAAATAAAGAAGTGATGGGGGTCGTACTTGTAAAGTTCCGTGAGGCCAGTGAAAGCTCACGCAATTTTTTTCGCTGTTTTCTTTTTTATTCCTTTTATTTTGTAAATGTCTACATTTTGTAAACAAACGGATATTGCTTAAAATTAACATGGGCATGTCGCTAAACTTTACGATGAAGATGTCAAGTGTAGAGAATCCTCGACCAATAGCTATGGAGGATTTGAGATTGAAATTGATGTTATAAACATGATTAAGCTTGAGTCAACAAGTCACTTTTATCAAAGTTGTGCGCTTCTAATCAATTCAAGTCATTACAACAGTGATCATGTAACGTACATGAAAAACTGAAAGAAGTTAGAGCCATGACTGAATGATTTCATCAAGAATAAGGAAAAATGTCTGATTCAACGACAAGTGTTTGTCTACTTATCTTTAAGAAATGTCAGAAAATATCTACAATCAATTTTACTTAATTCAAAAACGTTTTATGAAGTATGGATCTTTCACTTCAAGCGATGATATTTAAGTTGAAAAAAAACTTAGAATTGGGCACCTTACTAAAAAAAATGCTTTCGGCAGACGAGCTCTTACTTTGGTGTATTGCTACGCTCCAATTCCCGTTTTAAAAAATTTCAATGTTATGTATATGTTACGGGTATTAAATTGCACGGAAGTTGGACTAAATATGTAGTCTTTGTGCTGCGAGTGTTCTAACAAATTTGTCTGTGCTCAGAAGAAGAGTCAGTATATCACAAGCCTTTAACGGAAGTTTCATTATCGTGCGAGGTCTTGCGCGGATAATGTTTGAATTTGTTCTGGACTACAACGACAAATATTCTTGAAATTACCCGCTCAACTTTAAAGAATTGAGAAATGTGAGTTTGACACATTCATTTCCTCTTCAGACAAATTCGCTTTTGGGAATAAAAAAAAAAATGTCAAATTGCAAAAAACAGTCTTAAGGTTGAGCTTTGCAGCCGTGAAGAAATATATTTGAGAAACTGGAAGGGTTTCTTAGAATCAGATTTACGTTCTTCGTCTATGTGACTTAAAAAAACGTTTCACAAAGCAGAACCGGCAAATATACGATTTCAATAGTACTTGTAATAAATGTCAAATCAACACTTGACACAAACATCCGTGCTACGAATATGAACCTTGCTAAGCCTGCAGCACTTTGAAGATATGGATGATTTACTCAAATAAATGTCAACTGTCATGACTGAGCAATGCTAAGGATACAATGAAGTAAGGAGATCACGCACGGCATCCTCGTGCCGTCAAGGACAAGTGATGAACAAGAAATGTGTGTTTTTTCGGTCCTATATGATCAAAAGGGATCATTTTTGAATATTTTCGTTTTACTCGACTCAGTGGTAATTGAATGGTATATCTAACTCCGGCCCTTGCAAAAAAGGTCCCTGCTTACGGTAATTAAAATACAGCATGAAAAACTAACTAATTAAGAAGCGTTTACTGCAATAGGTATTGATCAGACTCTCAGTGGCTCTTTGGTACAAGCTACATTGAGTGATTACGTAGGACAGACATGCACGTTACGCATTGGGTCTGTGTTTCGAGATACATGATTACGTAAGAGAAGACTTCATGACAGCTGCAGCGTGTCAAAGCAAGATACCATCAAATTTCAGGAGCATCATTTCATCAAGTTATCTCTTACAGCTCATGTTGAAACTTACGATAAGATGGCAAGTTAAACTTCGGCTTACATTCAATTTGTGTTTTATCTCATTGCTAAAATTGATATATGATATCAATTTTTCCAGCTGTTTTCTTTTCTTCAAACTTTTAACGCTTTAAAAGCGTTGACTAGCCACGATCGCACCAATAGAGCACTTTTTGACTGTGTCGAAAAAAACAAAACCAAGTTGATCGGTAATAATCACAGCGAGCAATCAAAGCAAAGGTTTACATCATTATCAGCCAATGAGAACTCGAAGCGCGGGAAAAAAAACGCGAATGACAAAGTCGCGATTGTTTTTAGTTTTGCATCTGATTGGTCGAAAGGATCGCGCGAGTTTTCTGAGCCAATCATAGTGAAAATTAAGCAAAACGAACACAATCTCGGAATACTTTCGACACGTAATTGAAAATTGCTCTATCAAACTGTCAGAAACAAACGTAAAGGAAGAAGAAATGCTGCTTTATATAAAGCGCTACTTTGATAAGGAAATCGGAAATTTGTGGCAGGTTTTTCAAGGGGTTTTTCGATCCTAACATATGAAATGTTTTTTGATAATAAACATGACGAAAAACTTGGCACGATATGACGAGATGTAGTTGCAGTGATTCAAAATGTTATGCTAACAGTTTTCAATTCGGTATAGAAATCTATGGAGTAAGCCCCGCCTGTTCGCCCCAGTCCACTCTGCTTCCAGGATTCGTGAGGCATGTTGGGTTCGTTTGGAAGCCAGCTGTTAATCCATACAGAGCTAAATAAAACAAAATCAAATAAGTTCACGTGAGTGCAAGGTATTGAAATTTTCTTCATTGTAAAACAGAAGAATTTGGTGCAGAACGGCAAGTACGTAGGTTCTACTACATCAGCATGCAATCCACTTCTCCTTCGCGCTTTTTGTGAATTATTGTTATTTTTTAACCACTGCTTTTAAGGAGGTTCTAAAGAGAATGCTGCTCATGCACAAGTACTCTTGCTCGTATCCGCCTTTTACTGTGGCACGCGCCACTCCTTTCAAATCTATGTGGGTTACGTGACAACCCTATAACCGCTGCGAAGCAGACTTCAATGCGAATTGCGAAGTTTGTGAAATGCCGGTCTTAACTAAGTTACGTCTACGACGTTCTCTCATGAGATCAAAAAATTGCAAACCTTTCCGGGAAATCCTTTGTTGAAATTTTTGCGGGAATGTGCAATTTCTTGCTTCTAGGCATCTTCATTTAACTCTTTGTTTTTATGGGTTTAGAGTGATGGGCGGTTCATACTTTACAAATTGTGATAACTAACAAGTATCAAGTTAAACTGGTCAGTGGGTCCTTTGGTGGATTTTCAACGCAAAAAAATAACAATAGGAACAAAGAGTTTTTGGTTTAAAAAACTCCATACGTATACAAAATCATAGGGCCAGTGCGTAAGTAAGGTGTTCACCAACGTAACTCCACGGAGTCACCTCACTGAAGATCATAAAATCTCTAGATTCACCCGTGACTGTCTGCACCCCATTGAGGGTGGCTAAGAATGGCTTTACATCTCATCGAAGATAACGGCTAGGGGAAAAATCAAAGATGAAAGCCATAATGATGATAATAACAGATCGTGGAAAACATAAATTTGCCAATTAGTTTCTGTAATAAAGCCTTACCCGACATTTAACTGGTCTGCAATACTGTGAGCTACTTTAACATCTTTGCACCAGACCGAGGCTGATAAGCCATACATTGTTCCGTTTGCTCCTACTATAGCCTCGTTTGCAGTACGAAACGGTATGATTCTTACCTAAGGGAAAAGCGAGCTGTATATAGTCCATTCCGAACAGAAATTAGAGGGGATAGAAGGAAAAGGAGACAGAGGGTTGTTAAATTTATAAAAAGCTTACGCAAACTGAAAAAGAAATCAAAGCACTCAAGAGAGTTTATTTTGTTGCCGTGTTTTCTTGGTACAACTGCTATCGGTCTTTCATGTTTCGTTCCTTAAAGGAAAGAATCAAACTGTCCTTTGAAAGGAAATAAAAGAGAGTGTTTGGGCTAATTACTTTGCTGAACCTTGCGTCTTCAGGAGTTGGTTTTTAAAGGTTTTGTCTGACATAATCCATGTAGGAGACGCATTGTAATCTAACCAACGGCAACACTTACATCAGTTTTGCTGTTTACATTTCTTTCTTTTCTTATTAATGATAAGCTTTGATTATTCTGAGAGATTCTATTGACTTCTCGTCGAAATATAAGATTACAACGTATCATTTAAATGGACAATCCTTCCCTTTCTGACAATAGAAAAAGGAGTATTTACCACTGGGCCTTGAACCTCCAGGGTGTTTATAGTACTAATGGTTGAACTTTGGAAACCTGCATATAAATATCAAATGTTAAGGGGTTAGTAGGAATTTAAAACCATTATCATACTCCTGACTGATTGACGTAAAGCTATTTATGCTGACCTCCAAGTACCGTGGGCTCCAGGAAGAAACCTTTGGCTAACTTGCTGTCAAGTTTTGGAATTTTCCCGCCCCACAGAAGCTCTGCTCCATCGTTCACTGCGCCTTGAATAAGACCTATGATCTTCTGGCGATGTTCCTTGCTGATTAAAGGACCAACCTAAAGTATATGATAGATTTTAACGACTAGGCTCTCAATAAAGTAAGTTGAAGATAAACTTTTTGCATCCTCATGAACTTAATCTACATGTTTGAGGATGGTTACTTGAAATCCACGGGGTCTTTTTCTTCAATCACTCTTAACTATTAGTTTATTCCATCTTTGCAAACTATTACTTGTTTCCCTTTCACTATTTAAGCTCCTGACCCTCCCAAGATTTAATTAGTAATTCTCCTTACTGTCTATCATACAATTCATGTGATGTTAGCTTGAAGAATTTGGAATTGGATCAACCAATAATTCCCTAATTTATGTTTTTCTTTATTCTTATTACTTGTCTCCTTCATATCGTACCGATAGTGTAAGGAGAAATTCTGTCTAGGTCGCTATTGGGACTTGAGGGGTTAAGGGAATTAATTCTTTATGTTGCAAAAAGGACCAAAAGACTGTTATCACTATTTACGTAATGCGGGTCATTGTCACGTGATAGGGTAGTGTGAGGCATCAATAAACCGCCATTTTGAATTTGGTGCGATGTCGGTTTATTTTGCAATTGACCTTTTGGGACTTTGAACATTAGTTATTTGGATTTTAAATTTGGATATTTGGATGTTGGCCTGGCTAACAGTGGGTAACTTCGCTACCTTTAAGACTTTTTAAACTTATTTAGGTACTTTTTTTGTGAAATAGAGTATTGTAATTTTTTCAATCTTCGGCACTTACGCTTAATCTAAGATGATCAGAATAGATTGAGAGATTTCAGTCCTTCTATAATCGTAAATGAAATGCTGGGATGTAAACAAGAAGATTTGTGGGCTTGACTTGCCAAGTTTTTCTTCGAGGTTCAGTGTTTTCCTGTGATTTGTGAGGAGGTACATGAAGCCGAGAAAGACGTTATTTTACCTGTATCCCTGTCTCATGTGCACTGCCAATCTTCAACCTCTGTACCACTCTGATGAATCTTTCAGTAAATGTTTGCAAGATGGATGCGTGAACGAAAATGCGGTTGATAGAGTGGACGTTTTGACCCTCGTTGCGGAGAAAACTGGGAACAAAACAATACGCTATTGAGCTGGTGCTAATTTCAACCTAGTTTTAATTATGGTTAGAACCCACTTTAATCATCCCTTGTTGTATCTGAGGGCGACAAAAACTGAATATTGTTTATCATGGTGATTGGAACATTTGGATTGCAACCAGCACTCCAAGAGGATCTACGACACAAATTATTCGAGATTGACGCCGCATGATCGTAATAAATTCAGCGCATATGATTGATTCACAAACAGCGAAAACTTGAAATGATAAACAAGTCAGGCAGGATTATGTGGGAGTGTAACTAAAAGAAAAGCTATTTTCATTACCTTCCTCTGATTGCAACTGGGAGAACTTCCTCTAAATTAGCGTCGTCGAAGACGATCATCGGATGACAGTTTCCTAAGCGAAACATGAACTTTTTTGTATAAAGAAGCTGACTTACAGCAAGTATGGCAGATGCAGTCCTCTCGCTTCCTGCCTAAAGAGATGGAAAAATTAACGGTCATTCTGCATTAAGAACGTCAATGCACATGCACTTAAAGTGATATATCTCTCAAGTCAATGACTATTTTAACCGTATAAGCGGATTGAATAGTGTACGAATGAAGAAAGGAAGACTTCCAGTATATCTGTCAGCTTCTTTAAACAACTTGTAGGGAATATCCTGAGTATGAATCTTGAAAGTCGAAAAGAGGCGATAAAAGAGTCAACATTTCTTGCTCAAGAAAATTGTCAGTGTTATAGAGAACAGGGATCCAGACCTATACGTAGTCTGCGGAGTATTCTCTTCATCTCGTGTTGGAAGAGCGAAGGCTAGATTGAGTCCTACGCCTTCCTGTTACTTAGACTTCTCCGTTGGCCGAGGAGAAAAGATGAGGACTGCCACGCAGGTTAACCCACACGCGCATCGCAAAATTGAATGGGCAAAACACTGGGTTCTTCGCTTCTCTCGAATTAGATGGAGGTCTTAAAATTTTAATATAACAAACTTTCTCGAAGACCTTCTTGAAACTAGTGAAAAGCCAACTAGTAAAAAACATTCTTCCTCAAATGGAAATTAATACCTGCATTTCTTAAAACAAATCTTATAACATAGCGCGCGTGCTTGCCCTATATAAGTCCTATTAAGCCGCTTTGAACAAAATCTTTATTTACGCACGCCCGTGTGTAAATAAGATGACGTGAGCATTTTTTTTTTACCTGGTATCAGAGTTTCCGTCCTGTTAAGCTGCAGTGCAGTTTTCCTTCTCTTTGAAATATGGAAGAAACCAGCGAAGAATTGCCCAATTTTTCTATCGGCATTTACCTTTTCGGTCCTGATCCAACAAGCAACAAAAATAAAGCCGAAAAAAACTCGCAAGTTACACGTTTCGCAAATTTGTCGGAAGCGTAAACATTATTTTGAACTATCAAATCCCTTGATAACTTCGGGTCTTTGACTTTTAAAACATTTTTTAGTGACACGAGTTCATTTGGCTTTGATCTCCTTCATTTTCCCCGTAAATTTAAGCTTTTCATTCACAGTTATCGGTTAACTGGATCAAATGTTTTCGCTCGAACCAAAGGATAAATGGGGCGTGTTTTTGACCAGCCAATAAGGACGTTTGTTTACTTTTTTTGTGCGATGTGAGAATTTTCAATAAGAGGCTTCTTCGCGCAGATCCTTGTTGTCGCTCTGTTATAAAAGAATTTGCTCATGCTTTTAGCTGTACGGATATCGAGTTATGAACGTACTTGGGAAGTTTGGAGAGCACTCTAAAAGCTAGAGTTGCTCTCGGCTGCGCCTCGAGCTACTCTTACGCATTTTTCGTGATCTCCAAACTTTCCGCGTGCATCCATAACTCGATATACGCACGCTAACCATGAAAAAATTCTTAATTTCTTGCTGCGGCTGATTATTAATAAGATATTTGTAATTGCCTTAGTCAGCAAAAGAAACATCTTGATCAATGTTTTTTTAGGCCTCTCTGATATGATATCAGCACACATGACTACATGTACTGCATCTGAAGGTTCGATGAAACAATCAGCATTAGATATTTGGAAGAGTCGACAGATTCATTTCTATTTTGATGAAGTTATCCAAAAACTTTTAACGATAAATATCTTACCAATGCCAACGCTTTCACAGTTGGATGCGCAGCCATGGCTCTTCCAAGCACGTCACCTTTGCCATAGACTACGTTCACGACGCCCCTTGGAATCCCTGAAATCAAGGAATCGAGTGTTACGTACACAAGACGAATATTGACTGAACAGATAAAGAAACAAGTAAATAACTGAATGAAAGGATAAATATATCATGGCATTTGTTTCCTTGTAATTTGCTTCCTTTCCTTAATTAAATTCAAATAAATTAAGTTCTTCAGCCGGCCTCAGACAAATCTTTAATTTCAAACTTGATTCGCGAGAGCATTGAACGCTATAGAGCAGGAATTACCTCTTCCCCTACCACGTTAATGCCGTTCGTGTCCACCAATGTCAACCACAAGGGTCTGGGACTCGATTCCTCAGGGAGAACGCCTTTTTTCTACTTTGTTTCACGCTCGTTCTAAGCTAAAAACATCTTTCGTCTTAATTATGCTGATTACAAATTATAGAACTTTCCCTTGTCTCAGTTACCTGCATCGCTGAATGTTTTGGCCAGCAAATGGACTTCAACAGGAGCCAAAGATGAAGGCTTTATAACCACACAGTTGCCGCTGGCCAGTGCTGGGATTGCATGCCATAAAATCGAATGCAGAGGAGAAGCCCAGGAAGTGATTATACCAACTACGCCAAGAGGATACCGCGTACTATAGCTGACGGAACCTGAAAAATAACCAGAGTAGTGCAATCTTCAACTGAGTTTTGACCTAGCCAGGTCTCGCACTTGGACGTGTGAACCCTGAGTTCTGGGCACCAACCATAAGGCCACTCTGTCTCCAATAGTCCATTTTACAGTTGCGTGCTTGGTTGCCAAACCTTTGACCAGGAGTGAGGCTAAGAGTGACCTTGTCATGATACAAACCTTGCTTGCTTTTCAAATGCAAATTACTTTGTTATCATGCTAACTAGATACTGGTCGCTATCACAACAAGGTCACCTTCAGCCTCACTCCAAATCAAAGGCTTGGCAACGAAGTATACAACTGTAAAATGGCCTATTTTAGATTGCAATAAATACTACTTTTCCGGAAATCTGTGGTGTTACATAGTAAGTTTACATTTTACTGTAGATTTTATTTGCCATTAAGAGTTTGCTATCAATTTCCTAAGTAAACCTCGCTCACCGTGGAGTCTCTGTGACTCAGTGGTAGAGCGTCGGAGCGCGGAATCCGAAGGTCTGAGGTTCGATTCCTCATGGGGACTCAGAGTTTTTTCTTTGTCCCAAGCTCGTGACAAGACGAAAAACATCTTTCTTTACTTCTTTACCGAGCTCAAAACTTACCATCTCTCTAATTTCTATCTACAAACATTACTCTATCGACATTGCTGATCCTAGCAGTATGCAGGACACGTGTCATATGAACTTCGTAATAGACCTCGCTCACCGTGGATTCTCTGTGGCTCAGTGGTAGAGCATCGGAGCGCGGAATCCGAAGGTCTGAGGTTCGATTCTTCATGGGGACTCAAAGTTTTTTCTTTTTCCCACGCTCGTGACAAGACGAAAAACATCTTTCTTTTATTTCTTTCTTACTTTCTTACCTTGTGATTGTGTTGCTGATTCCACAGTAGCAACGGCTTGCGCAGTAAAATATTTAATATTGAGAACCTCTCTGGTAATGTCGTTGTCTTCCTTGCTTACACCATGGATTGCTCTACCCTGGTCCATAATCTCAGCGCGAATGAAAGCCTCAGACCTTTTCCCCAATAACTTCGCCACTTGATTTAAAATCTTTGCTCTCTCATTCTATTTCTCGCACAAAAAAGCCAAAAGGACAATTAAAAACACAAAAAATAAGAAAACTCGCATATCTTACGATCAGATGTCAGGAGGGGAGAACTTGGGTTCGATTCCGCGTGATAATTGTACATTTTTTGCTTTATCTTACGCTCCTGACCAACATACATAATTTTAGAGTCATGAGACAAAGAATAATCACTTACCTTACAAACTTTAGACCATGAATAAAATGCAGACCTGGCGGCGTCTATAGCTCTTTCTACATCCTTCACAGTCGAGACTGGGTATCTGCATAACACTTCCCCTGTACTTGGATTCAAAGTGTCGGCGAATCTTCCATCCTCTGGAGGCACGAACTCGCCGTTTATAAAATTTTGGATTTGTTCCGAAATGTCACGTCTGCATTAGAAGATAAGCACAATGTAAATCAATCGCGCGGTGTGATCATTAGAGTCAGCGGCAGTGTGGAAAAAGGATTGGGTCATTTACTCGAAAGTTTTGGAAGTTACCGATTTTGAAAACGTCTTTTTCCCTTGTTTTTCTGACAAGACTGGGATATCAAAAGTTTGTTAAAAAAAAAATGAAAATATCAGGAAAAGAGACGAATTGAACTAGCATTTGAGCTAAGACCAGCACTACTCTCCCTTAAGATTCATATTTAAAATTAGTTATGACTTCAGGCCCGCTTAGTTCCCGGGACTTTCGAGAAACGGGCCCCAGTGACTGACGTTTCGAGAATCTGAGCGGAAGTCTTTCTTTATTTTATGACGACTTCCGCTAATGCTTTCGAAACGCCAATCATTTCTATAAACAATCTTTCGTTTTAAGACTACCCTTTCTTTGAGGATCATACCACGCACCGACTGTCGCACGCAATCGGCCGTGTTTAAACCGTTGAGGATCTGAAAGGCATTAACTGGCAATACTAGCACTGAAATCTATGACCGGAGGTACTAATAATTTCACAGCATTAAGGTATTAATTTTCTATGGGAGTAGACATTATGTCGCGATGTTTATGACTGAGTCATGAATGAAACAGCTGTACAAACAGGTTCTTGGCCTTTAGAGTTATTTAAATATCTCTATCAAATTACTTAAACCCTTGTTTTACATAAAGCCTTTGATCGGCAGATGGCTTTTAAACGATGATAATGGCTTTAATCATTTTCCAGTCCTTACCATCCGAAAAAACGAAATGTTTCACATTTCCACTTCGATCGCGTAAAAATAAATAAAAATCACTAGGGGAAATAATCTATATAAATCATGATTGCATCTTTAGATCTCTTGTCATGAAATCATGTATTCAAAGGTTTCCCGGAGTTATTAACATAAGACACTCCTGAATACAAAATTATAAATTTGATATTTCCATCTAGATCAAGAAAAGTGGGATAACTGTATTTTCAGCCGGCCTTCACAGAGAATGTTTCCGTTACTACAAAAGGTTGCAATACCGCCATCGCATAAAATAAAAAAAAAAAAAATGGAAAAAAGCAAAAACCAAAATATACAAAAAATACAATGAAAACACCAGAGGCAGCCTGGAACATTTTCAAAGCGATCAACGTGATCAGGTGATCGCTATAATTCATTTATATGCAGGTTACCCAGGAAACAACACCAATTCGAAAACATTGTCTCTTCGGGCAGTGATCAAATTGCTACTCCAAACAGGAAAGGCTTTGTTATGTGAAGTTGAATAGTTGCTGATAAGGCGGGTTTAAAAGCACTGACTTTGAAAGCAGCTGTAGCGAAAGGAAACTAAATGAAAAAAACAACATATTTTAAAAGATAGTTTCTTCGACCTATTCTATAAAGTTTGCGATGAGATAGAGTAGTACAGTTTCCACATCTCTTTAAGGATCCTATAAGACATTGAAATGCGTTTTAAACAGGTCAGAAAGCCTTGGGGCTAAATCGCAAACGCATGACGAAAACACGAAGGCGAAACACGGTCCTAAATTCCCGAGAAATAGAGCAAAATACAAAATCCCATCCCACGGAAACCGATAGATTCAGTTGTTCTATAAATATTAACATAAACGTTGACAAGTGCGAATTTCTTTGCAATCAAGTACGACTTCCTTGAAAACATGCATAAAAACGTGGGATAATGTGTTTCGCCAGCGCATGACAAAAAAAGTTAGTTACCTGTATCTTCTGTTTTATTATATATAAACATGAACCAGAGAAGGTTCATGTATATATAGAAAAGAGAGGTTAGAGAATGATCTTGTGAGCGAATTTTCAAGACAATAACTGGGTTTAACCGGGTACTATTCCAACAGATATCACCAAGATCGTTTGTTTTTATGAAGCTTAAATCTTGAATTTAAATTTATTCCCACCGCTTTATTTCGCGAAGGCTACAGATGCAACAAGTTCGAGCTAATTTCTCTAGGTGACGACGCCATTTCCTCACCTTTCGAAAAGTAACTGAAGAAACGATCAGTCGAAAGTAAACACTTGTTGATAACATGTCTTTTAAGGGAAAGTTGAAGTAGATTTGCTCAGAAGGTTCGTTGAGATCGAAAGAGTCATGGTGCGAGCGTCGAAGAAGTGTGACCACAAGTGTCACAGAGGGAAATTTCTTTTTCATTACGCACTGGCAACACTGAACGTCTCCCTCGGTGATCGATTCTGTTAGCAGTGTTGTCTGTAGAAATTAAAGGCCGGAAAACGCCGGCAACAGGTTTTCTTCTTATAGCTTAGTACCGAATGTAATCGCTGTACAACAAACTGGTATTGCTCGCACATTCGGATTGAGATAATTTAACGGATATTTTCCAATATTCTTACCGAAAGAGGTGGTTTATCTGGGACAGAAAATCCATCTGTGATGAGTAGGCTTCTGATCGAGTGTTCTGTTATGTAAAAATCTCGCAGCTCCTTCCCAGAGACCGAGCTTCAGTCAAATCCAGTACACATATGGTTAGACACGAAGCCTATATGACTTTTTTTTCGTCGCAAACATCGAGACCGCGCATTAATTAACACCATCCGACGACATTTGAACGTCAGCTATTTCTAGAACCAGAGTTCATTATAAATGCGAGAGCCGCCGTGAATTATGCTTATTAATTGTTATGTTGCTGTATCCAACGAACCTGGTCAATTGCATGAATTGTAAACTTCAGTGTAAGTTGAAACGCTCCGGGCTAGGTCGCACGGAAACATCATGTCTTCCTCATGAAAGAAAGTCAGTTGGCTTCGAGTTATTGTACGTTAAAGCTAAAAATTGAAAATGCAATTATTAAAGGTGGTCAAGAAACGTGCCAGCTGTTATTCCCCGTCGTCTGTTTCTCTCTTCGAATTAATATTGGTAATTAAAAGTGATCAGAGTGTACTCTCACTGTCAAGGAACACGTCAAAATTGACAACATTTTAATTCATCTTTGAGAAAATGAACCTGTCTATCATTTGAGGACAGCAAAGGGGGGGGGGGGGGGTGGGATGGGGTGGAAGGGGAAGAGAGCCTGGGGGTCGTTTGTCGAAAGTTCCGGTAACTTATCAGGCCCGAAGCCATATTCTAAATTCAAAATTTAAGAACAGAAAAGAAGGCTGTGGCTCCCTAAACAGTCCATTTGGTTTCTTTAGCTGATAGTGTTACAGCGTCATTGTAAAGTTTTCAAAACTTTTGAAACCGCCATCTTGAATGAAATCATAACAGCTTTACGGGCCCGTTAAGTTACCGGGTCCTTCGAGAAGCAGGCCCCTGATCCCGTTTCACGTACAAATTTCACAAAAATTCACATGTAACGTATACTTTAAATAGTAATTAGCGTGTCACGAAAGCCTCGCCTTACTTTGACTTTGTGTAAAATTCACTTGTCACGTATAAACTTTGCGCTAAATCACGCGTCACGCACAAGCTCTTTGCTAGTCTCTTATCTGATCAACAGGCCACACTTTTACACGATGTAATGTTAACCACGTAACAATGTTGGCAATACACGAAAAAATATCGTACTCACGTCGAGTGGGGCTAATTTCCTAGCAACTCAAGCCTTCGAATTCTGTTCAGATATAACAAACAGCCATATTACTGGTAACATTAAGGAAAAACTCAGCGAATTCGCAGAAACGCAACTACAAACAAGTTTAGAGCACATACCAAGCACGAAAATTTTAACAATTTCTTTAAAAAAACTTCAATTTTTACGAATATCTTGAATGGTAACCAACCTTTTGAACACAAACGAATCATGTGTTTTGCTCCGTTAGACTTAAGGGCATCCTCATATTTCGCCCATATTTGCAAGAAACTCTTTGAAGCTAAGTTTCAAGCTATTTTTCTTGACTAATATCACCAAATATTGTGAAGAACGAAAAACAAAGCTTTTAATTGACATTTACATAAAAAATATCACTAAATCAGGGCAGCAACATTTTAGTCACTTTTTCGGCTCTCCAGTGAGCGACTTTCCAGTATTTCACGAGTACAATCTGGAGAGGCCTATACAGGAGAACTCGGTGAAAATTCTGAATTCTGTTCAGATATAACAACCAGCCATATTACTGGTAACATTAAGGAAAAACTCAGCGAACTCGCAGAAACGCAACTACAAACAGGTTTAGAGTACATACCAAGCACGAAAAATTTAATAATTTCTACGACGCTTTGCGTTAAAAATACACACTAAATGTCGTAATCATATTTGAATTAATTTTCTGGGACAAACCCAACCAGGTCCGAGTTAACAGTTAGGGTTCTTTATCAAATGAACAAGAGAGAAAAATTTTGCCAGCCAAGCCATACACTACGTCTACGTGTATTGTATAGAAAGCCCCCTACACACAGCTGGGATCTGCTATGCCCAAAAAAGGAGTAATTTTTGTGATCGGTTGTTAAAATAGAGAAGAGAGAATAAGCGCAGCGAGCGAGAAAACAACGCAAAGGCAAAAAGTAAAAGGGACCAGGAGGAACGTCCTCGTTACTCCTTCCCAGACTCCCGCAGATTTTTTTGGTATTTGTGTGGTATATACCAAACAGTGATTCCCCAAAATGTCAGTGAAAGTGGTGGATATTTACTGTACCTCCACTTTGATGAATTACTGTTAACTATGGTTGTCAATATTTCTCAGCCTCTCAAACAAAATACATCTTATTCTTTTATTAACTTCAAATCAGACCACTTATATTTACAATGCAAAAAATAACTAGAATATTTTGAACTGCTGAGTGTCGGTTGATGTAACAGTAGTTGTTACAGTTTAAAAAACATGTTTTGATGGAAAAGTCAAACTAAGACACTCTGAGTTTGCAGTACCAATTAAAGGTTCCCCCAACATAAAATGTTATTCATCTGTGAAAAGAATGATACAACATTAGATAATGTATGGTTGATCACCATACAAGTCAATAAGTCAATAAACACCACAAAGGACATGTAGAATAGGGCTTGTGAAGGCTTTCCAGTAATGGATACATTTATTTTCTCTATGAGGTTCACTTTGCCTGAATTGACAGGGAATCTTAGGTAACAGCTGATTGCCTCCCAACCACCTGATAACTGATTTTAACCAAACAATACATAACTTCACTCTCACCTGATTCTTCTTCTGCAATGTCTGCCATGATCGCTAAAAAATAGAGAGAAGAGCAATTGTGAAATGATTCACATTCTTGAATGTATCAATATTAGGATCATGACACATGTTACTGTTGTTGAGCTTGCACCAAAACAATTCATTCATATAAAATGCAAAATACCATTGACAAGATTTTGTCTCGATGTCTTAACAGCTGTCTTGATGCTATAAATCCTAAAAGTAACACTCACTTATCAAGCAAAATTATGCCTCTCTGCTTCTCTCCTCCATTTTCACAAATGAATAGAAACTCCCAAGAATATGTTATATAGATTTTGTTTATTATCTCTCATTCAGCCTTGCAAAATTATACAGTACTAGGAAAAATTATCATGGGTGCCATGCACCTGTACCATGGTTGAACCTTTAGGATCAGCTTTGTTAATTATTACACAGCTTATGTTGATATCAACCATACACCACTTTTTATAAAATCATAGTCTTGTAACAGCAGCTATAAGTGTTTGTATGCATGACTAAGATCTTATTTCCCCCTATAACATTAGTGCTGAAGCAAACACTATGGTCGCAAGAATGAAGGACATGATTGCCAGCTGAAGTTCTTGATCGTTTAGCATATTCTTCTTGTCAGCTCTTGATGAAATGTGTGGTAAGTAACATGGGGAATATACATATTGATGCTAGAGGGTTGAGGGAAAGTTCTGCAAAGGCTACATACCTTCCTTTAAGACTTGTTCCCTGGCAGCTTTCTCTGCTAAAAGCTGAGCCTTTGGCCACCATGGTACGTTTTTGTGTTTCTCTACCATCTCTTCATACACAGCTTCTCCTTTATCCTCCCATTTATGGATCAGATAGCCTGCATACAGCCCAATACTTGTGAAGAATGTATGCATCATGGGTTCTGCAAAAATTTAAAGTTTTCAGAGTTATGCTTTCCGACATACATTCCTCATATCTGATAAAATATATTGAAGCGACTAAGAAATTTGGAGTACCCTTGTACAGGTCTCCAACTTGTGGAATGTTACATAAGTGCCTTAAAGTAGTCATAATTATTGTCACTTTGTCAGGAATTGTGTCAGATTTTGCGAGCTAAAAAAGAAACTTGAGCATGAAAGGTAATTTTCATAATTGAGAAGCTTGGAAATAAAGTTAAGATTGAAAATAATTCTCAGCAATTAACCATGTGATAATTAATTCATCATATTATTTTAATTTTCAATGGTTTGAATGTTTTTCATATTATTGCCTGTTGAGTACACCTACAGTTTGGGATGAGTGAACAAATGTGGAACAAAGATTTCATACAGCTGCACCGTACCTGTTTCGAGCACCGTAAAGGTTCTTGACTCCATTGATTTTTTGTCTCAACTTTGCGGAACGTATTCTTCACTAACTACGCAAAATATTCCCACCAGCAGAAAACTTTTAGATTTTCAAGTGGGTTCAACATTCTCACCCTCAAGACGATCGATATTATGGTTTGTGTAAATAACCATTCACTGAAGTGAGATGTCCGGATAAATGCATCTCCAAGCTGGGAAACTGTAATTTTAATGAATCTCAATTCGGATATTTTAGATTGCCGGTACACATGTTTAATTTCAATACGCTTTACTACTGAAAAGTTATCTGCGGTTACAGATGAGCAAGCGTTTGAGGCACGGCAGCAAAAACATCAAATACTTACTTCTCATCATTGGCAAGCCTCGCACCAAATTGGAGTAACTTGAGGCAAAAAAACCAGCACCACCAAACCATATAATTGTTCTTATCATGTCTAAAGAGCTCTGAAGAAAGACAACAGCACCTGTACTACACTAAACGCTAAGAAGTTATCAAGAAATTCAATATGGCTCCTTCTTCACCAGGTCAGCATTAGATTCCATCCACCAAAACCACCTCGGTCGAGAGGGACTGAGATGGAATATTTAATGACTTGCAAAACATAACCGAAGATTCTCGGAAATCCGCAAGTGATGTAGCCGAACATCCGAAGCTGTAAATCCCGTGATTCTTGAGGAACAAACAGAAACAGCATAGCGAGAATTTTAAGTCGCGAACCATTGATGGTAGACATGCAGATAATTTAGGATACGTAAATTCTGTTGATGAGGCGCATAAACTTATTGCGGAATTTGAAACAGGATTGACGACGAAGTTTTCTTTCTTTAAAGCTGTCAAAGGTTTCGGGAACACCGGTGTATATATATATATATATATATATATATTGATATAGCTCTTTGACATTACAAAGCTTTGCTATCGCTATTGTGCATTCTCACTAGTTTATCTAGTTCAAGTTCTACCACAATTGTGGAATCATTCGGATTAATTTAATGCTTACACCTCCTTCCTCGGACAGAAGTCACAAAATACTGGGGGAAGATGCATGAGATATTTAAGGAGCAAAAATTCGTTTTTTACTGGTGTGCCTTTCCTAATTTTGGGAAGGAAAGTGCAATTGCCAGCACGGCATAGATAGAACAGCTGGAGAGAAAAAGAAACGAAAAGATGCAGAAGAAGTACTGTATATAATAATTTCTTTATATCCTCAACCTTTGTGTTTCTGTCAACTATGGCTTGCTAATTCAAAAGGTCAAATACATGAATGGGTCATATGACATTGATCTCAGAATACTTTTATGACAAACGTGATAACAGTTCAATCTTGACTAAATTGAAGATGGTTTAGAAGTTAACAATTATAAGAACTTTTCACTAACATATGCTGCTGACAAAGGAGAAAATATATGCAATTCTGCATTTTTTGCTTTCTATCAAGCAATCATATGTTGGCTCCTTATCACACTATGACACTTCCGTTTTGTCACATTCCAAAAAATAACTTGAGAAATACACTGTCACTCATCTTACACTGTTATATTTACCTATTACAGAAGGCTGGAAACAAAGATTTTGTTTTCAAGAAAATAAGATTTCTTGTCCAAGACACAAGGAAGTTTGACTGCAAAGCACAGATAAAAATGCGAGAAATTTTTTTTTTCAGAGAACAAGGTAGTTCTACTCATGTATAAACAGAACAAATCCAATTTAATAAATCAGATATGCGGCATGACTCCTTTTCTTCCATCCCCACTCAAAACAAGCAAACACACCTATAGAGGTTCCAGTCTGGTCTGCAAATGAAAAGGAGGAAGGTGATCACTGCAAAATTAAGCATTAGGGTTCTTATTTATAACATATTGATTATTGTATACTGATATCTAGAAATTAAGGTTGCAAGTAGCAGCCAGCTGAGTTATAGTTTGAGTTTTATCAAGTCCATTACTTTGTTAAATTTAGAGTAACCTTGTCTTGAGAGAGGAAAATTGAGGAGCTGTAATATACTAATCATCAATTAGGGACCACAAAGAAAAATTTATTTATAGAGACTTTTGAAGGAGAGGGTAAGACTTGTGACAAGCTGGCAGACATATAGATAAACTTTACTGCTAAATGGGTTACAATACAAAGTGCTCAGTATTTGGATCAGCTATGGCTCAACTTAAACTTTGCTTTAGCTTCAAGTTTAATCCTTTGTGGTTTCCTTTCTCTGTGTTTATTTTTCAAGTTATGTACACAGAAGAACACAAAAATGACAAGGAATGCTCTTGAATATCAAGAGGCTGGAATAAGCAAGAAACCAAAACTGAATTTTAAACAGTACAAAGTTAATTTGATCTTCCAATGTTATTTAATTTTAACCATAGAATGTGCTATTTAAATTTATCCCCTCCATTTTTCTGGGTATTGTGAGCTAAAACAAACAATTATCACAAAATGCATGGTATACAATGGTTTGATTCACCAATGTGGCAAAGGCCTTTCACTGTCTATCCATAAAAAGGGAAATAGTTTGTAAACTGTGAGACATTCTGCATGTTGAGTGTATACTTATTCATCCATGTGAAATTAAAGGTTACTTGAAATAAATGTGAAAGATTTATAGGATTTTCAGACCCCTGATATCAATTACTAATATGCTGATTTGTTGTACTTAAAGGTTATGATTTTAGCAGAAATAGTGGAAGAAATTTCTGGACCTGGAATTTTGTTGCAAATGTTTGTTTAAATCAGTTTAAGTCAGTTAAAAACTCTCCTGTTTCAAGATTACATGATTACCACACCAGAACCTTTTGTATTCTATATTATGCACCATGTTATGATTATGGTTTCAATAATAAAAGGTGCTGACTCAAGAACTTTCCAAAATATCTCTACATACAAAGAAATAGATTGTGGTTATGTACTCCAAATAGCAGGTCACATCAGTCTTCTGTAAGGAAGTAGCAGAAATTTCTGTGGTGGTTTAGGTGGATGGAGAGAAACATCCACCAAAACCACTTTATTCTATGTGTTAAGAGTTATGATAATCATTATGAACGTTTGGTCGGTCAGCAATTGTGCACCATAAAAAATAATTAGCCAGAGCACTAACTGCTAATTAGTGGTATAAATCTTTTGTCTCCCTGAACATCTAACAATGGCTATAGATAAAATTTAAAAAATATATTGTTGATGGTTTTGGTCAAAGTTTTGGTGGATGTTCCCTAATGACATCCACCAAAACTACGTAACATCTAAGCACCTTTTAAATACGTGAAATATCTGCATAAAATTGCGTAAAATGTTTTATAATACTACAATCGAACAATAAATTAATACTTACCATTTCTTGAGTGAAAGGTTTTGACGCAATTTCCCAAACAAATAATACACTTGGGTCATCGGGATAAGTCGGCATGTTGTCGTAGCTTCGTAATTTTTTTCCATCATTCCATCTCAGTCCCTCTCGACCAAGGTGGTTTTGGTGGATGGAATCTAATGCTGACCTCGGAAAGCGCACTCCGACATCCGTCAGAAGGAGGTCATCTCGGGTAGATTTCCGATTACGAAATCCGAGCTCGCCCGATGTTGTCTTCGTGATGAAGGCCCTATTTAGCATATTAGACCCGCAAAACAGAGTAGAAACGATCACGTGCTTCGTTTTCGCTCATGACTTCGTATTAGCCTTAAGATATTTGCATTTTTTTCCGTTGCTTACCTATATTACAGACTCCAATAAATTTTTGCGATGCCTCCTTTTCACGGATGGCCGATTACAACTACAACATAGTAACACCTCCACGAAATCTGTCAAAAGGAGGATGTTACAACACCAGAGGTCATCTCGGGTAGATTTCTGATGACGAAATCCGAGCTCGCCCGATGTTGTCATGAAGGCCCTATTTCGCATTTTAGAGCCGCAAAATAGAGTAGAAAGGAACGCTTACTTCGTTTTCGCTCATGACTTTGTATTAGCGTTAAGATATTTGCATTTTTTTCCGTTGCTAACCTATATGACAGATTCCACAAAATACATTTGACGCCTCCTTTTCACGGATGGCCGATCACAACTACAACGTCATGACATCTTCACGAAATTTGTCAAAAGGAGGATTTTAAAACACCGGAAATCTTCTGGATTTCTGATGAAATAAATTTAACGCAGTTACGTTCAGAGTTTAAGCGATATATTGTTATTTCTAATATGGTAATTGATAAAAAAAATTGTACATTACCTCGATTGGACGGAGATTAAGTTTGAATATAATGTAGCAGGCGATATTACTTTTGTCGACAAGGATAATCCGTGACTTGTCTCACCTATTACATTTTCTCTATCTGCGATGTGCCATGATCATCATTGAAAATATTCTACGATAATATTTTTTACAATATTTAGATGAGGATTTTCAATTCTAAACGCAAGAGCGTACTTAGGGAAAGATCTATAAGAAACAGTTTCTCATGAATACATTTTAAAAATTCTTTTAGCTGACTTCTACATAGATAAAAAATTACTACACATATATATTTCACTTCGACGATTATCTTAATAAACAATTAATGGGAAGTTCTGAGAATCAGTTTTTAATACTACATGTTAAATTAATGGTTATTTTTCTCTTCCTGCTTAAGGGCTCTTTCGCAGTTTGGACAACGCCAGTTTGCACTTGAATCTTCCAAAATAATTGTTGAAATGCATTTCCTGTGAAAAAACTCCTTGCAGCTACAACATTTCACACAACGAGAAGGAGACTTCGAGTCTGACTCTTCCCTCGGCATTCTACACTCGCACATTACCGAGACCTCTTGAACAAAAAGTGGCCTCCTGTCTCGACACTCGGGTACTTTAGAGAGGGGAAAGGGGTCGAATGATCCACTCTCCAGGCTCTTTAAAAGATGTTGTCTTATCAGCTTCCTGTCAAATGTCAGATTAGAAGGATTGAGGCCGTGTAGTAGCGAAACCAGAAAAGCAATAGCATAAACTCCACAGTCATCGGAATTGTTCTGGTGTTGCACATTTGGTACAACGACCTTAAAACTGGTTCCTTCCTCGTATATAATTGATGCAATCTGTTTCTGCACGAGGGCTGCAATTCTTCCCGAAAACAGGCTGTCGTACAGATAAACTACAGAAGGAGTGTAGCATCCTACAGTAGATACCAACACCCAATGATGGCTGCCAGTATTCAGGATTTGTGAAAATTGGCCTTTTTGAACAGAAAAATTAAAAATAGGCCCCAAAGTTGTATTTTCCAATCCTCTTGCGTGAGGGAACTGTTCCCTCAGAACAGACTGAGCTGCACCTACAATATGGTCGGTGAGCCAGTCTCCAGTTGAAATGGTGCTAATGTCCTGTTCCGAGAGATGGAATTTACCGGCCTTTGAGGCGCTTCTGTGAGAGGTCTTTACAAATTCTACTTCATCATCTTTTTTGTTTTGCTGGGCC